TCCCCCTTTCCTCATTTGCAACTTGCTCGCTTGCTTGCTGCTGGCCGCTGGTGCCGGTTCGGGGGTTCTGCTTCCCTTGGTCCATCCCCTTTACTCGATTCTTGGTGGCAATCTCCCCCGGCCCTTCCTGTGTGTTTATCGTTTACTTCTCTCGCTCTCTGTCTCTCTCTCTCTTTGCTTGTTCTTTTGCTTTTGTTCTTGCTTGTTGTCCTTGGTATTTCTCAACCCGTTTCCTTTCTGTGGCCCCTCGCTCACCTCTGGTGGGTCGTCTCCCCATCCTTCTTGCCGCGACGCGCTCGTTCCTCCGAAAACTCAGCGGAGGGCTGCCATGACCCTCTCGGAGCAGTGCGCGGCCAGCTGCCGTTACTTCCGGCAGCTTGACCAGTCTTTGCCTTGGCTTCTCATTCCCTTGCTCTCTCTTCCCTTTTCCTTTACCTTCACCTTTGCAATTATGACCTTGCCTTCTCCTTCAGAAGACCCAGGTTGCAGGATCCAATCGTGCTCTCAGATACTGCAGAGAGCAGACCCTGTATAAGACAAAAGCATCAGCAAGGGAGGGGCGCGAGATCGGAGGCGTGACCGTGACAGAGCAGGGCAGTTGTACGGGGCGTGGAACCACCGGCGGGTAAAGGGGAGGCTTGATTGGGGCGTGGACAAAGGGGGGTAGTGTGACGGATGCTTGGGGTGTGGACCCTGGTGCAGAGATCCGAGGGCCACAGAGTGAGTGCGAGATCGGGGGCGTGACGGGGCAAATGGCGTTTTTGTCGCCCGTTCGGTTCCACTTTCGGGTTTCACGGATTCTGGTTTGCAGGTTTCCCCAGGGCTTTGGGCCGGTAGCATTTTCGGGTTCAGGGTTTGACAGGGTTTGCTTGCCCCCGCGCGGGCCCAGTTGTGGGCTGTTCAGGAGACACGGGTTTAGTGCGAGAGGCGCAGGTCCTCGCACTCCTTGACTTCTCTTCTCATCTTTCTTGCATGTTGTTTTTAGGACTCTTTCGTATTGCAGTTTCCATCTCCCGCTCTCTCTCCCTCTCTCCCTCTTCCTCCATCTTCTTCTGTTCACCTGCTTCTTATTCTTGGTGTTTTTCGACCCTTGCTCACAAGACAGAAAACGCGGGAGAAGCAAGGACATAAAGCTTGCTTTGGGACAAGCCTGTGCGAGAGGGTCCCTAACAGACATATTGGTTCAAGCAGCTCTCACTGACAATGATCTTTTTTGTAGGGTCGGAGCTGTGGCTGCCATCGCTGTCGGTGTACATGATGCTTAGGGCTTAGGGATGCTTAGGGTCTAGAGCCGCTTCGGGTTTAGAGTGGGGAGGGGCGGGGGGGGGCAGAGCCAGGGCTTCGCTGGTCGGACGTGAAGATGCTGCTTTGAAAGTGTTCTTGTGTGCTTGCCTACGGAAGCTCATCAGGAAGCCACAAACTACGGAGCCTTGAGTCGTGTGACATCGCTGTTGCCTGCGGCTTACGCAAGTCATGCAGTCCTAACGTGCGCGTGGCAAAGCAGCTTTCGTCGCTTGCGCACGAGCAGGAGTCCGGAAGCTTGGGCGGTCGTCAACGCGCCCAGCTTTGAGGACTGAAGCGAACTCTTGCTTGCCGGCATGCCTGATGTGCGAGATTGGTGCGCACCGACGAGGACAGCATGCCACCACAAACATTCCGAGATCTCGCAGCTCACTCCGCAGACGTGGGAACCAGTGTAGCCTGTGTTGCAGCAGCGTGCAAAGTAGCTTTCATCGAAAGGCTGGCAAGAACGCAGCGAACGCGCAAGCTTCAGCCAAGGCCATGATTCGCCGTTCTTTTTCTTCAGCTGTTGAGCTGGGGTGGTGTTCGATGTTTGTGATCTCGTGTAGTGTCAACTTTTCCGCTCAGGATGGCGCTCCGTGCATCGACAATGACATCTGCCAGCTGTGCAGCATGCCCGCAAAGCTGAATGAAGTGCAAAGGGCAAACCGGGAAAGCCAGCTTGCACGGCAGAATCAGCAACTGCCGTTCAATCCGTGGAAGCTTGGCAAAGAGAACTTTGCGTGCGAGAGCATGTCCCGAATATTGAGAGAGATTGTCAGCCTCTGGCAAAGAAAACATCTGGCGTCGATTCGCTGGGTTTACCTTACCGAGCCTGCACAGAGCTCACTGTGCCATGTTAGCAAATGTTTAGAAGCAACTCATTTCCACCTTCGTGCAATGCGTAACCTTGGCAAATTCTAGCGTGCACGGTTTGAAATGGGCGTTCTACGCCAAGACGTCACTGACAGCACCAAAGAGACCGAGCGCACACAATAATACTGCAGGCATGTGTGTTCAGATGGCCACTTCTCTTTGTTGTTATGGTCCTATCAGAAGGCGGCCCCTTAAATAGTCCGGGTACCCAAAAGGCAGCACAATTTTGAGAATTGACCAGATGAAGCCCAACTTGTGTACTTGAGGAAGTCAAATGCTTCAGGCATAGGATGAAACATGTATCGAGCGGCTTCCAGTGGGAACAGGGAACAGCGAAGCGTCCTTTTGCACTTTTTAATAACCAGAGCCTGACTACCTGTGCAGAAGCACGGCAGGGACTTGTTTTATGTAAGTTTCCAAACTGCCTCGTCAAAAAGCACAGGCAAATCTCATGTGCGACCTCAAGACTGGGGCAGCGTCAGGCTGGACAGAGGATGGCAGATGCGCAGAGGGACATCCAGAGTTGTTCTTAACTCCGGGTTGCGCTTCTGTCTTCTGTGTCAGGTGCTTTGCTTGTTCGAAGATAGATGTGCTCCCCTTTAAGCCGCGACCCCGAACGTGAAAGTTTTGGCTTTGCCAAGACAGGCTTTTGAGCAGTGTGCCTGAATGTGCCTTAGGCATCACCCTCTGCGTTCTTTGATTCGACGTGCTTGGGATTCGAAGTCTGCCGTAGCCTTTCCTTTTTGCATGTAGCAGCAATTTTCTTGAGGGCGTTTCGATTTGTGAACGTGCCTGCGTCTTTCAAGGTTGTGATTGCAGGGAAAGTATCCAGAGTGCGGGTCTCGGCACATGGAATCCCATGCCTCCGGCGGATGGCAACGATTTGCCTCGTCCACTACTGATTCTTGCTTGGGGACGTTTTGCAGGAGTGATCGTTGCGGGTCGTGTACTTGCAACAGTTACAGCCCCCGCCGTGCGCTGATATTGGGCACGCTGTCAAGGTGCGGAACACTTCTTTGTCCCCTCCGCCTTTCAAGGTTCACATTACTGCATCGCTGCAATCTTTTCCTTGTATGCAACGGAAGACGAGGACAGCAATGCGCTGCGGCCGGAGAACCTCAAGGAGGTGCAAGCACAAAGCGTGGTACTTGTATGCTCTTGCTATCTCTTGCTTCATTGCTGGAGGATGTCCAGACTCAAAAGCCTTTTAAGGGGTTGCTTCCAGGCTCCCGCTCCCGACCAGAGCTTTCATCCGTCGTCGTCTTCTTTTAGTGCGAGCCTTGTGATGCTAACCTGCTGAAACATTGACACAGCAGCCCAAAGTCCATTCCGAAAACCACTGCCGTCGACTCGGCAGGAATGGTTGCAGTCTGGGAATCGAACGCAAGGTCAGAGAAAATTTATGGAGGTCGGAGTGGTTTCTGCATCGACGTCTTCATGGGGCACTCCTCAATCCCTGTTGGCCAATACCAGAAGGTAAAGTCAACAGCCTCTAAGGGCGGGTTAGTGCTGGCACCAAGAGGAGAACACCCGACCCCAAGAAAAGGGAGCATCAGGAAGAGCATCAGGAAGAGCATCAGGAATGATAAGCGCGAAGACCATGGAAGCGACACAGGCGGCCCCGAACAATATGCGCAGCTTACCCCCGCTTCCTCTAGGGAGATGTTTGCCAGGGCTTTCCCCATGCAGGCGATGCTTTAGCAAGACGAGTTTTCAATCACCAAGAACACATCAACGGCAACCGCTTCCCGACTAGACGCTCTTACGCATCGACGCGAGTCCTCAACCCGGATTTCACGGGCACCCAGCTCCATGCAGAAGCTCTATGTATGAACACACTGCACCATGACGAACCAAACAGGGCGACCGAGGTTGCTTTTCGAAAGCAGCGTGACAGAGTGAAAGCAAAGCCCTTTTCAGATGCAACGTTAGACTACAATGGCAAAACAATGGCAACGACTTGTACTGAAACTTGTACACAACATAGCCGAAATCAACATCAAGACCCTCGACCCTAAGGAACCTTGCAGCCCTGATCTGGTAGCCTTAAATCCTGAGGCTTATCAGGCTCGAAACCTCAACTCCAGAACCACCCTGGTAAAGTGGCGCAGTGCTCAATGTCCGTGGTGCCAAGGTGATGTTTGAGAAGTTCGACGATGGAGGCGGTGGGTGGCATGGTGGTGCTGAACACCAGCATGACCTGTGCCACTTCGTACTTGTGGCCCTACCGGGCCCCCCGCCGCGCCCAAGGGCTTTGGCAAATGAAGTGCAGGCGCACTGCACAGCATTCCGCGACATGCACTAAGTGCATTGTACAGTTCGGGGTGACCCCTCCATTTGAGTACTGCTCTCATCTGTCGCTGCAAGGCGCATGTTATAAGGGTCGTTGTGCTCGAAGGTGTTAAGACTCATCGCTGAATGTCTCGCGGGATACAAAGTTTGCCGTCCGAGGAGCCAACTGCCTGGCACGACAAGCGTTTATGTTGCCAATCTTCTTCGAGTTGTGGTGTGTGCTGAAGCTGGCTCAGGCTCTTGCGCTGCTATCTGTAGTGGATGTAGTGTGATGCAGTGGATGCGCGCTCGCATACACTTCATGATGCAGCAGTGCTCACCTTACTTCGGCCGGCTTCTGGCATTTCACTGAGCCGACTTTGCACACAAAGGCTGACCTCCTGAGTCCGTGTGTGAGTTGGCCCAAGGAAGGGGGGAAAGAAGACTCGGAAACGTTCTTGACATAGAGGTATCATGTCAGCGACTGCTTCGAGAAGGGTACGTAGGAATATGTACATTGCAGAACCAAAGTTATATGTAGTTTCTACCAGCCCAGCTCTTTGACACAGAGCATGATGTGGCACCTCGTGTTCTTCCTTGGGGCTTACCTGGAGGCTCGAATGTTAGAGCGCGAAGGCATGCTTGCCCAAACCGCGTGTGGTAGGTGGCGGTAGCGCAGACCTCGCCGGGTCTTCCCATAGGCTTGGGGTGCAAAAAATTGGCCTTGAATGGGCTTTGTCCGTTTTGCAGAGGGAGCAGATGCCCTTTGCGAGGTTGGTCCACAAGCTATTTGACGAGCCTCACTCAAAAGCGTATCCTGCTTTGGGGAGCAGACCAGCCTGCTGCCACTTTCGATGCGCAGGTGGTCCCATGATATGTCAGAGAATGCTAGATGGCCCAACTTGGAGCTCTGGTGCACAGGCGGCGTACAAGCGCTGTGCCCGCCTACTTTTGGTCTGCAGCAGCCAAGATGTGATCCAGGAAGTCTGGCTTGTCGATCCATCATGATCCATCCAAGATTTGCCAATGGATCCTGGCTTTTCTTTGCTTTCCGAGGACGTTGTTGCACAAGTGGCAAGTGAGGAGCCCACAGCAGGAGTGGCGATAGCAATCGCACAAAGTTCACATGCTGTGGTGACTGTTGTGGCGCGGCGTGCCAGGAGTTTGTCCTCCTCTTGCAACTCCTCTGGCAATCGGCACTGCAGGCCTGGGCGGATCCTGGTGTTTCGGGGTGCCAGGATCAGTGCTGGACTCTTTTCCGGTGCTGTTTTCTGTCGAGGTTCCGTTACCAACGCCTCCTTCGTACTGGAGCTTACCGGTAGATATCAGGACCGCTGCTGTGCCGGCTTGCATCTCGGATCCACTAGATTCCAATCAGCTGAAGGATATTGGTGGGGCGCCAGATATCGTCTGGAATTATGTCTAGCACCGTAGAAGCGTGTGGACGCCTCGCCTGGCCGAAAAGAAACCAGCTCACGAATCGACGAACTGAGACTGCCTTGAGGGGAGCCGAATTCAGGCAGTCTTCGCTCGGGGAGCTACGCTGTCAAACAGGGTTAGCACCCTTGCGACTTGGAGCCATAAAGTGGGACTCCTGCGCGCTGCAACTCTTGACATCTGAAACTGCACGGAGAAGATTTTTGAGTACGATGCGAGATCAGTCTGTGCACCCCCCACCTCATAGACACATGATGACAAGTACACACACACACACACATCACATGACTGCCAAGACTAAGAGATCCGTAGAGAGACAGAACTGGTCTTGTACTGATTATTCTTGGCCTTTTCGTGTTTCGTCCAACAATGGAAAGACGCCAAACAAATAGCAACACAAAACAGGAGCCAGCCGGATTCTAATGTTTAATGTGCAGAGACATGATCCGAACATGATCCGAACATGAGTCCGACATGCACACACACACACACCAAACGAAGCGCACACAAGGCACAGCAGTTGTGAGGCCAGCAGTGAGGCCAGCACATACAGACCCAAAGTTTGCGTCTAAGGGGATGGTGCAGAGTGCACAGTGCGGAGCTCGCGCCGAGTGAAACGACGCCTTGCCGCCGTGGCCATCTCGAGGTTTCTCTGTTGTTGCCCCCCTTTGATTCCTTTGATGTTAATCTGATCATGATAAGCTTCACTCTCCTGGATCCAAAGCGGGCAAGGCATGTCAGGGCTCAGAGGTCGGTGCATTTCTGAGCAAGGCATGCCCAGTGCCTTGTGAGATTCTGTGGATTTTGGGAACACCCACCGCCAACTGTTTTACAACTGCATCGGTTCTGGCAGCCGCAGCACCATGACATGAGCCTTCGTGGTGCTGCTGGCACCTTCCCAGCCAGGTGCAGAGGCATGTATATTACCGGCTGTACCAGTCTACACGTGATTGGTCTGTACTAGTAGGCGATTGAAACATCGACGCAGGAGGGAAAAGTGCAAACCGCTTGCCTGTGCACGACAATTAGCACATCTCAATCAAGGTGCCTTGCTACCATCCACTCCGCTGGCAGCTATCGTCCGGCAGCAAGCCGCGGTAAGTGAGTGGTCTGCATACAGTGCGGTGGCAGAGACTCATACCGGTCAAAGTGCGAGCGACAGGGAAAAACAAGGGAAGGCACAAGGAGCTCTCGGCCATGTGGTCGCCAGTGGTCAGACAGCAGCCCTGACAGGCTGAGTGCGTACGACTCTTCGTGCTCAGCCCTCGGCTGCTGTCATGGGAGTGTCCCGAAGTATCAGCTTGAAGCACGGTGCTATGGTGCAGCTTATTGGCCAAGTGGCTTGCTTGGACAGACGCAGCACAGCCATGAGGCGCAGGTTCGCAATTTTTCACACGCTCCTGGCATGAAACACCCAGTGTTATGATTCAAAAAGAGCTTGTATTGCGGATCAGAGCGCATCTGTCAGAGCATAACGGGCCGCACATGAGAGCGACTGACTGACCCTCCAATGCAGCTTTGCCTTGAGCTCTGCCGTGATCCAAGCGCAGAGGGTTCTTGGACTCTTGGACTCTTTGGACTCTTTAAACATCTTCAAAAACATCTTGGGACAAATCTTCCGTGAAACTCTGCTCAGGTTCGGCGCAGGATGGACTCGGCGGTTGGAGAGCTTGTAGATGCAGCTGCAAGCCCATGCGCCCGACAGCACACTCCTTTGTTAACGTCTTTGCGCTTGAGGTGCGTGCAGACGTACGAGCACGCCTTCTTGATTTACTTGATGAGGCTGTCCGAACATGTCTGAACATGAAGGCATCCATTCTTGCTTTTCTCTGGTTTACGGATCGCATTGCTTGTAGGGGTTGTCAGGTGACCGGCCGCAAAGTGCTTCTGCTTGACAGTACCATTGCCAGAGCCTGGAATATCCTGCATGATTCGTGTGCAAGTTCCATCAAGTTCGAGGGAGCCTGTCAAGTCTGTCAGTTTGCAAGGTCGGACCGTTGGACCTAATTGTCAGCCCAAGCGACCTCAAAGATCACGGTGTCCAGCAATGGTAAGCCAGCCAGTACAGTGCTGCTTCTCATCACAACAAAGTCGCTCCTTTCCGGGTTTTTGTTCCAGGCACAAACTTTCCGACCAAACCGCCTTCATCTCGGATCATGTTCTGGCTGTTGCGAATCTATGTCCTCCGCTCTGGGGGCTTCGTGTGTCCTGCAGGTCGCATCAGATTGCTCGCAGATGATCTTTCTCGTGCGATGTGCTCGGATCGCCGGGGCCTTTGCCTTGCCAAATGAAGCTGCAGTGGTCTGTGGAATTTCGACAGGCTTTCTAATGACTTTATAAGCTTTTGATTTGCAGGCTTGTCTTGCCAGTTCGACGTTCAACTCGTCTACCATGACATGTAGTTCTGACCAGTCTAAGGAGCTCGTGGACATGCTGGCGAAACAGATCCATGCTGACGAAAAGGAAAAGAAGGCATCCATGGATTGCTGGGGAACTATTATCGGACCTGTGACAGCAAGGGAAGCAACATTGCTAGCAAGACTAGGAAAAGTAGCTATAGTATCACTTGTACTGCAACACCTGGGAGCACCCAAAAGAATGAGGTTGATGAGGTTAACATGATAAAAACACTTAGTCAAATTAAGGATGTTGATGCAGTTATCGACGTTCATAATGTTGAGAAGTTTCAGAAGGTTCATGCTGTGCATAATGTTACTACTGTTGAAATGTGAAGAATGTTAAAAAACTGTAATAGTGTCCATGGCTATCATCATGGATAGCATGTTAGTCATGTTAAGCATGTTAGTCATGCCAGTCATGTTAAGTTTTCTTTTAAATCATGTCCAGCAGGTAAGGTTGTTAATACTGATAATGCTGTGAATGCTGTTAAATGGGTTAGTCATCTTAACAGGGTTTTTCATCATGTTGATCGTGTTCACCTCTTAATGATTGTAGATTTTCATTTGTAATCATGTCAATCATGTTTGCAATGGGGATCTTATAAATGATGTGATTCATGTTGATCGTGTTATGTGAGTAATTTTACGATTGGTGTTCAGGTACATACATGCCATCACTATTTATTTTGTCTTGCCAGTTTGTGGTATTCGTTTTCGGTATGTTCGAAGTCGCTTTAGTTTGCATCGTACTGACATTGTTTCTAACCGCTTCCGCAACTTCAATAGAATGTATAGTTATATTCATCATCATACTCGTGATAATTATGCCGGGCATTGTTGAACAGCAACTGGTGTACTACAATGTGCTATGTGGCAGGAACGGCTCTATGTGGCAGTCTTCGTGCCGAACAAGACGGAGGAGTGCTGCTAATGATGGCCAATTCCACCTGAATACCTCGCGATGGTTTCCAAGTTTGGAAGTATATAAGTCAGTATGTATATAGGTATATAAGTCTATACGTATATTTGTCTATATGTTCATATGTATATATGTATACATGCTTGACATCCCCCACCAAGATGGCACCTGAAAAACCGAAGCGCTCGTGTGCTGCCTTTATGGAAGTGGCAACTGTTTTTCGTGGCCTGATAATTCCAACCAGGGTTTTCAACATGGACTGCACGCATGCTTTATCGCAAAGTCGCCTGCGAAAGCCATAGGCCCTCCAGAGGCAAGGACAGGACAACCCACCCCGTAGTTGTCAACCACTACGTACGGTTTGTATTCGCTTTCAGGCATACTTTGATATGAACTATGCAGCAGCCCGGCATACAACAGTATACGTTGAGATATTTCAGGGCAGGTCTGCAAGCGATAGGTTTTGGAGTGAGATCTGCTTTTGGACAGCTGGGCGTTGTGATTTCTTGATGAGCCTCGGTACAAAAAGGGAAGGGTCTGACGAGGCCAGGAAGCCTCGTACAACCTTAAACATCTATGCCTTTGAAAGCACATACCCATGTAGCTTCAAGCCTTTTGTATCGGGACTGGTTTCCCCATCTTAGCACGACTCGACAGGACAGTCCAGACAAAGACTTCTGTTTCGCAGGGAGAAGCCCTCAACAAGAACACCGTTAACCGGCTACACGCATCATCATACCTCCCTGGAAACCTTGCAACAAAGTTGGTCCTTGTACATCGCATGATGCCCCCTGTTCGATCCTAGCAAGATTCAGGAAAGCCCTGCCAGGTCTTTTGACTTAACATGCGCAGGGGAGTCCTGCTTCACAACTCCTACGGTCCTGCAGTCAAGCTTACTTAAAAACATTGGACAACAACCCTCTCGGGGGGGGGGGAAGGGGGGGGGGGGAAAGTTAGATAAGTCCCTAAGCTAAGCTGCAAACCCCAAACCCCGAACGCGAGACACGGGGGAGGGTGGGGGGTGGGTAGGGGGTGGGTGGGGATTGAAACGGGATTTGGTGAAGGGGCTTGGAGCCATGGGTTTTGGGGGCTGGCTTGCGGTTCATTCCATGGCCTACCTTGCTGTAGTCCTTCAATTAAGGGCGAACATAAGGCAGGGTTGGCCAAGCCAAAAGCTTCGAAATTAATTTGCTCAAGCTCCCCGCGCTTCCCCCTCCTTGTCCTCGCCCCCCCGAACCCGTCCGTCAACCGCAAATCCATGCATGGTCCGCGCCTCCCCATGCCCCTCTCCCAACAAAATGTTCCACCCCCCCTCCCTTGACCGTCTCCTCTTCGTGGCCTCTTTCGCCAGAAAGCGATCCGATAGAACGCCTGGAGGCCAGCTCGGTCGCCCGCCTGGGGCTCCCTCGCAGGGTCTCACTGAGCGCTCGCTCGACCAGCGCCCGCCTACCCCAAAAGACAAGAGAGTGGGGTGGCGGGCGGGTTTAGGGTTTAGGGTTTAGGGTTTAGGGTTTAGGGTTTAGGCTTTAGGCTTTAGGCTTTAGGGTTTAGGGTTTAGGGTTTAGGGTTTAGGGTTTAGGGTTTAGGGTTTAGGGTTTAGGGTTTAGGGTTTAGGGTTTAGGGTGTAGCACGGGTCAGCTGAACGCAATAGTGTGAAGACATGCCCACCCCAAGGCCACCCAATCACAACTCATTGCGAACCAAACCGGAGCCAGCCCAAGCCAAGCCAACCATTCACAACTCAAACATCGAACAGTTCAGAGGAAAGACTGAGAGTGCTTGGGACATTTGCGATTGGCTAAGGACCCCCCCCCAGGTTTTTGCGCAGGGGACGGTCTGGGCCGAAGGGCCCTCTCATAGCAAATATCAGGGCATGAACGCTGGGTCACCTGGGACCAGAAGGTTTGTGCGAAGGGGGGTCTGGGCCGAAGGACCCTCGCAATTGCCGATTGGGGATCACTTGGGAGGCCATAAGGCTAAGGATCCCCTTTTAGGTTTTTGCGAAGGGGACGGTCTGGGCCGAAGGGCCTTCTCATAGAAAAACTCAAGCGTGAGTAGGTTGCAGCCTGGGGCCATAAGGCAAAGGAGGCGTGAATAGGTTGCGGCCTGGGGCTTATTTGGGGCCAAGACAAAGGACGGGCCAGCAGGGGCCTCCAAGGGTCTCCAAAGACCTCCAAAGGGTTGAAGGGCCTCTCCAGGAACCTCACGGGCTTGCAGGGGCCTTCAGGGGCCTCCACGACCCTTCACGGTTTCCGGGGCCCAGTCCAGGCGTCTTTAGGGGCCTCCAGGGCCTCCACCGGGCCTCCGACTTCTCGGGCCTGCGCAGGGCCTCCAGGGGCCTTCAGGGGCCTCCAGGGGTTTCCAGGGTGTCCAGGGCCTCCAGGGCCCTCAGCGGACCTCCAGGGCCTCCAGGGGCCTCCAGGGGCCTCCAGACCCAGGAGCCAGTGTTAAAGGCAAAGGACCCCCCCCGAGGGTTTTAGGGTAATACAATATATCTGTGACAAATGCTAGGCGACTCTAGCTAGGCGACCCTCTCAGGGTTGTGCCTGGCAGGCTCTGCAGCCCAGCAGAGCCTGCCGTGGTCTCGCTGAGCGCTCGACTGCGCCCGCCTACCCCAATAGAGCTTTGAGGGGGGGCGGGCGGGTTTAGGGTTTAGGGTTTAGGGTTTAGGGTTTAGGGTTTAGGGTTTAGGGTTTAGGGTTTAGGGTTTAGGGTTTAGGGTTTAGGGTTTAGGGTTTAGGGTTTAGGGTTTAGGGTTCAGGGTTTAGGGTTTAGGGTTTAGGGTTTAGGGGCCAGCTCTTGACAGGTAAGTCGGGATCTTAGGTGCTTTGTGCCCACCTGCACCCTTTGAGGCTGCCATCCCCCGAAGAGGCGGCAATAAGGGTTTAGGGAGCCTGACAGTTGTCATGCTGCAGAGCCGAAGGCCCATCCTCGACTAGGGCAGGTGCTTACCAACAGCAAGCACAAGCGCCAAACGAGAACCCAATCCCAGAGAGGTTTTCGGGAAGAATCCAAGAAAGCATAAAGCACGTGCAGAATAGACGCTAAGCGTCCAAGGCACGGCCACCCCCCCACCCCCTACCTTTCAACGGGACGAGAAATGGAGAAACCCATGCTGCCAGTGAGTCAGTGCGTGCGACTGGCCAGAGCATCCATGCCTGCTCGATGATTACGTACATGTTACCACTGCGTGCGAATGGCCACAGCATCCATGCCCGCACAATGAGAAAGTCCGTAATTATTGCCAATGCATGGGAATGGCCAGATCGAGCATCCATGCCCACACGATGATTACGTCATGGAGGTTCCGCCCGCAGATTGAGGGCCTGGAGCGTGGAACTCTGGCTGCCAGATGACTGTCGTGTATTGGGGACGAGAAGGTCAGGAGGGAACGTTTCTTTAGGCGGGAGCGCGCGTTGTCCATTCACCCACTCACGCATTCATTCACTCCATTTCCACTCATGGACTACCCGCGCTGTCCGTGGTTCTGCAGTTCTTTGCCGTGCCAGAAATTTACGGCCAGTCTTGCTGACGCGCACAGTTCAGGAGATGCTGGTGCCCGCGGATTTCGCTCGAAATGAACACAACTGTATTTCGTGGAGTACTCCCCTGCCCCTATGAATATCTTGCCATATTAGAGGGCTAGGGCTTCGGGGAAGGTCGGAGTCTTGGCTTGGGAATGCAGATCTGCCTTTGAAAGGAGTGTGTCCAGCGTCTTGCCGCAAGCAATGCCGGTTTCTCAGAATTTTAGACATTTTAGATCATTCGTGTTGGTGCCAGCAAGTCTTGCAATGCGACGGAATCTGTCAATCACTTGACAGTGTAGTTCTCCTGTTCAGTCAATGTTCCCGTCAAGATTGAGCGGCTAGAGTGGAAGGTCAAAGCCAATGTGCGCATCGCCGAGTGTGCCATTCACCATTTCCCATCGGACAAGGCCTCGACTCTCGACAGTGTGATTTGGGGTCATCCAACTCTACAAGCCTCCAAGCCACTTTTCTAGACACCAAGCTTTTTGAGCTTTCGAGGATGTTCTCTCCATGGAGACCCCCAGACTGTCAGATTCTCGTACTTCCATGGATGGGGTGAGCAGACTGTGTGATTTCTCAATTTCTTAGGTACCATGACTTCCATGTGCTGGGCGATCCATCCGGTCCCTTCTACGCAGCACAGGCTTTGATGCTCGGGCCTTGCTGTTTGTACCACAAGCAGGCAGCTTGTTGCAGCTTGCGATCTTGTGCCGCCTAAGAGAGTTACCAGAGGTTCTTGCAGCAAAAGTTTGGCACCATCCCATCCGTGCATGCCATTGGCGGAGCCTTGGCCTCAGAGAGGTAGAGTCAGGTAGAGCAGAGGCAGAGCCCTTTGGGGACCCATCCGAGCAGTGCTCAGAGGCCGGCCGCGTCGTGGTCGAAGTGATGCAGCGAATAAGAAAGGAGGACCAAGCGGGGCAGGCAAGGGGCCCCGAGAGCATGGCAAGGGCCCTGTCGGATCCTCCCAAAGATGTTCCAAGATGTCCGAAGATGTTCCATGATTCCTAGCTTTGTTTGTTGGAGGCCAAGCGGTCAACGCTTGGTGGCAAAGTCGAGATGATTCAGAACAACGCCCAGATGCCATTCTTAACTCTGTGGCAGCTGTGTCCGGGTGGTTCTGTGGTTTGACGAGCACTGCATCTTTTTGGGAATGGGACACAAAGGCCAGGAGTTCCTCCAGTTGCACCGAGTCCAAAAGGGGCTGCTGCCATCAGGCACGGTACAGTCGGCACATCACGAACATCGTTCACGAAGCATGTGTTTTTGCTGTCGCTTCGAGATGTGTTGCGAGTTCCAGCTGAGAGGCGTCGCGAGGAAGCGTCACAGACGTAGTAGCCCAAGACTGTACAGGATACAGGTTCGAAAGAATGTCGTGTCGGTCTTGGAGCAAACAAACCCAGCAGTCTTGCAAAGGTCCCCTGCTTTGCAGGCCAGTGCATCACCAGAGGTGCCTTCACTGTCTTGCTCCAGCTTAACATGCCCTCTCAAGTCTTTGCGACGGAGTCTGCAGGTGCAAGAAGCCAAGCCCTCCAAGATCAGCGAGTTGGTTGAGAACTCACTCGCTTCTCTCGTTCCGGAATGCGCAAGAGCCGGATGCCGCTTGATAAGGTGGTCATCGATCGTCGGGTTGACCTCTTCTCTGTACTATGTTCCCAGTTCACCTACCAGGCAGGGAACTTGCGCAGGATTTGCGTGGCCGTCGCTTTCTCAACGCAACACGCTCTCCGAGAAGGCCCTCATCGATGCTACATATGGTATTCAAAACAACTTGTCTGGCATCCCAGAGCAGCGACCCTCCGAGCCATGTCAGCAGCGTTTTCGGTGCCCAGGATTGACATCAGCAATGCCGCCTGGGCCAAGGCGGCCAGGGCTTTGATTCTCCCTTGTGGGCCGTTGTGCAATGTCGTACATGCGTCTTCACTCCAAAATATGCCAAAAGTCGACCTTCGAGTCTCAATGACACGCCCACATTCAATACGCTGGGTTCAGCTCTCTAGCACGTCACGCAGCAGGGATGAGACCACAGCGCAAAACTGCGACATACTGCGACCACATGTTATGTAAGTTCATAGAGTAGGGTTGGAGGTGACAAAGCACCCCCGCATTTTCGCGCTGACCCGCCCCGTATCCTGCGCGACTGCCTTCATGGTGGGAAAAGGGTCTGAGGCATGTCCTGTGGAGGGCTCACGATACTCCAGGGTGCAGGCATGTGAAGGCGCTGGGTCTTCCATCAATGTCTCCCAGCAATCCGAACCCCTGTCGCAATGGTTCAGTCTGGAGACATCGCGAGACATCTCGAGACCGCGCCTTCTTCGAACGGAACAACTGTTGCTTTGAGGCTGCTCAAAATTAAGGAGGCTTTTTTGTAAGACTTGGCACGGAGGCCGATCACCGACGCATCGCAGCCCACTCTCATGTCCGGAGTGACAATCCCGCCCTGCCGAAACATTGATTAAGATTGATTGAGTTCGAAGCCGGAGAAAGCTGGCAACAAAAAAACAGAGTTTCTGAATGGAGGCTTTGCAGGTGACCTTGAGCACCTTCAGTTCTTATCCTTGAGAGCGACTTTTGTTGTAAATCCATTTCCGTGAAGCCATGCCCAGTGGAAAATGCAGGGCACCGGTGTGGGTGATTTCTGGTGTGGCTAGAGGACTCATTGCCACATGGGCTGTGGGTGGCGGGGTTGCTTGGCATGCAAAAACAATCCTTCTGCTTTTGCTGGATTGCTGCTAGAATACATCTTCTTGTGGGAGCTGAGAGACCTTCGGGACTTGCGGAACGCGCATGCAAGAAAGACGTGTCGTCTCAGTATTGAGTGGCCGACCTTTAAACCAGGGCGATCAGGACAACAGTAACTAAGTGGTGGTCGGTGTGCCCGAGGGCCGGAGTGAGTGTCGATGCTAGTAGCTTTAGGATTTCCGTGTTGCATCGGTTCGTGGTTTCAGGATCGGGGAAGCTCCAATTCGACCGTGAAACTGTCTCCGGACGATCTCTTCTATCAGGACACCTTTGCTGCATCCAGAAGAAGAGTTGCCCGCTGAGCTATACTGCATGGATGCATTGCAGGAGATCCGCGATTTGCACATCGACAAGTTGGGGCCGTTGTTAGAGGATCCTGATGCACTTGTCTTATCCGACGTGCTATTGATGCATCTGGCTTGCAGGAGAAAGCACGCGCTGTTCAACAGACCTATTCAGAGAAGGTGCAATCTCGCATGACCAGTCAGACAGGACAATCTGATGCTTGCAAGACTTAGGACAACGTCAAGAACAAAAGTGCCAGTGACATGGCCGAGTACATCAAGAAGTTTAAGACTGCCCAGCGAGGAGCTCGTTTCGCTGCTGCCGAGCGCTTTGTTTACGGTGCTCACGCTCTCCAGAACCTGCTGACAAAATCTGAGGTCCGCGCATCCCCTCTTGGAGATGCACATCAACTTAGCCCATGCCCTCAAAGACAAGATTCAGACTGAGGCCTTTCACACGATGGCAAACATGGAAGGCGGTTCATGTGGAGAAGATAAGCCCAAGAGGACTACAGGCAAATGCTCAAGCTGGAGGAGCCGCGCAGGCCTCATATGCTTCGGTACATGGAAGGCAAAGTCTTATCAGGACGAAATCACTGCGCAAAGCACCAGCTCCCAAAGCTGCTTAGACCTGGTAGAGGTGGGACTCCCGGAGTGCTGTGTAGCCGCAGTGTAGCCGCTGTACCCATCGCGATCTGTCCATTCTGTCCCGACGCTCACGCGAGGACATCATGGATGATCAGAAGCCATTTCACGAGGTGCCCACTCTTTGCCTCTTCTGAGCCTCCGCAGCACGAGAAGAAGCTCCCCAGGCTTTGAGGTTGCTGTGCTTGCTATCCCTGGTGAACAATGGCATCAAGGCAGCTTCGGCTTTGTGCATCTTCGTGGGTTTGCCGGTTTTGCAGTGGTTGTGTTTAGGCCAAGCAGCTGGACCAGCTCAAGCGAACCTTCCTGCAGCCAGGAGCTGTGTGCCACAGGTTGTCCTGCAGGATCACTCACCGCTCGTTTAAGGTCTTACGGATTCGAACACATGCTCACCCTGGCGAACATGGAGCGTAACTGACCCAGCAGCTTTGCTGAACTTGGTGTCGGTTTTGCTGACCATGTCCTGCCAAGGAGCCGGTCTTCTGCGCTACCAGCAGGGCAAGTCGGGCTGGCACAGCACTCGGGGGGCATTTTGCGGCGCGTTGCTGTCTTTGCTGCACGATCGACAGGCCTAAGCTCGGACATGCCTTTTTGGCCCCTGCAGACTCAGGAGCACCATCAAGAGGCAGTTCAACCTTTTCGTGGAGGAGACTGCCGCTCGTGCAGCCTGCGCCGTTCTGCCGTTCACGTGTTGGACGTGCACGTCACTGGGGAGGATGCTGCGGCAGACCAGGACATCAGCTATGCTTACAGCGGCTGCGGCCCAGGGAGTAGCGGGCACACGCGGAAGTCAGGGCGTGTCCAGCGCCTCTTCCTGTGTCCTCCCCAGGCTACGCACCTCTGAGTGTGCGACTGGTGCAGATGACCAGGCCCGATATTTTCGTTCAATCGTCCAGTGCCAGAGTCATGCTGCAAGCCCTGGCGGCCCTGGCGTTCAGCCCATGTGCACCCAGGAGCCAGCCGAAAGGTTGGATAGCTCTGAAAGATGCCCTGTTCCTATGATGTGCAGAGGGCCGCGAATGATTGTCAGCAAACTTGTCAGAGTTTGTCGGTGTTTGGATTGCTACTAGTAGGGTGCTTGCAGCTTTGCACTTGTCGAGGCCCTGAGCCTGCTACATGGCCCCGCGCAGGTGACTGCTCAACAAAAGCAAGTTTTTTGAGTTAACACTTCTTGGAACAAGCTCTCCAGAATCGGAGTCGCTTTGCAGGAGCTTCAGCAGCCGGATTCGACCTCGGCAAGGGAGTCGCAACCCCATCTTGTAGCCCCGGCCCGTAGGCTGATATCCCTGCAGAGTCCACCTACAGGCAAGATCCCAACAAGCCCTCGATCGTGTTGGTGTGCTTCCTCGGCCACGTCCCCTGATCTCTCTTGACGCTGCAGAAGGGAAGACGGGAACGCGCTTCGTGGTGCTTTGTCGTGAGGTGGTGTTACAAGTGGAGAGATTGCGGCGCTCCGCCGACTCTCCGAGCTTGAGGATGGCCGCCGCAGGCCCATGTAGTGACAATGTAGTGCAAGAGTTGATGCTGGCAGACACTGGTAGACCATCGTGTCCTCGCCATTCCCCAGATTCTTAATCATGACCACGGAGTTCATCAACTCGAAGAAGCTCTTTGCAGCAATCTCAGCAGAGGGGCATACCGTGTGCATCTTTCCTTTGTTTCCTCTGCGTACTTTTCTCTCTCCAGCCTCGTCAAGGAGTCCATGCGCAATGAGGACGTCTTCAAGCAGCCTCCCGTTGAGGGTAGAGCAAGGCCGGCAGTCTGAGGTTTCCGATAGTCAGATAGCCGTCGTGGGCCCTCTTACTGAACACGTGTCATGGGTGCAGTATGGTGCAGTTCTACTGTGCGCAAGCCAAGCTTTGGCCAAGCTCATGCTTCGCTTGCAGGCCACAGGAGAGGTCGAGAGGGTTTGGGCGCCTGCCTTAGAACCCCCTCACAAAAGCATAGGATAACACCAAGTCCACTGGAGCGGGAGGTTCTGGCCCACGAACCGATGACGTGGAGGTCCTCCCAGGGCGGGCGAAGATTGGCAAAGATACGCCTTGGAGGTCACTGTGATTGTGTCTCCATCCTCTTCAAGGTGCTCTGTGGCATTGGCCCTTGCCTAGTAGCTTCGCTTCTTTGATGCACTTGGAGTCGACGGTGCTGTGATGCATGGTGGTCCAGTGACGGTGCTTCTGTGGCCGTGAACGAGCGGTCTGCAGCTGTTCCGCGGTGTGAGGGAAGCTGCTTAAAGTTGTTGCACATGTACATACAGGAACCATACATGTACATAATGCCAACGTGTCCTGACTTGCTGCCGGCATCCGGCAGTGACGGCCTGCAGCAAAAGAAGTTCTGGGAGGCAAGTGAATGCCATTCGTTGCCCCGTGTTAGCCATGTTGCGAAGCTGACGATTCCAATCGTGTGTGTGTGTGTGTGTGTCGCTCAGGTTCAGCTTCGTCACGAATGAGCTGCACAGACGCTCACAAGCGTTCTCATGCTGCGCCAGGGCCAGATGGCCTCAGCAGATCCAGCTTCGGCGTACAGCAAAGAAATATACACGGGCTTGAATCTCGTGACAGCCGCTGTCCTTGCAACGCGTGCAGGATAAAAAGAGCTGATTGCCTTGCGGCACACATAGCTAGCACTTCCGCAAGATGTCACGCCATGGTGTCTTTGTCTGTGTGTGTGTGCGTACATGCAGCGTTTACCACTTGCAGAACCAGTGGAGCCCAATCTACGACATCTCAGCGATCTTGACTTCCGTTCAGGCAAGGTTCCGAGAGTTCATAAGCCGCCCTCAGAGCATGTTTTGACAGTTTGAGGATTGGTGATGAAGGTCCTCAACTAGTAAGTAGAGGCAAGGCCACCTGACATGTGCACTGCTGTCTTGGATCAGCTGCGGAAGGAATGCACATTGAATACGGTAGACACAGGTGGTCACGGTAGCCACCAATTAAGATTCTTGGTGAAGCCTTGCTTGAAATTGGGGGGACCTCCTGTCTAAAACACTATGGAGACAGAGTGCACCTCTGCCTTGATACCTTACTGTTGGTGAGTAGGGGAATCAGGGAATGAGGTACCCTATCTAATCCCCAAAAGGGGGATCGGATATACCTTTCAAGGAATTATATCCATCATCCCCTCTACTCGCCAACAGTAAGCTTCTGCCGGAGTCGCTGCTGACGGACCCGAATCCGAGCTCGCCTGCGAATAGCGAAGCCGCGAAGCTTTGGCAGAGCCCTCAGACGCTTCATATGAACCCCTAAAACTCCTAGAGCCTAAACCCTAAAACCCTAAAACCCTAAACCCTAAACCCCTAAACCCCTAAACCCCTAAACCCCTAAACCCTAAACTCTAAACCCGAAACCCCTAAACCCCTAAACCCCTAAAACCTTGAGCCGGCAACAATCTGGGGAACCTACATGTGAGTCGCCGAGTTGTTTTATCAGAGCTGCAAGGTCGGAGAACCGGCGAGAATACAATCGCAGAGTGACCGAGATCGTTGAGGTCACGGGCAGATAAGATGGTCAAAAGCTAAAGAGTGTAGACCGAACTTGCGACGTGAGCTACATGTGAGAATCGGGGCGCACGGGGGCTTTAGGCTTAGGCTTTCTCTGCGTGAGGCCCGAAATTGGGATAGAGAGCGTAGTTCGCTGCCTGTGAGCCGTCGCTGGTAGAGGGATGTTCGGCATGACGCATCTGCCCCAGGGTTTCTCAGCATCACGAGTGCATGTCAGTCGAGGCGTTCTGAGAGTCACTTCTGGTTCTTTGTTTCCATGAGAGTGGAACACGTTTTGAAAGGAATTACTTTCAGAATTCTCCGCTGTTTGGACTGGAAGATCTGGAAGCAGGAGAGCTGGGTGGCAGCAGATGCGCTTTGCGACGAGGCTGGTCGAGCCAACTTGCTTCGCTTCTGGCGCACCCGACGATGCGACTTCAGGATGCAGCGATGGCTGGGGATGTCGCAGAGGGCTAGGACGAGGACAGCAGAAATGTTTTGAGCAGGTGAGCGTTCCTCGTTCCAGTTGCAGGATTTGCGGAGGTGAACCGGTGTGCACAATGCAGGTGAGCGGACATCCTCCTCAGAAAGCCCATAGTGCCACAGGGTCAGGGCAGGGAAAGAGCTAGAGCGGCAGTTTCTAAAATGAAGACTGTTCCATTGGCCTCGTCAGAGCTGCCATGTTCTGTACATAGAGTCGAGGAGAAGCTCATGCGTTGTGCTTCGCACTGCAGCATTTGGAGGGTGTGGTTTGAGAGGCCACGACGTTTCGTAGCATGACAAGCAGCGTGAAGCACGTCGCATGTCTCACTGGATTGAAGTTCTCGAGAGCAGTGTCCGACAATTGTGCTTTGACGTGGACATGTATGTGAATGCAGCCGCCGCCTCCCCCAGAAGCAGCGCTGCTTGATGATTCAGCAGCTTTCTGTAAAGCTGTTACGCTTGCAGAGCTAGTGAGCTGCAGCTGAGCTGCTCAAGCCCTGTGGAGACTCTTTGCCGATCTCCTTGGCCGGCTCTTCGAGAGCTGGAAACTCAGCATGCCAAAGAGATCCGCTGCAGTTCGAGTCAGGGAGACCAACCATATCACAGAAGCAACGAATCAGATCAGAACCAGGAGAAGGCTTTAAGGTTTTCAGGTTCAGGGTTCAGGGTTGGTTTTGGGGCGGAAGGCTTAGGGTTTTTAGGGTTGATCGTTTAGGGTTCAGCCTTCAAAAACTTTGCAAGGCTCATTGAGGGGCTCATTCCAGTGCCTGTATCTGGTCCTAGAAAATTGCCAGCCCCTTCAGGGTTGGCTTTGGCAAAAGCGGCGGGCTCGATTCGGTTCCGCTCCGTGGTCTTTCGCGGACACTCGCCTCACGCCACTTTCTGCAAACTTTTCCGACTAGCCCAAAAAACTCTAGGCAATCCTCCTTCTTCTCCTGGGATACGCAAACTGGCCCTGCAGGAGGAAGTCAACCTGTTTTGTCGCGCTCTCCAACCCCAATATGCCCTCAAGGGAGGCTCCAGAAGGCCCAGGAGGCCTCAAAAAGTGAAACCCTCCATGCCCCAAAGACCGTGCCGAGTCCCAAAAGATCTACGGCCCACATGGAAGGACCCCAAATGGAGTTCCAGGTTTGTTTGGTCTTTGCGTTCACCGGGGGGAGCAAAGGCCGTCCGGGATTTGCGGCTGGCCCTTTCGGCACGCCAGCCTTGGGGGCTTTTTTTTGGCAGCCCACGGCCCCATTTCTGGGAGGGGCCGGTCTTCAGTTTAGGGTTTAGGGTTTAGGGATCAGGGAGACGGAGCCAAGGAGAAAATTTTTGGGATCCTGCAATCTGGCGCAGGTTTATTGTTTAGGGTTCGGGGTTTGGGATTTAGGGTTTAGGGATCCAGCTCGTCATACATCCACTGGTGCAGCAAAACCTTTCACGCGCATGCGATCTGCTTCGCGGACTGCGCGATCTGTTCGTGCGTTCGGATTGGTAGTGCCACTGCCCTTAGCTGTCCTGGCTGTGTAGCGGCCACCGGTCCAGCAAGCGTGCTCCCAGTCTACTCGCATCATGAACAGTCGCAGGTTTTCATGCACTGCGTTGATCGCGACATCACGGACAGTAGTATCTTCACGGCAAGAGCCACCGAGTGGATCACCGAACCAGGAAGGTCCGTAGTTGCAGCTTAGCTTGTAGCTCCCCTTCATCCCCCCAGACTGGCATGGTACATGCTAAAAGTAGCGATCTGAAAATGCGGCACTGAGGTTGCACCCACCTCATCGGGCATGATGCAGCCTGTAGTAGCAGGACAGCTCTGGCACGGCCTGACGGATTCGCGACGCTGATGACTTGGTTGAGTTGATGGGCAGGATTCGTCGGATTCGCAGTGGCTCCAGGATGGCCGGCGTGGCCAAAACCCCCAGCAGGTGCCTCAATGGCCCCAATCCTTCCTGGCGGCCGTCGGCACAGCCGTCGCTTTCGCTTTGCTGGCTCAAGGTCTTTGCTGCTTACTCTTCTGGCGTGCGCCTGGCTCGTTTGAGCATGGTTTAGCTGCGGCAGCTGCGGTGTGAGGGGCCTGGGAGGGGCATCGGGGCATGTAGGAAGATGTCGAGACAGGCTTCGTCAACAACGGCATCAACGGCCAACACGCCTCCAGCCTCGCCGACGGCAGTTCGCCTGGAGGCTGTCAGACTGTCAGGTAGCTGTGCTTAACGGCTTATCATCGCATCGCCACATGGTAGCCGTTGCACAGGTCCTTCGCAAAGCAAACGAGAGTGCCGGTTGCCGCGAGCTGCAGAAGTTCCTTCCTCGGTGCTCGTCCTTTCATGGGCCCTAGGCTTTCTGAAACTCGCTGAACCCCCGGCAAGGCTCCTCCAATTCGGCACGTGGGAGGAGCAGGCGGCATGCCTGGCCTCCTTGTAAATCTCCGTAGGCCTGGATGGTGCGCAGCAGGAAGAAATCCTGTCACAGCTTGTTGGAAACGTGGCCGACGTTGCGGCCTCGGTAGCGCCCAGTCGCAGCACGCGCAGCGCTCGCTCGCATAGCACTGGCAGGGCACGCAGCAGCGCTCGGCACAAGGGTGGGTGGGACGTGAGCGAGCCAAGGTTGCGCAATCCCCGCATGGAAACTTTGTGCTGCAGCATGCGATCCGCGTGCTGAGCTCCGAGCGCTTGGTTTTCGTCCGGGGCTTGGTATGCTTGGTCGCTGCTGTTGACTGCAAGTCACTGCTTGTCGACGTCGGACATGGGGGCAGACTCAGCCACGGATGGATACGGTTCTCTCGGTTCTACATGCTTCTATCAGGTGAGTCAGGAGCTTCGCAGCTGGCGCAGCCCAAAGGAGATTGCCAAGCACAAGTGCCCCGGACATGATGGAGTCCTGCATGCTGTTGCAGTTCGCTGAGACGAGCTACGGGTCGCGCGAGCTGTGTCGCGAGCTGGTACCTAGCCTAGGTACGCATGCCGCGTCTTGGAAAGAATGATCGAGTTCTTTCCCCTTGAGCACACTTTCTATTTCATGAAGGAGGGCTGTCTCGATCAAAGTGCGTCACAGCCTTCTCGTTGCCGGAGCACGGTCATCATTAGAGGAAATTGTCCGCCACACGGTCGAGCTGTCATCTCATGCCTGGGCCTCGGAGAGAGAAGCGGAAGGACTTTCTTCCGGGCCTTGCGATAGTTTCGATGTCGTGTGCCAGAGGCCATCGGAAACTATTCTGTGCAGCACTGCATGGAGTATGGAAATGTCAGCTGCCGCCGCGAGATTGTGCCCAGCTCAGCGACATTCGGCGACGACGATTTGTAGATGTTGCAGCTAATGGCTTAGGCAATTAGGGTTGCGTCTGTTCTCAGACCATGAGCCTTATACACTCCAGACTAGTTGCGGAGCAGGGAGGTGGAAACCGGCCTGCAGTGTGGCACACGCAGCAGCAGAAGCGGCAGCAGCATGCGGCAGCAGCAAAAGAAACATGGAAACGCCTGCAGGGAGTGACTCTGCTTCGTATCTGCAGGCTCACCCAACGCACCTGAAGCCCAGCAAGACACGTACGTGGCCAGCATCGCATACAGTCAGAAAGTCTGAGGATTCCTGTCTGCGATGTCTATCTCTTCCCTGTCCTGAAGCGGCGGGGGGGAGGGGGGGTGGGGGTTTAGAGGTGGTCAAACAAGCAGGACTTTCTGACCAGCAAGGCATCATGGCCCACAACTGGAAACGGAGATTCCTTGCAGTCCATCCGAAGACACTCCTCGCCTCGCCCTCTGCTGTTTTCTATCTGTCCCAGCTCCACTGTCGCCAAGCGGGGCCGGAGCAGAGGGTTGGTTCAGTTCTCGATGCCAAGCTTTCCGTACATCTCCCCATTCGGTCCCTGGGCCTTCTGACTATGCTGTCAGATGCTAATGTCACGGGTCGCAGACCCGCGTTGAGACGACTGGACGTAGCAGAGACACGGTGAGGGGGCCGAGGCCACTGTCGTGTTGAACCACATCCACGAGTTCGCAGTGGATCCCTATGGCTGCGGAGTTCTCAACAAGGCGTGATCGGATGAGAAGATGTGCCTGAGAACTTGGATGTAAGCCCATGTAAACCCTGTAAATCTGCAGGCGCTCATCCACGCACCGCAGTGGGAGCAGCTTCTGATGGCATCGGCCCTGGCTGGAGACGACCGCGTCTTCCGCCAGATGGCCGCCATGCAAAAGGGCCGAATGCTCAGAAAGGAGCGTATGCAAGCCCATGCAAGCTCACGAGAGCGATTGCATTCCGCCGTGCCGCAGTGCCCTGGGCTGAGGCTTTGCTGCCACGCAGAGCCTTTTCCAAGCCGCCTGGACTGCTCGTGGCACTTTTGGACATGATTTGAAGTTTGAGGGGCTTCTTCAGAGTAGAAGTTTTGAAGGGCTGTAGGGCGCGCCCCACCTGGCGCTGCCGCAAACGCCCGCCCGAAGACCATTGAGTTGGGTTTCAGGTGGTCCGGCGGTCCAGGGAGTCAGGCGTCTCCGAAGTCTCCGGGAATCCTCGGTTCTTGATGGGACAGAAGGTGAGTGGGTCCCAGCGGGTTCTGGCAAGGGGCCCTGCCCTGCACCAGGCGCCTTGGGTCTTTGGGGAGGGTGGTCGCGCCTCTGAGGTTGCGCAGCTCTATCCGTTCTTGAACAAGCGCGTGCGGTACCTCCTGCAGGCGGGAAGAAGGAACAAAGACCCTAAAGTGGCTCAGAGAGACTAGCAGGGACCTGGTAAGTCCGAGTCTCGGTCACTAAGAAAAACCTCGACATCTCCCAGACGAAGCATGGCCAAGCACTGCTGCACACATTGCCGGGACCTTGTGGTCAGCCGCAGTTACTGTGCAGCTTCTGTGCAGTTTCTGCGTCCTGCCGCCTCTGAATCTTTCTCTGCACCGTGACCCGAGGCTCCCGGAGCTGGGAGCCATCAGAGTCACAGGCGCAGGCTGGCAGAGCTCGGGCCTCGGATGGGCGAAAATGGACGGAATGAAGCCTTTCAAGTGCGCCTCAAGCTGTGCATGTGGCTCAGGGGCCCATCCAAATCATGGGTTTCGACCTCCTAACTAGGTCACGCGCGCGCGTAATTTGCCATGTTGGTTTTGGGCACCCTAAATGTGCGTAACACCTAGGTTTAGCAGAACTTCAGGCGTAATCAGGTGCTAAATGCTGCAAACGATTTCTTCTTCACGCAATCCCATGCGATTTACAGAACTCCAATGCCCTGATATCTCAGAGCCCGGTTCGGCACACGAGACCCTGATATTTGAGGGCGCACCCGAAAGCTTTTGCAGAAAGCTGGGTTTGCTATGTGCACCCATGTTCTTGCGGCACGCCCACGTGTAGGTGCGGACTCCCTCTGCAGGGTCTAGGGTTACTGGGGTGACCTGCTGTCGAAAAACCTTTAGCATGTGTTCTTGAGAACTCCCTTTGCAGGATTTAAAGGTTCAGGGGGTGACCTGCGGTCGAACCCTGAGCCTTCTACGTCCCCCTTCACTGACAGCCCAAGCGGATGCATTGGTGATGAACGTAATCACCCCCCCTTCCCCGGCACAAATGGATGCGGATCATCCCACCCCCACTCTCCCCCCGCCCACTCCCCCACTCCCCCACCCCTCCAACACCCGAAGAACTGTCCAAGAAGCGCGGATTTCGGTCAAGGCGCGCGAAATCATCCAGCAATCTGTGCTCGCGTCACCAACTATTTTGCATGTTCACCCCCACCGCCCTTGGAGCTCGAGACGAGGTTGTGCATGCTCCAGATTGTTTGTTGTTGGCATTGCAACGCACATTGTTCGCAGCCAAGGCAGCGAGAAGCCACAGAAGTCCAAGCAGAAGAAGCACGGCAACCATGCCAAGTGCGGCAACAACCGCTCCAACCGTCAGCAAGGCTACAATGGGTACAACCGTGGCTGGAATCACTGAGTTCAGCCGCCATGAGCGAAGCGCTGCGAAGCGCGTACGGAGCTGAGCTCTGTCGGAGACACGTTATTTGTGTACAAGAGCTTACCGGAACACATGCAGGCATCGTGATCCTTGCATCATATGACATCCATGATGGAAGATCCCTTCTTGTTCTTGTGATCGTTGTGCAACTGAACTGCTTTGTGAGACTGACCTGAGCCGGACAGGTATGACAAAGTTGCCGTTCCTTTGCCTTTGTGTTGGCCTGAGGTGGAAGGCAGTGCTGACCTTCCGCAGCTGTGACAGCTGCCTTACCTGAAATTTGTACAGATGGAGCTGCAAAGTACGGCGCCTCGGATTCTGGGACGTTCTTCTGGCTCCGGTCTTCCGGTGCTTTAGGAGGTCTCCTCTACCCGAGCAGAATGCTCCTGGTTCCCTTTCTCCGCTGTTGTGCCCGGACCATGAGGGCAACAGCTGCAGCCCCGTTTCAATGATCCGCTCCAGCACGCTTTGTGTGTGTCTTTGAACTGTCTCTGCGTCATTGTGTCATTACTTGCAAGTATTTCATGAGAGTATTCATTCGTCGGGGTATCGCATGCACAGAGCCAAAGGCTGGCGAGCCTGCCTGTAAATACTGGCAAGGCCATGTGAGCTATTTGCTTTCAAAGTGTATATCGATGTATGCTGAATCTGTTGATGCTCACCTTTCCTCAGATGGCCTTTGTGCACAGTTGGTCACCAAGGACCAAATTATCTTTTCGCCAACTTTGGCAACCTTTATTTGCAATCTGATTGACTGAACGGAGCACCTTCTGCTGATGTTGAGGAATGTGAAGAGAGTCATGCGCTGCAGCATCCGGAGGGTGTGACCTGTTTCGTGCCATGACAAGCTGGGTTGAAGTTCTCGAGAGCAGTGCCAGGCATGTCTGCTTCGATGTGGACATGCACGTGAAGACAGCCCCCATCGGCCCCCAAACAGCGCTGCCCGATGATCCAGCAGTTTGCTGTAAAGCCATTACGCTTGCACAGGGCCGGTTGTTTTGCGGCTGGAGCTGCTCAAGCCCTGTTGAGACTCTTTGCCGCTCCTCCCGGTCGGCTCTTCAAGAGCTGGAAACTCAGCATGGCTGCGTAGCTGCCGTCGGTCTGGCAGTCTAGCATGCTTCCAGTGTACTCGCATCATGAACAGTCGCATCATGAACAGTCGTATGTCTTTTTACTTTTACGGTTTGTGCAATGTGTTGATCGCAATAGTATCTTCACAGCAAGAGCCACCGAGTGAATCACCGAACTAGGAAGGTCCATAGTTGCAGCTTAGCTTGTAGCTCATGAAAACACGGCACTGAGGTTGCACCCACCTCATCGGGCATGATGCAGCCTGTAGTAGCAGGACAGCTCTGGCACGGCCTGACGGATTCGCGACGCTGATGACTTGGTTGAGTTGATGGGCAGGATTCGTCGGATTCGCAGTGGCTCCAGGATGGCCGGCGTGGCCAAAACCCCCAGCAGGTGCCTCAATGGCCCCAATCCTTCCTGGCGGCCGTCGGCACAGCCGTCGCTTTCGCTTTGCTGGCTCAAGGTCTTTGCTGCTTACTCTTCTGGCGTGCGCCTGGCTCGTTTGAGCATGGTTTAGCTGCGGCAGCTGCGGTGTGAGGGGCCTGGGAGGGGCATCGGGGCATGTAGGAAGATGTCGAGACAGGCTTCGTCAACAACGGCATCAACGGCCAACACGCCTCCAGCCTCGCCGACGGCAGTTCGCCTGGAGGCTGTCAGACTGTCAGGTAGCTGTGCTTAAATGCTTGTCATCGCATCGCCACATGGTAGCCGTTGCACAGGTCCTTCGCAAAGCAAACGAGAGTGCCGGTTGCCGCGAGCTGCAGAAGTTCCTTCCTCGGTGCTCGTCCTTTCATGGGCCCTAGGCTTTCTGAAACTCGCTGAACCCCCGGCAAGGCTCCTCCAATTCGGCACGTGGGAGGAGCAGGCGGCATGCCTGGCCTCCTTGTAAATCTCCGTCGGCCTGGATGGTGCGCAGCAGGAAGAAATCCTGTCACAGCTTGTTGGAAACGTGGCCGACGTTGCGGCCTCGGTAGCGCCCAGTCGCAGCACGCGCAGCGCTCGCTCGCATAGCACTGGCGGGGCACGCAGCAGCGCTCGGCACAAGGGTGGGTGGGACGTGAGCGAGCCAAGGTTGCGCAATCCCCGCATGGAAACTTTGTGCTGCAGCATGCGATCCGCGTGCTGAGCTCCGAGCGCTTGGTTTTCGTCCGGGGCTTGGTATGCTTGGTCGCTGCTGTTGACTGCAAGTCACTGCTTGTCGACGTCGGACATGGGGGCAGACTCAGCCACGGATGGATACGGTTCTAACGGTTCTACATGCTTCTATCAGGTGAGTCAGGAGCTTCGCAGCTGGCGCAGCCCAAAGGAGATTGCCAAGCACAAGTGCCCCGGACATGATGGAGTCCTGCATGCTGTTGCAGTTCGCTGAGACGAGCTACGGGTCGCGCGAGCTGCGTCGCGAGCTGGTACCTAGCCTAGGTACGCATGCCGCGTCTTGGAAAGAATGATCGAGTTCTTTCCCCTTGAGCACACTTTCTATTTCATGAAGGAGGGCTGTCTCGATCAAAGTGCGTCACAGCCTTCTCGTTGCCGGAGCACGGTCATCATTAGAGGAAATTGTCCGCCACACGGTCGAGCTGTCATCTCATGCCTGGGCCTCGGAGAGAGAAGCGGAAGGACTTTCTTCCGGGCCTTGCGATAGTTTCGATGTCGTGTGCCAGAGGCCATCGGAAACTATTCTGTGCAGCACTGCATGGAGTATGGAAATGTCAGCTGCCGCCGCGAGATTGTGCCCAGCTCAGCGACATTCGGCGACGACGATTTGTAGATGTTGCAGCTAATGGCTTAGGCAATTAGGGTTGCGTCTGTTCTCAGACCATGAGCCTTATACACTCCAGACTAGTTGCGGAGCAGGGAGGTGGAAACCGGCCTGCAGTGTGGCACACGCAGCAGCAGAAGCGGCAGCAGCATGCGGCAGCAGCAAAAGAAACATGGAAACGCCTGCAGGGAGTGACTCTGCTTCGTATCTGCAGGCTCACCCAACGCACCTGAAGCCCAGCAAGACACGTACGTGGCCAGCATCGCATACAGTCAGAAAGTCTGAGGATTCCTGTCTGCGATGTCTATCTCTTCCCTGTCCTGAAGCGGCGGGGGGGAGGGGGGGTGGGGGTTTAGAGGTGGTCAAACAAGCAGGACTTTCTGACCAGCAAGGCATCATGGCCCACAACTGGAAACGGAGATTCCTTGCAGTCCATCCGAAGACACTCCTCGCCTCGCCCTCTGCTGTTTTCTATCTGTCCCAGCTCCACTGTCACCAAGCGGGGCCGGAGCAGAGGGTTGGTTCAGTTCTCGATGCCAAGCTTTCTGTACATCTCCCCATTCGGTCCCTGGGCCTTCTGACTATGCTGTCAGATGCTAATGTCACGGGTCGCAGACCCGCGTTGAGACGACTGGACGTAGCAGAGACACGGTGAGGGGGCCGAGGCCACTGTCGTGTTGAACCACATCCACGAGTTCGCAGTGGATCCCTATGGCTGCGGAGTTCTCAACAAGGCGTGATCGGATGAGAAGATGTGCCTGAGAACTTGGATGTAAGCCCATGTAAACCCTGTAAATCTGCAGGCGCTCATCCACGCACCGCAGTGGGAGCAGCTTCTGATGGCATCGGCCCTGGCTGGAGACGACCGCGTCTTCCGCCAAATGGCCGCCATGCAAAAGGGCCGAATGCTCGGAAAGGAGCGTATAAAAGCCCATGCAAGCTCACGAGAGCGACTGCATTCCGCCGTGCCGCTGTAATTTGGGCCGAGGCTTTGCTGCCACGCAGAGCCTTTTCCAAGCCGCCTGGACTGCTCGTGTGGTGTGAAGTTTGAGGGGCTTCTTCAGAGGACTATTCGCGAGGTTGCTCTCAATTTAGGAAGGAGTTGGGTCCCAGGTGCAGGCGGTCCAGGGCGTCAGGTGTCTCCAAAGTGTCCGGGAATCCGTCCGTTCGCCCTGCCCTGTGCGAGGTGCCCTGGGTCTTTCCGGAGGGATTTGTGGTTTTTTTTTGGTGGCCTCGCCTTTGAGGTTGCGCAGCTCTATCCGTTCTTGAACAAGCGCGTGCGGTACCTCCTGCAGGCGGGAAGAAGGAACAAAGACCCTAAAGTGGCTCAGAGAGACTAGCAGGGACCTGGTAAGTCCGAGTCTCGGTCACTAAGAAAAACCTCGACATCTCCCAGACGAAGCATGGCCAAGCGCTGCTGCACACATTGCCGGGACCTTGTGGTCAGCTGCAGTTACTGTGCAGTTTCTGTGCAGTTTCTGCATCCTACCGCCTCTGAATCTTTCTCTGCACCTTGACCCGAGGCTCCCGGAGCTGGGAGCCATCAGAGCGACAGGCGCAAACTGGCAGAGCTCGGGCCTCAGATGGGCGAAAATGGCGAACTTGTGAGATGAGTGGAGATCTGAAGGCTTCCTGGGCTCTTTCGCATCTCGGGACCCCCGAGAACGCGTGGATTAAACTTCTCTAGCATGGGTGAGGGGAGGCTTTGGGGGGAGGCCATGAGCTCGAGATACAAGGGAGCACGGAAGGAAGTCACAAAGGGCTCGACAGCGGCATGAAGCCTTTCTAGCAAGCCTCCAGCTCTGCATGTGGCTCAGGGGCCCATCCAATTCATGGGTTCGGCCTCTAAACTAATTTTGTGCCTTTGCATTTTCTCGCATCTACTAAAGAGTGGAGACCTCCCCACCCTTGGAGCTCGAGACGGGGTTGTGCATGCTCCAGATTGTTTGTTGTTGTCGGCATTGCAACGCACATTGTTCGCAGCCAAGGCAGCGAGAAGCCACAAAAGTCCAAGCAGAAGAAGCACGGCAACCATGCCAAGTGCGGCAACAACCGCTCCAACCGTCAGCAAGGCTACAATGGGTACAACCGTGGCTGGAATCACTGAGTTCAGCCACCATGAGCGAAGCGCTGCGAAGCGTGCAGGGAGCTGAGCTCTTTCGGAGACACGTTGTTCGTGTACAAGAGCTTTCGGGAACCCATGCAGTCATCATGACCATTGTGAGACTGAAAAGTTGCTGTTCCTTTGCTTTTGTGTTGGACTGAGGAGGAAGGCAGTGCTGACCTTCCGCAGCTGTGACAGCTGCCTTACCTGAAGTTTGTACAGATGGAGCTGCAAAGTACGGCGCCTCGGATTCTGGGACGTCCTTCGGGCTCCGGTCTTCCGGTGCCTTAGGAGGTCTCCTCTACCCGAGCAGAGTGCTCCTGGTTCCCTTTCTCCGCTGTTATGCCCGGACCGCGAGGGCAACAGCTGCTGCCCCGATTGAATGATCCGCAACGGAACATGAGACTCCAGCACACACGCACACACACCGTGTGAGAGTTATTGAACCGTCTTTGTGTCCTTGTGTCACTTGTGTCCTTGCTTGTCAGTGTTCAGTGAGAGTGTTCATTCGTCGGGGTGTTGCATGTACAGAGCCAAAGGCTGGCGAGCCTGCTTGTAGATACTCGCAGGGCCATGTGAAGTAAAGTTCTTGCTTGCAAAATGTATCTCGATGTATGCTGAAGCTGTTGATGCTCACCTTTTCCTCAGATGGCCTTTGTGCACAGTTGGTCACCAAGGACCAAATTAACTATTCGCCAACTTTGGCTACCTTTATTTGCAAACTGATTGAGTGATTGACTGATTGACTGAACGGAGCGCCTTCTGCTGATGTTGAGGATTGTGAAGAGAGTCCTGAGGCTTTGCCTTTTCGTCGCAGAATGTAGAAAGCCATCCATGTGGCCGGGGATTTCCATCTGGCAGATGAGCGACGGACCTCGCAATCTATGCCTGTCTGTCGCCTCGAGAATTTTGAAGTTTATCATCCCGACGTGTGCGCATTTAGCATCATGGAGCACTCTAGCAGACTCTGGCACGGCAATGATGCAATTTCCATCTACTACACCAGTGCAGACAGTATGTAGTATAGAGTATAGGTCACGAGGCCCACCCACATCAGTTGTCCTGCTGCGATGTAGCACGTGCCTATGGCAAGCTTCGAGTGCATGATGCTTACCTGCTGAAACTTGTGAACTCGAGGCGTGTGCACAACAGGCTTGCTGTATCCTCTCAGGCAACATTTGTTTGGAACAGGCCGTGGAGCCTGTGGTTACCCGTTGTGGACAAGATCTCAGTTGCTTCCGTACCCTTCCATGCTCTTCTACACTTTCTTTGCATAGGTCATTTGTTCTGCTGGGGATGCCTTCACCAATGGCTCAACTCAGCAGCAGCCGGCCACTGAGCAGAACATCGTAGCCGTAAGATGTTTGCATTGTTCAGAGCTTCAGGCCAATCAAGCCAGCCGGGTTGCACAACTCAATCCCGGTATGAGCGCGGTTTTGGTGCAGATGTGCATGTTCATGATTCATGCTCATGGGTCAGCATGAGCGTCCTTGAAGCCAACGTCTGGCCAGGAGCGGCCAAGCGGCTGGATCTGCTTGTCCCATTTGCAAGGCGCGTGCCTCAAATTCGCAAAACACACGTGCTCAGCACACACGTCTGACCCCCTCGTCAGGCCTCTGTTACCATCCAGAACGTCATTCCTGTATACACTCGTGGGAGCCAGACGGATCCGCGCAACTCGTGCCCGAGGGGACCGGGAGGTGGCATCGGTCACGTGCCGCATAAGGTTTCTCTGAACATATTTGAAGTACGCACGGTACATGTTTAAGGGCTCCAACTTCAAACGCGCAACCGCAAAAGGGGTCCAAAGAACGGGGATCCAGGGACCAGAAGCTAGAGAACTACGGCCAGCATCGGCCAGCCACACATATTTGGCTTCAGGTATCCCAACTTGCCAGCGCGGCCACCGGGTGAACGTCCTGAGCCAGAGCCGGCGTCGGTCTGCCGTGCCAGTTTTGAGTTTTACGGTACGCAACCTTCAAGCTTCCGCCCTTTTGGGTATAATTCGGTATAATCTCTGTCTAATCCCACGAGTAGCCTCGAATTCCCCTCGCAAAATCGCTGCAAGCACAGGGTCACAGGGCATTGCGAGTTTTGATGGGCTCTTTTTCCCAGTCGAATTCGGAAGGCGCGCTCGGCCGCGAGACTTCGTTTGCCATATCCCCATCTGGAGATTTTGGCGTGCGTTGTGGACGACTCGGGGAGCCAGGGTGGTACACGCCGCGGCCAGCTCATGTTCAAGGCTTCCTGGTAGGGACACCACCAATGTCATGTTGTGCACACCCAAGCAGGGCACAGAACGTTAGCCGATTCACAAAACTAGTGCAGCAGAAAAGTTCAATTGCACAAGGCTCATCGGGGCACTTCTGTGCCAAAAAATGCATCTTTCACAGCGCGTGCGTGCACAGCGTGCAGTTTTGGCACCGCGTGTCCCTATGAGCCTCATGGGAAATGAAATGGCCATAGCCAGGGTGTGCAACATTGGTGCAACTCGAAGCTCCCGGGCACGGCAGTGGAGGATAGTGGAATGCGGGATCGGGCAGGGTAAGCTTTATAGAGAGGGGTAGGGCAGAGTAGAGTATTGTACTCTCGGAGGAGGGGAGACGGTACGAGGGCAGGGTGTGGTAGGGATTTGCGTAGCTTGGATATCCTCGATTCCTGCCAGGTGCTGGCGCTGGAGGCGTTTCAACACGGCGGAACTCCAGAGTCGTTGACTTCGACAAGGGAATTGAGCACAGCAAGGCCAGACTAGGCCACAATTAGGACCAGTCTTGTCCTCTCAGGTCCTATGGGTTTACGGCTGGGCAGGGCTTCTATCCTGCCGGGACCTCGGCCCACACGAGCAGCAGGGCTGTCACCGGTTGTGAGAGCACGAGGTCATCTTTGGACTCAACTGGCAAGGGGCATCGCTGCTGGAAGCGCAGCGACCCCAGAGCTGGACCGCAGAGAGACGATCCCGACGATTCAGCAATTTTCACCACACTTGCTTGGCACTCACGCTCAGGCCCCCCTCTTCGAAGAGCTTTTCGCTATCCCTCATAGGCCTTCCAAACATGGTCCATGCGTCTCGGACATGTCAGATGCAGGCAAGATCACGAATGTAGCGGTCGGCATGTCCCAGAATCAATGAACACAGCGACAACATGGAGGCCTCTCGTTTCTGTACTTCCTGGTCCTGTGGATACTGTAACATCAAGCACGAGCGGAGCCCAAAGAGGCACTGTCGGCTCTGCCAAAACACTGCGCCTTCGTGTGTCTTGGGTTTCCAAAATGGGGGCAGCGGATGCTTTCGTTTTGTTTCCGCAACATCTGGCCCTAGTTGCAGAGCGCCTAGAATTAAGCGCACGCACGCTCGTGGAGGATACGCTGCATGACATGCTTGTACCCTTGAGCATCACGTTGCAGAGACCTCAGTATATGATGTTTTGGCAGCATCCCGAAATTCTTTCGAACGCAGAAGTTGAGGTCTACTTCATGTCAGCCTTAGAGGCAGCCGAAAGGCTCTCCGCCATTGCTGGGAGCTTGCCGCTGAGGCCACTACGCTCGTGGCTCATAACTGACTCATGATCATCTAAGTGCACAAGGGTGTTTGCAATCATAGGCCTGCATGGGTTGATCAGCAGCGCGACGTGATCGGCAGCAATCTCTCGGTTGATGCAAGCTTAGCACGTTAGCAGCTATGTCTTTCTCTCATCGGCCACGGCACATGTTCAGATAGGAAAGCCATCATGGTGTCCTTCATGCCAAGGAGCAGGCCTCAGACAGGTTGCTGCAGCAACTTTGCGCAGCAGATCTGCGAGATGCCTGCGACGGTGCCCTGGAGTTTCCGGAGAGCTGCTGTTTGGCTTTTGCTGGGCCCTGTTTGGAGGTTCGTTGCCACGTGGGCTTGACCGAATGCACGATATTCGCATTGAGGCTGCCGAGTACTGTAGTGTGACATCTAGGTTGCGATGATGTCCTGCCCGTTGCGAGTGCCAGATCCGGCACTCTGCTGTCAGGGTCATCACCTCCTGCAGTTGTTGCAGAAAGTCGATATTGCAAATCCTTCTGCCGCTGATGCAGCCCCGCGCTCAGCATCTCTGGGGGTGTTGGTGAAACAGGACGAACATCTGACATGATCGCAGGATCCCGCCGACGAGGAAGTCCAAGACGGGCTGGGACAGGACTTGAATCGTTAGGCTGAGTCCGTCCGGTCCTGCAAAATCCGGCAGAGGATCCCTCTCGACGGCAAGGAAGACAAAGGGCCGTAATGCTAAAGGCGGGCCCGCAGCCACAGGGGTCTCTCAGTTTCAAACGTCTGCGAATGTTTTTTCATATCTGTTCGGCAAGGTGGTGCTGACTGACGGTGTGCAGGCCATCTTCACCTTCACTACACAAGAACGTGGTCCCTGCCGTATTGGTTCCGGGAGGCCATTTGTGGGATCGAGCGGTGGCCAATCGCTGCGTTGCGACAGGCTGTGGCCAAGCAGAGGTGTTGGCTTTTTGACATCCTGATCAAGTGCCGAGTCAGGCCATTCCTGGCTCCAAGCTGGTTCTGGGCAACAGGCCTCTGCTCAGACGGGGTCTACTACTCCTCGAGCCTCAACATTTGGAAGCTGCCTGACAGCAGCTTCAGAGTCGGCTTTCTGTTTGGGTTTTGCTTTCATCTTGTTGCTGCCTTCAAGCCATCACAAGGCTCTCTGTCCACTTGCGCAGGCAGGATAGTGGCAGACCTGCACAGCAAGCATAGAGAGCGTGTGGCAGTGCAGCCGCACATTTTTGCCAAGATGCGGTGCAGGCGGGCGGCGCCGAGAGGTCTGAGGCCTCAGCTCCTCCCGCGTCTTCCGCGCCTTCCGGCCATGATGCGGCCCCACAGAGGCGCGAGCTGCCCCGAGACAGAGCTTCGAAAGAAGTTGTGACGGCGCAGGTCGATGGCACCCCCCGGTGCTCAGCACGCAGGTTTGCCAGGCCGGACTCGAGCAACGTCGAGCAACCGCTGGTGATTGCTGACAGTCCAGTGACGTATAGTGACGTTGAAGCTTGGTGTGATCCTAGCGCAGGCAACGTGAGCCACGTGGAGGGCAAGGTGGCTTGGCACATCTTGGCTCGGTTTCATTGGTGAGTGGGTTCGCATGCGTGGGCCCAGCTGAAAGGATCAGGGCGTTTCAGATTCAGATGCCAGAAGCTACGTAAGTTACAAATCCGCACGCAGGTGCAGGTCATCCGCTGCTACGTTGCCAGCGCGGCTCCGGATGCAGGAGCGTGTTGCTTCGCTGGCCCTCTCGTGCTGCCAGCCGGACTGCACTGCAACAGGCAGAGCCAGTCTTCGGCTGCAGCTGTGTGACGGCGAAGGCCAGTGCGGGTGTGGCAACCCATGCTGCATGGCGCACAGGGTGCGAGCTTCGGGACTAGTAACTAGATTGGACGACGTTGGACACCTTCACCTTTCAGGCTTATGTGAAGCGCTTCTGCCACCGCCAGTCCTGCAGCAAGTGTGCAAACCCTACCTGGGCTTGCTTACGGCATCTTACGGAAGACTTGCAACCTAATGACCTAATTGCAAGCTTATGCCACATGCGGCTTGAGGCTTGGCTCTGGGGATCTGGACACCCTGCTAGCATGGCCCTGAGTGCTTCAGTCTCGCGTCTGGAGCCAGTGGGAAGCTCGCTGTGGTGACAGACTTCTAAGGGCCGAGCTCGGCTGCTCCACGGCTTCTTTCGGCTCTCGCAGCAAGGAGCGGGTCTTTATGACGCATGGTTTCCCTGTGATGCGCTGATGTGCTGATTTGCTGATGTGGCCGTTGTGCTGACGTGGCCGTTGTGCTTGCAACTGGCCGCCTTCCCACTCCATAGCATCACACAGCCATGCGACCGCTAGCTCACGTAAGCGCAAGCGTGGATGTAGAGCCGAGCTGCGCGCAGGCCAGAGCTTTCAGATCGAGTCCTTCCGCCAGACTCCCAGTCCGACTGTACCAAGCATAGGCTGAAGAGCGGACACCCCAAGCATTTGACCCATCCAATGATCCAAGCAGAAAGAAAGGCCTTGGCCCTTCTAGGGAGGCCCTGGAGCAACAGCTGGACCACCTGGCTGCAGAGCTCCCAGTGACTCAAGTGGACAAGTGTATTGGCGCTGGGTTTGTGTGGATACCGCATTGCCGTGACGCGGTGCAGGCGGGCGGCGCCGAGAGGTCTGAGGCCTCAGCTCCTCCCGCGTCTTCCGCGCCTTCCGGCCATGATGCGGCCCCACAGAGGCGCGAGCTGCCCCGAGACAGAGCTTCGAAAGAAGTTGTGACGGCGCAGGTCGATGGCACCCCCCGGTGCTCAGCACGCAGGTTTGCCAGGCCGGACTCGAGCAACGTCGAGCAACCGCTGGTGATTGCTGACAGTCCAGTGACGTATAGTGACGTTGAAGCTTGGTGTGATCCTAGCGCAGGCAACGTGAGCCACGTGGAGGGCAAGGTGGCTTGGCACATCTTGGCTCGGTTTCATTGGTGAGTGGGTTCGCATGCGTGGGCCCAGCTGAAAGGATCAGGGCGTTTCAGATTCAGATGCCAGAAGCTACGTAAGTTACAAATCCGCACGCAGGTGCAGGTCATCCGCTGCTACGTTGCCAGCGCGGCTCCGGATGCAGGAGCGTGTTGCTTCGCTGGCCCTCTCGTGCTGCCAGCCGGACTGCACTGCAACAGGCAGAGCCAGTCTTCGGCTGCAGCTGTGTGACGGCGAAGGCCAGTGCGGGTGTGGCAACCCATGCTGCATGGCGCACAGGGTGCGAGCTTCGGGACTAGTAACTAGATTGGACGACGTTGGACACCTTCACCTTTCAGGCTTATGTGAAGCGCTTCTGCCACCGCCAGTCCTGCAGCAAGTGTGCAAACCCTACCTGGGCTTGCTTACGGCATCTTACGGAAGACTTGCAACCTAATGACCTAATTGCAAGCTTATGCCACATGCGGCTTGAGGCTTGGCTCTGGGGATCTGGACACCCTGCTAGCATGGCCCTGAGTGCTTCAGTCTCGCGTCTGGAGCCAGTGGGAAGCTCGCTGTGGTGACAGACTTCTAAGGGCCGAGCTCGGCTGCTCCACGGCTTCTTTCGGCTCTCGCAGCAAGGAGCGGGTCTTTATGACGCATGGTTTCCCTGTGATGCGCTGATGTGCTGATTTGCTGATGTGGCCGTTGTGCTGACGTGGCCGTTGTGCTTGCAACTGGCCGCCTTCCCACTCCATAGCATCACACAGCCATGCGACCGCTAGCTCACGTAAGCGCAAGCGTGGATGTAGAGCCGAGCTGCGCGCAGGCCAGAGCTTTCAGATCGAGTCCTTCCGCCAGACTCCCAGTTGCACATGGTTGGGTCTCATTGTGCTATATTGTGCTGCCGTTCCCGGGTTGCTCAACCGGATGCTGTCTTCGTTAGGTCGTGGGCCTTCGACACAGGATCTGGAACATCAACTGGATCGAGCTACGACAGCTAGCCAGAACCGAGATGCTCCTGCAAGCCAACAAACAAGAGCTTCGCCTTTTGCTTTGATCATGATGAGTCTTCCTTTCTCTAAGATGCCTCAGCGGTGCTGTCACAAAGTTGGGGGGGGTGTTCCAGATTCTGGGCCTTCTGGGCGTTTGGCTCGAAGTCGTTTGGTTGCGGGCGCCTCACGCCCACGGGGCGACATGCAGAGCCAAACATGGGGGGGCAGCTCTCTGCCATTCCTGGCCGTTGGTCGGGTCAAGGCCGCGGAGTTTGCAAGCGAAGGGCCTTCACATTCGAGCAGCTGCTTCTGGAAGTCTTGCCGCACCTGGCATCCCTTCCAGGATAGTGTGACTCTGGCATACTACATCGATCCAGAGAGTGTTGAGCAGCAGGCCCAAAGCTGCGGTGCAGAGCAGCAGAGCTGCAGAAGTCCTCTGCCAGGAGCAGACCCAGGAAGTCTTCCAGAAGCTTCTCAAGGCCTCTTCCCGCGAAGAAATCGGCGCCCGTAATCTCCCCGTTTCCTCGGCAGGGTCGTAAGGGAAGGTGACGCGCACCCCTCCCCAAAGGCGAAAAGGCTCCAGTCCGCAATCCTGCTCGCCACAGTAGTCTTCAGGGTCGCGGATTCCGCTTTGTACTTGCTTCTGAAGGACAAACTTGTTTGTGCCCAAGTCTTCAAGCACCAGCCGAGCGAAGCAAGAACAATGAGGGCATCACAATTTGGCGCCCTCAACCGACGTTCAAAAGCAGTTGGTGATCTCGTCTAGGCTGGCCACTGGAACTTATCTTCAGGGACTTGGACGTAAGTGGAAAAGACTGATGACGCGAGTAAACTTGGACTCATGAGTTTGAGTCATCCCATTTGCGCGGTTTCTGTTTGGCCTCGTTTCCGCAACGGCGCTTCTATCACTGGATGTCTGAGACAGGTCGAAGGCTTGAGGTGAGCGCTTCTTGGACCTTACTCTTTTGTGAGCACTGCGTGTCGACCGCCTCGGCCCGGCCTCGAAAATCCAGACAAACCTTTTGAAGGTTTACAGGCACACTTGAGGGTTGAGAGTTAAGGGGGGCTTTTGGGCTTTTGTAAGCGTTTCTTGGCTTAGTGCACGCAGGAAGGGGGGGTCCTTCGGGGGTTTCGAGGGTTGAAGAGGCATAGTCCATACAAAACCATTCCGACTTCCACTTGAAAGATCGGAGGAGGGAAAACAGGGGCTCCCCTACGGGGGAACCTCGAGCGCCCACCGGGGCCGAGAGGCGAATCCCCTAAGTTCCCAGATTCGACGCTGCAGCGCTGACATTCTGAGCAGGCTTCGTCGCAGAAACTTGCTGCTGGGCAGAGAACTAGACTGCAGTGGAACAATGGCAGTGTGTGATCCCCAGATATACAAGCTGTCATATTTTCCGATGTTCCTTCCCAAAATTGTGTTGCAGGTTTGCTGCCTCATGGACGAGCAGGCTAGACTTCTGTACTGCGTTGCCCCAGCCTCACAAGACATCACAAGACCTTCCAGCAGTGGCACTACATGCCCCATGTCTTTGAAGGTCACATCGCTGTTGACATACCCTGAGCGGCAAGCTTATCAGCTCCTGTATGGCCGCCCTGGCTTTCCCTCTTGTCGTTGACTTTGCTGTGCCACTGTAAGCTTGTAGCGGCTTGCCGGCGGGTCATGCGCCACACTTGCCAGATTTCCGTGGGTTTGTCGAGAGAGACGACGCCAACCTGGATGAAGCTGAGAAGCACGCGTTGAATGATAAGTTGGCAGACCAGATGAGGGATCTGGTCAAAAAGTACGAGGCGTACCAGGCCTGAGCGAACGCAAGCAGTTCTTGGAAGGTTTGCAGCCCCTTGAGCTGACATTTGCTTTCTACAGGACATTAACAAGTTGTCCTCAAGCCACTCAGCCGCCGCCGTGGATACCTCTTCGGCCCCTTCGGCGGCAACCGCAGAAAGTTGATCTAGAGTCGACATTCAGCTTCAGTCCTTTGCAGACACTCTCCGCAGTTTTACCACGAGGCGCCTTTGCATCACCAGGATGCAAGGGAGCTCCGACAAGCGGAAAGCAAGAAGCCAGGTACTGAGCATGACGTAGTCAGAGCAGAGGATGTGGATCCGAAGTTGCGCTTCTTGAGGTGGATTTTCATCGCATTGTTGGCCGCCCCTCCTGCATTCCAGCTTTGATGATCCAGGTTGTGTGACAAGTTCATGGCGCATTCTCCGCTGCAGCCAGGTCGTGGTGATTGTGCTATTCTTGATGTGGCTATTTGGGTTCTTTGGGTGCGCAGCTCAGCACATCGCTCGTTGGCCCCAGAAGGCCGTTGTACTCTTGCAAGCTGCTCTGAGCTGCTTAAGGAAGGCAGCAGACAGTCAGCAACCACCACCGCCACAAGAACCTCAACCAGCTGGACCTGCTCTACGTGCAATACTGATGTGAGCATGAGCTGGATGAAGTGAGTCTGTGGCAGTCATGGTCCTGCAAGCAGCCATTTGCTGCCAATGAGCACTCCACTTCCAGCGTGCTATGTCTCGCCTTGAACTGTTCCATCAGTTCATCGGTCAAAGAACGTGCTGTAAACAGGTCAGGGCTTGTAGTCCTCTCACTCGCAGTGCTAGAACCTTGCTGCGATGCGGAAGCCCACATTTGCTTAGCAAAAGACGACTGCTGATGCTCACTGCGCGCCAACTTGCCTCACGTCCGTTCATGAGGTGAGAGATCGAGTGAATCGGGTGCACATTCGTTCCACAGCGCACGGGCTGGACAGGGAAGGTTTTTGTGGAAGATTGCCCTCATCGCTTTTATGTCATCAAGCCCGTTATAAAGTGTACAGCTTGTTTGAGCGGGCAGCCGCGGGATTTCACCTGGCCGGTGTCAACAAGGCTCGCCCCTCGTTGCGCTGCAAGCAGAGGACCATGAACGCGGTTGTTGGGTCGTCCAGGCGCATGCCAGATGCAACTACATCAACAAGCTGGCGCATGCCAAGATCTTCATCAGGCATCGGTTGTAAACATTGTAAACATGATGCCCGACTCGGCTGTGCCCAGTCTCTTTTGTCTGAGCCAGGTCGCCAAAGTGCAGCGACGTGGACTTCATTTACCAAGGCGCTGCGAGGGTCGCACGCGCGATCGCTCAGCATGCTTGCAAAGTAATAGACGCTTGTGTACGTAGAGTGTACGTCCGAATAAAAGCGTATACTTACATGCACTTCAACATACTTCAACCCATATGTACAGATGTTGCTAGCCCTCCGCCCCCTCCCCCACGGACCAACGTATCCGTTTGAACTACAAGAAGGCTCCAAGGCAGAAGTAGAAGGTCAAATGAGGTGGGGGGTAGCATGCATACACTATGTATGCCTACATCTCCATCAATACACCCTCTCTGCCTCGCTCCCTCTCTGTGTCGATACATGTGACACCTGAAAGTGCTGTGGGTACCATCGATATCAATGTGACTCTGTGACATGCCTTGCAATTCAGACAGTCGCAGACAAAACTCTGTGCCTGCATTCTGGGGTGAATCTTTTGTATACACGCTGCGGCTCAAAATCAAGTCGTGTTGTGCGGCGATTGCCCGGTCAATGTATCACTTTCCATTCCAATCCCCGCGAGCCCACGAAGTTTTTGTAGAGTTTGTCCAACTAAACCGAGGCCGCTACATGCTGATCGCCCTCCCAAGCCTATCATTTGTAATTTGCATGACATGCCCGTGCGCATGATTGAATTTCATGTGGATGTTCCTTCGCCATGATTCCTCCACAAATACCCATCCCCACCGGGAACTGATACATTTTTGCGGTAGGTAGCCCCATTTAGAGGACCCAGGACAAGCATATTCCTGCAACTTCTCTGAGCCGGAGCTCTTGAACAGTGTAAGTCGCAGACCCTTGAACGTCCACAAGCTGGCCCTGCCAGGCTTTCTTTTTTGTTGGGCTGGTTTCCTCTGAAGCAGTGGGCAAACCTGCAAGTTGTCTGAGCCTTCTTGAAGGTTGAGCAGGGACACGTTGACCAGCAGCTGGTTGTGGAGCTTGTTAGGGTTTAGGGGTTTGGGGTTTAGGGTGTAGGGTTTAGGGTTCAATACTTCCACTATTTCTGGAGACTGGCAGCGGAGGGGCCAATGTGTCGCAGAGGAAGTGAAGGAGCCGACGAGCTCCTGCAGCTTCAAAGTTCGGGGTTTTGCAAAGGTTTGGGCCAAGATGAGAAGAATACTTGTAACAACAGTGTTTTTGACATTTTAGTAATAATAGTAATAAGAATAGTAGCGAGAATAGGAATATAGCAAGAATCGTAATGCTAGAAATAATAGTACTAATCGTAGTAATCATAGTAATCATTTTTCATAGTAATCATAGTGGGCTGGGGGCGCCCACGGCCACCACTAAGTGTCATTGCCCCACTTGCCCGCTTGCTTTTCCGGAAGAGCTAGTCGACGTTGCCGCACTTGCCACACTTGCCCCACTTGCCCCACTTGCCCCACTTGGAGGCCCGGTAGAGCTAATTGATTTTGCCCCACTTGCCCCACTTGCCCCACTTGCCCCACCTGGGGTTGGAGTTGGGGCAAGCGGGGCAAGTGGGGCAAGTGGGGCAAGTGGCATCCCCAAACCCCCTCCTCCCTCCTTCGGCCACGATTGGTCCCAACCAAGTCTGCCTCAGTCCGGGCTGTCCCTGCACCATGGGCCCGCTATCATGTTGCCCAAACAAAAAAGTCTGCCTCAAATACAGCCCGATTTGAGGCAGACTTGTGCGTTCGCCACGAACACGACGCTGGGTGAGGGTGGGTGGGGGTGGTTGGGAGTCGAGCGAGCAAGGGTTGGGGGTGGATGGGTGGGGGGGAGGGGTGGGGGCCACTTGCCCCACTTGCCCCACTTGCCCCACTTGCCCCACTTGCCCCACTTGCCCCACTTGCCCCACTTGCCCCACTTGCCTTACTTGCCCCACCGCACTTTCCCACCTGCCCCAAGTGGGGCAAGGGGGGCAAGTGGGGCAAGTTGGGCAAGTGGGGCCACCCAAGTACCAGAGCAAGTGGGGCAAGCGGGGCAAGTGGCAGAAAACACTTAGCGGCCCACTTTTGCACGCCCACTGTAATATCAACAATAATAGGGAAGTTTCAGAAAAGACAGGATACTCTACCACCTTATTTTTCTTTTTTAATCCCTGAAGCCCACAGCCTCACGAATATGTTCGTGTTCATGCACAAGCAAACACAGCAAAAACCAAATAGACAAGCAAAGAAGTGCAACACAAACAAATAGAGACAAAAAAACACAAACTAAGAATGCAGACCGTAAGCAACTATGTATACGTGTATGTGCCCCCCCCGCCCCCGTGAAAGGAGAGCGACGGGGGTTTGCTCAAGTGAAGGAGGCAGGTGAGAGTGGTGGGGGTGGTGAGGGCGATGAGAGCGGCCGGGGTTTGGGCATGCACTGGAGCCCTGACAATACTTCCACGGGAGGAGGGCCAGAGGGCAGTGCAGGAGGCAGGTGGGGGCGGTGGGAAGAGCTACGGGATCAGTGTAGGATGCAGATGGGGACGGTGAGGCCAAGAAAAGCGGCGCGGGCAGTGTAGGAGGCAGGTAAGGGCGGTGGGAAGAGCTTCGGGATCAGTGTAGGATGCAGATGGGGACGGTGAGGGCAAGGAAAGCGCAGTGAGATCGGCGGGGGTTTGGGCATGCACTGGAGCCCTTAACATACTTCCAAGGGAAGAGCAGGAAGGGCCTGGGGACTGTCTGTGTAGGAGGCAGGTCGGGGCGGTAAGGGCAATGAGAGCGGCGGCGGTTTGGGCAAGCACCGGAGCCGCCTAAGTGCACTGGAAGGAATGTGCGGACAGGGGGGGGGGGGCCGAGCGGGTTGGGCGGTTCAGGCGCGGAGCATGGAACGACACAATGGGTCTTCACTGGCGCCGCCCCGCTGCAGCTGGGGTCGGCGGATATAAATAAATACATAATTAAGTAAATAAATAAAAGTATATATTTTTTGTACATCTGTAATCTGTATATATATATATATATACATGTGTATGTATGTATGTATGTATGTTTGTTTGTTTGTTTGTTTGTTTGTATGTATGTATGTATGTTTGTATGTGTGTATGTGTGCGTGTATTCGTCTGGTACGCCATGGATGTCATGCAGTGCCATGGGATGCCGTAAAGTAAGAACACATGAGAGAACTGTTGTGAATGGGCGGCTTGCAGCTTTGGCCTGGATACAGTCTAACAGCTGCGGCTGTCGTGGCCACAGAAGTAGTTGATTCAGCATGCTGCCGCCCTCACCTTGTGCGCCAGCACACACTTTGCTGGACGCGCTGCGCCAACGTAAGCTACGACAAGCAGAGCTATCAAACAAGCGGGGCTGCTGCAGATGTTGGTGTGGACTCCCTGGTTGTGGATCGGCTCGGCATCCAGAAGTCATCACTTACAAAGCAGACTCTGCCGGGTGTGATTGCAGTGGATGGCTGCGCACAGTGCTTTCACTGCGCGGACGCCCAGTCCTACATGCACTACCTCCTCTGCTTGCGGTCTCCGTCATGGCGGTTGCCGCAACTATCGTCAAGAGCTTTGATCACGACTGGGTGTTTCCAGAACTGGAAGTAACCCTCAAAGAAGACTATGCATTGCTGCTAACTCCTTTGACTTTTTTGCTCGTGTATCGACTGAACCGCTCAGCTGTGAGATTCTACGATGCAAGAGCCGCGGCGGGAAAACTCATAGAGACCTGTCGCGTGCTTGCTGGGGAAACAGTCCGCTTTTGCGCCCATGATCCCTGGGCTTGTGATGAGATTTGCCGATGGGTTGTAGCTTTTCCGGCTGCGACGCGGAACTTTTTGCGAGGGCAGTCCCACTTGGAGGATTTTCAAGACATCCTTTCGAGCTCGCAGATTGAAGCTTTGAGCAAGGCTCCAGTGCAGACACTCTTTTGCTGTGATCGGATGCGCCAGGCGGTGCTTTCGGCGACGCGAAGCAACGTGACCGACCCAGCGCCGGTCGCGGCTGTGATGCTGCAGACGCTGGAGGGCCACATTACCACCTTAACAGGCTCCATGGGTGCTATGGAGAGGATCAACAACACCCCGCTTCCTTTTGCCTATGTGGCACACTTGCGCAGCTGCTTGACACTCTACTTACTTGGCCTGCCGTGGACGCTCAAGATGCATTCCTGGTGGTCGCTGCCGATGGTGCTTCTGCTTAGCTACGCGCTTCTGGGGGTGGAAGCTGCCGCCGTCGCATGCGAGCGCCCATTTCATGACCAGACGAACCACCTGCCTTTCCACACTTTTGCCACAGTCGTTGCAGAGAATGTGCAGCAAATCCTCCAAGACGCAGCTGACTGTCCCAACAAAGACCTGATGGCAAAGACCCAGGAGCCTTGCAGAGGCCCTGCGCCTGAAGGGGACAGGTGTACACTCTAAAGGCCTTTTGCGCGATGGAGATCACGCGAACTCAGAATGTGCCAACGCAGATGCAGAGAGACGAGGTAATGCCCGTGAATCTCCTGTTAGTCAGCACTGTACAGCGAGGTGCGCGACTCTTAGACACTGCAGACAAGGTTTAAAAGTGCCTGTGCCCAGCTCAATTTTGCGCTGCTCGGTTATGGCTTCTCATGTCTCACGTTTCGTGCAGGGCTCGAATTTGAAGCTGCCGGCCCAGACATCGCTGATGTGAATGTTTGCTGAAAGCTGTTGCCGCGTTTTCTTCCTTGCTTCTTTTGGCCAAGGTTTTCAAGGGCCGGTAGTGGTGGCAGAAAGGCAGCGACCTTGATGCGGACCTCGAAGCAGCGAATGCCTTCCAATTTGCGCACTGCACCAGGAGTTAACGTCGTCGTGCTCCTATCCTGCAAGCACTCTCCATGGACAAACCCAGTTGCAGGAATCAATGTCCTTGTGATATCTTGTGATCCAAGCTCCAAGACCTGGTTACCTTGCATTGCCTTGCCACCTCTTGCTCGCAGGACCTACCGAGAATCTCGGAACAGATCAGAGTCCCTTTCCGAGTTCACCTTGCCGCCTAAGAGAGTCCTACGTTGCGCTGAGGAGAATGTTTACCTTTGAGCCTCAAGATGATGTTTCTGCAGGTGTGCGTAAGAATACGCCCGCTCACATCCGACGAGGCAGAGCTGCGCAGCAATTGTGCCAGTTGCAAAAACACACCGCTTGCAGGCAAACAGTGGCGAGCTTCCAAGTATTGTTCCGGGCCCGCAGGCTCCTGATCTGCGAAAGCGGAAAGCGGATACGCGCATGAAAGGCAACCTGAGAATGAGATTGCGACACTTGCTGCCCAGCCATCTCCAGCCAAGGATAGTCAATTATATTCCTGGATCTCTCTCTTTTTGTAGCAACTTGAGTTTTCGCGAAGCTGATGGGTGCAGCGTGCGGGGTATATTGTACAGAAAACCTGCACAATTTGAATCGCGCTTGCATCGAGCAAGTGCAATATTCCAGGCTGCCGCCTCACGCCGAGCAAGAGATGGTGTTCAGTCGGAGTGTTGAGCACTCATTGCAGCGCTCCGTGCTGAAGCGTCGCTGGATTTCAGACGATACGGCCGGCGAGGAGTTGGACAGGCTTTCAAGAGAACTGTTCCTCCTGCACGACTTGGATGGTGATGGTCTACTCGCGGAAGATGAGCTCGTCCAGCTCAATCTGACAATTGCCATACTGCACCATGGCGATGGTGCTGACTTGGTTGAAGTGGAGGATTCATACAGGACCATGTTCCGCGAGAAGCTTAGCCAGGATGGACACGCTGCCGGGCTTGCAAGGAAGCAAGGTGATCTCTGCCTTTTTACCTATTTTTAACCATTTCTAAATGCCTTTATAACTTTAAAACCTTCAAAGTCTGCAAAGGTTCTCAGCCTGCGTTCCTACACTAAGGCCATTCAATTTGGCTGCTTTCGGAAGCATCTGCGAGGCGTGCTGAACAACCTGGACCCGGACGTGCTGGCACAAAAGATGATGCTCGAACAGTTTGTCGCTGAAGCAGCTGTGGCCAGAGAAATACGATCACAAGAGCTGGAAGCTTTACAGCAATCCGGGTTGACATTCCTGTGCTAGCGCTGGGGCTTGCTGAGTAGTTCTGGCTCGATTGTTGCCAATGCAGTTCGCAACTGCATGGTGCTGCCATCGTTCAGCAAGGAATTCACGCATGGAATGAATTCTTGCACGCCAGCAAGCAACATCACAGATGTGGCAGAGTCTCCATCAAACAGTTTCTTGCATGCTAATATCAGAACCATCCGAATAACAATGGTCTGGCGGTGCAGGCTGAAATTAGCAAACGCTCAAATGTACAGATCGTTTTGGCATTCTGCAATCACTGGTGCTAAGCCAGTCTGACGCCTTCCGGCTCTCCTGGCCAAACCGGTCATGATGCACATGTGGTTACATGGGTGGCAACAAAGCAGTGACGGACCGTGCCTCCCGCAATAGCAGTAACCCTGCAAGACGAGCTTTCAGCCTGCCACGTCAGGGGAGCGGGCTCTTGAAGCTGTTGCTGGTGGAATCCATGAGTTCGAGATCCAGGTGCGAGCACGCTGGCTTGTATGCTTTCTTCGGAGCTGCCTGGTGCCGGGCCTGACAGGTTTCCTCGAGTGGGTCCAGGAAGCATGTTTCAAAGCTTCTCGAGCCTCTCGAGGACATGCTGGTGCAAGAAGTCAGTGGAGAGATGCCGACTTAACTAGAGAAAGGCTGCATCCTGCAATGAGCGAGCCTTCTTTGTGTCAGGCAAGCTTTTACATGGTCGTTCTTTTTTCAGGAGCCTTCGTTTCTTATAAGTTTACATTAACTTCCTCCTCGGATTGGAGCTCTGGTGTTGCTGTTCCTGCTGCATGGAAAAGAAAGGCATCATCAGATGACCTCTGCAGCCCAAATTGTGTCAGCCTTGTTGTACAGATTAGTTTCTAGTTCACGTCGTGCTGATTCTCCTGCTCCTGAGAAGAACATAGGTAGGCTCCGTGCAAAAGAATGGCCAACGAGAGATGAGTGCTAAGTGCGGTGAACATGGCATCGCTGGTGTGCCAGCGAGAGCCGAGAGTTGCTGATTCTACTAGATCGGTTTGATGTTAGGGGAAGCTCGCTTCGCATTGTCGAGCACCATCGCGGCACCTCGTCAACAACTTCGTATCTCATGCTCCGTGTAACTCATGCTCCGTGTTTCCTGGTCGCTTTCCTCCTGCATCCTGGTGTTCCTTGCACCGTCCCCCATGCCCGCGTTCACCATCATTAAAGGATCTAGACTCCCGCATGCGCATTGAATACATTGATGTGCACTCGCACCAATAGGAGGTGGCATGCAAGGACCCTCGAGCGGAAACGGTCACGAATGTGTGCTTTATCGTGTGAATCGTGTGACCCGAAGTGCATGACACTACTCTCCACATCTCGCAAGCAATGTACCCCTCCGAACCTGCGATTCGGACATTTGTCGTTCTTGGTCCAAGCGGAACTCAAACTCCCCGAGGAGCTGGCCCCGGACCTGGGAGTTCGTAGCAAGCTCAGTGGAGACAGCGCAGAAGGCTCGGCTTTTCTTTGAGCTGCGAGGGCGGCCTTGTTTCGAGGACTGGGTACTCTCTGGACGCGGATCCCAGGCCAGCGATGTGAACTCTAGCACCGTGAACATCAGCCATCATCAGCTGCCGGAAGTCACTGGATGCCAAGGCTGCTGTCTACAATTTATTTGGGCAGCACTTGGTGCAGAACGCAGTGGAAGGCTGGCAGCGGATAAGCACACTGGATGCTGCGAGTTCGCATCGCAGACACACAAGCATGTGACTGACCTGGTGTGCAGGCTTGCATGGCTCTGTCATCGCATGTGGGCTGCGATCCTAGTGCTCGTCTTCGCAGAAGCTTTCTGTTTGGTGTCCAAGCAGAGCTTCTCCTGCCAGGCCGTCGAGCAGTGGAAAGAGCCACACCATCTTTGGAGGTCGCCAACAGGAGTGGTGCTGTGTAGTTCAGGCTCCAGGGATCTTCGGGCCTCAAACTCTTAGCTGTGTTTCTTGGTCGCGCTTGTGGGGTCACCCTTGGGCCCAGCATGCGAGAGAAAAAATGTAAAAATCAGGGCACCTGCGGAGGCCACGCCAAGGGCCCTTGAAGAGACGCCGTATTCCACTCTCGGTTTTCGCGCTCGAGAGGAGCAACAAGGCCTTGTTCCACGTCTGGCAGAGGGCATCTTCAGGGTGCTGCGAGCTCGTGGCGAGGCCTCTCTTCACGAGATTCATATGAGACTCGTGAGATTTTCGTAAGTTTCGTGAATAACTGAACTCATTTGAATTGCATGTGTTGCCCTGGGTCATCCCTGCTCCTATGCCTCGGCCAGAAGCACATCGTGAAGTTTTCGTACTTAGAGCTCTACAATGAGTGCGGGGCTCCGGCTTGTCCTTCGGATCACGTTTATGGCTTGAAGGGCTTTTGGAAGAGCTCAGAAGATCCAAGGCGGATCCAAGATCTTCTGCGTCCTGGGAAGGCCTCGAAAGCTCCGGCTCTGGAGGTGCCAGAGGGGTCGGGGTTTGGATCGGGAGGGCCGCGTCTGCTGCGAGAAGTGACAAGACTTGCACGATGTGAGGTGAGGCAGCATCCCCGTGTTGGGGTCTTTGTTGGCAGCGCGGAGCCGAGACATCGTACTTGGAGGTTCATGGTACTTATTAACCAATTATAACTGTACTTATAACCCACTTATAAGCCCCCTAAGTGCCCTAATTATGGTTATAAGTACAGTTATAAGTACAGCGAGAATTGGTTCATGAGTACCATGGACCTCCAAGTACGCTTTCCTGTGCCATGGCTTCCTCGCGGTTCTGGGCAGCATGAGGATCCGTCAGGACCGTTAGGAAGTTCTGCGATGGCACTGTTGGAGTCTGTTGGACTGCTGATTTGCGAGGTCTTCTTCGTAAGCAGGAGTCGTGACTATATCTCTCCAATTTTTCTGTTTCTGTGGACACGGGAGCAGGAAAATTTCGATTCTTTGTCACGCGCTTCGTCATTCCTTCCTTACCAGCAGGTGCCACAAACATGACATGTTTCCGCAGCTGGTTCAAGGGACGCGATAAGGTTGATCCACCAAGCGCGGGAAACATTGCAATGAGCCATCTGGGAAGTGCTTTCCTTGCTCCGGGATCTCTGAACACAGCTGGCACTCCAATCAAAGAGACGGTCGGACGAGCGGGCCAGGCCCCAGGTGGATCTTTCAAGCGTGACGGAATGGCGGGTGTTGCAGGTGCTGCTGTTGCAGCCTCGGCTCTGGCAGCTTTGCAGAAGCTCACACTCCGCCCGAATGGATCCCAGCGTCACGTGCTTCGTCGCGCGTTCGCCACAAAGTCTCTGAGACATCAGCCACGTCCCTCTATGACAGCCCGCATGGCCACAACCGTGCTTGCTCCTCCAGGCGAGCTTCTGGGGGTGTCCCCAGACGAGAAATACAACGTTCCCGCCGGCGTACGAGAGAAGCTTGGCAAGGACTTGTTGCTGAATCCGAAGCATCCTCTGGGGATTTTGTGGAAGACGGTCCAGGACTATTTTGCGGAGCAGGATCCGAACTGCAAGTTCTTTGACACAGAGAAGCCGGTTGTGAACACAGTGGACTGCTTCGACAAGCTGCGAGTTCCACCGGATCACCCTTCTCGATCGCCGTCAGACACGTACTACGTGAACAAGGACTATGTCTTGAGGACCCACACTTCTGCGCACCAGTGCCAGTTTCTCAGCCAGTATCCTGAAATTACTTCCTTCTTGTGCGCCGGCGATGTCTACAGAAGAGATGAGATTGATGCATCGCACTACCCAGCATTCCATCAGTGCGAGGGTGTGAGGCTATTTGACGCAGAGAAGGTCTCACGAGAAGAGGTTCTGGAGGATTTGAAGAAGACGCTTGAAGGGTTGGCAGCCCATTTGTTCCAGCTGAAGACCGGCGAAGATACAATGCGATGGCTTGACGAGTATTTCCCCTTTACCGAGCCATCGCTGGAGCTGGAGATCTTCTATCAGGATGATTGGATGGAGGTGCTGGGATGCGGCGCTGGGGCCTTAGCGCCGAATCGTAGTTACGGGCCAGCTGTTCTTCAGAGCAAGCCTGCCCGAGGTCATCCACCATGATGTTTCCGACTCAGTTTTAGCTCGCAGCTCTGGTTTCTGTCAGAAGAGCTCTCGGACCTCTCGGGTCTCGAAGGTCCTGCGGAATGCCGGCCTGGATCCGGCGAAGGTCCACGGCTGGGCCTTCGGCCTGGGGCTCGAGCGCCTGGCCATGGTGCCCTGGGCCAGTTCGGAGCATCACTCTGCAAGCCTTGCCCCCCCCCCCCCCACCCCACCCCCGCTACCCGCACCCCACCCCTTTGCAGCCGTGATTGCAGGCTATTGTAAGTGTAGCCGTGGACATACCATGAAGCTTGATGGCATGTTATTGCGCTTCCTGCAATCCTTGAACGCCAGGTGCTGTTCGGCATTCCTGATATTCGACTCTTCTGGTCGGACGATTCCCGTTTCTCCGAGCAGTTCGTTCCAGAGTCCTTCGCGCAGAGACTTGTTTGTTCCGGTCGCGGTAGTTCAACTTGTGCTGAGTGCTGTTGAGTGCTGCTAGTGTCTAGTCCAGCTGCCTGCTTGCACCTGAGGAAGACAAAGTTCAAGCCATTCTCCAAGTATCCTCCTGTTCTCAAGGCAAGTTGTCGTCTCAGCACCAGGTTGCCGGAATTTCTGTCATGATCTGTCGTGAGGACATAAGCATGTGGATCCCGGAAGAGTTTGCTGACAATGACCTGTTCGAGATGATTCGCGATGAGGGCGGTGACCAGGCACCCGAGACACCAGCGCACGATGCACAGAGAAAGAGCGATACTGCCGGTCAGGTCGAGAAGGTGGATCTGATGGACGATTTCACGCACCCAAAGACAGGCAGTGAAAGCAGATGAATGACACACCTGTTATCACGTTTGTCGGCCTCCGTTTCAGGCCGCCGATCCAAGATGTTCCGAGTGACCTGGCGGGACATGTCACGAACTCTAACGAACGAGGAGGTCAATGCCAAGCACGAGACAGTTTTGGAGCGACTCTTGCCGGCTTTGGTGATGTTAAAGTGTTGAAGGGGTGCTTGTGGTGGAATGATTGCTGGGAGGGTCTCTGCCAACCATGGGTTAGTCGGCGATTTCGAAGATGCGGCTTATTCTTATTCCTCAGGTTGCTACTGAACAATAAGTTAAGAGGTAGTTGAACCGGTGGAGGCTTGGTCAAGGAGCTGGAGGTGGAGCTGCGGTAGCAGTGAAGCTGTCAGCTGATGCCAAGGAGCGGATTGCTTAAGACCTGTTCTAGAGACACGGTTCCTGGCCAGCCATCAGCGACGTGCCCAAAGTGGGTAGAGCTGGCAGTAAGCCATCTGAAGAGTCTCCGCATGCTTGTTTTTTTCTTGCGGTTGGAGTCATGTGTATAGAAGGATTTGTGTATACCAGTGCATCCAGACATAAGACATTCTCACCCAAATTTTCGCACCAGTGGCAAATTTTCGGTCTCTCGCGGGTACATCTGCCATGTGGGCCGCTGCCAAAATTTTGCAATGGCACGTGGCTGCTACTTGTCAGGGTTCAGCATTTCCGTAGACACATCGCGGGAGAAACGTCAGCCCTGCTGCCACACCTGCCTGCGGCTTTCCTTCAACTTTCATTGATTCATTCTTTTCTCTGGGTTCCAGATCAAGTTGGATGCCGGACAATCCCCTTGTTGAAACGCGCGCCAAGATCTTTCCTGGAGCGTGGTGTCAAGCGTTGCCGACGTGCTGCGCTTATTGGACTTCGGCCAGCACCTGAGAGATGACAGTGTGACTCTGTTTATCTCATGTACTCGTAGAGCTTTCGAAGCAATTTTAGGGTTCAGGGTTTCAGGGGATCATGGTGAGGGTTTTGGCACAGTTTACTTCTCGGGCCCGACTTAGTGCTCCGACGCACCCAGATCAGAATGCCAAGGTCACAAGATGCGAGCTGTTGCAAGAACCAACATGAACACCGTCTCCTCACGTTGGCCCCTCGGAAGCTCGCCGCGCCAGTGGTCAGCATGGTGCACCGAGTGGCCTCCGTGGCTCGAGGCTCGCACGCTGTGGCGACATTCCAGGTGGAGCAGCTCTTGCCGGGACGTGCTCTGGAGGACACCAAGCGCAGGCAGCCGGCGCTGGCTGTCCACACCATCCCTTTCACCCCCTTGTCCCTTTACAACCCTTTTCCAGCCTTCTACAGTCTACAGGATTGCTTCGTCTTTTTTCCTCTTTAGTCTTTCTTTCTTCTTTAGGCTGTCGTCTCGTTGAGCTCAGATTGAGGCGGGCGCAGCTGCAGACCGTCGATCTGGCGGGGGCTGCGCGCATGGACCAGATCGGAGACTCCGAGGCCCCGCTGTTGGCCCTTGAGAGCCGTTGGGGTGTTTTGGGCGATTTGGGGCGATTTGGGGCGATGTGTGGCTTGGGAGTGGTTTCGGCGCATTCTCTTTGGGGCTGTTGAAAGCGAGCCGACAAGTCGTCGGATTCTCTGGATGTGCTCTTTTGTGCGGCCATTTTGGCTCCAGCCCTCGGCGATAAGGGCCTTGCTGCCGAGCGCGGGGCAGGATCCTTGGCCTTTCTGCGTTGTCCTGGTGCCAGTATCGGTACGCTACCCCTTTGCTCTCGAGACATCTTCCTATGGCACGTAGTCGTCACAGAAGTGACATGAGGTGACATAAGCCATCTTCGGATTCGCGAGAGCTCATGGTCCCTCACTGAGGTTCGCCATGGAGAAGTCATCCTCGGAGCCCGTTCTCACACATGAGGCATGTGCCGTAGAGTCGCTTCGTGGGCTTGACACGGCCAAGACACAGGGGAGAGACCTAAAGAGAGTGCCCTGCAAGAGATGTCTGGAGAGTTGTGGTGAAATCAATCCCTGCAGAGGACTACGCGGTGCCCTGCCACGGTATTGGTACTTGCCTCAAAAATGCTTCAGGAGCTTCAGCTGGACTGGCGCTTGAGTGCAACAGTGCATCTCGATCGACATGCAAGGCGATACGGGACCGGCCAAGCGAGTGACTCATGGGGCCATGTCCAAGGAGAATTCCTGCCTCAAACCCCCTTTGCTCTAATGGTAGGCTCACAAGCGCTGCTCCAAGTGCAGGATGATGGGACCTTCTCGAGCAGAATCAACCAGATCCAGAAAGCGGCGTCACGTCTGAGAATTGAAAAGAATTTTTGCTTTTCGCCAAGTGCCTTGCGACCGCACCTTCTGGCAGCCAAGGCCGCGAAAGGCCCTGGTCCTGGCAAGTATATGGGCCACGAGGCAGCGTGTGACTCTTCGAAGATATGTCCAAGTCTCTCGAAGCCCGAGCATGTGGAAGGACTGGAGGTTGCATGGTGGTAGCAAGTTCTCCAAGAAGGCCTGCAAAAGAGCCACTCACTCTCCAGCACGAAGCCGAGATTTCAAGAGCCCCGGGTGAGGAGCGTGAGGGCTTTCCGCCGCACAAGAATCCTGACCCGACGCACTACGAGCGCAAGGCCTCGAGAGTCTCGAGAGTCCCCTTTTCTGGATGTCGTTGGCGCCGAAGGGTTTTAGGATGTTTTAGGGCTCTGGGGATCCTCGCTCACTTGCAGGATTTCTTCCAGTTCCCCTGCAACCGCAGCAAGGAGAGGGCCAATTGCTGGAGTGACAGGCGGTAGGTATTCTGAAGAGCAGGTAGCAGCATCCAGGTATTTCCAGGTAGCATCTAGCTCTGCAGCTGAAATGGGGCCAGAGTAACAGGACTGTTTGTCCCAAAACCGCCGCGTGGTCTTTGGCCGAGTTCCCAAAGGCAAAGTGCTTGTAGCTTGAAGCCCTGATGGATATGATTGTATCCTAAGTCAGCAAGAAGCGTGCAGAAACCGAGCCTGTGAGGGAACCGGCGTTCATTTCTGGATGGTGCTATGCGGCATGGCAAGGAGGCCCGCTGTTTTGTTGCGCGTAAATGAGGCTGTCCTTGAGGCTCTCAGAAAATTGATGCGGTTCAGGTGCCGGCACCTGGACACTACACCAGCAAGCAGGTGTGTGCTCACCGCCCCTGGCTTACAAGAAGATCCTGAGCAAGTGATGTGCATGCGTTTCGGAAGGTGTGCTCTCCATGCAGTAACCCGCAGGTCTGAACACCAATCCATGTGGTGTCACCAACTGGAAAGTGGAGAGCGCTGCCGCCGGGAAAGTAGCACCCGACAGAACACTCGTCGCACCCTTAAAGGGTGGCAGTCGCAGTGACATCAGTGACCTTGTCATGCGAATATGGCCATGCACGAGCCTTTTGGGAGGCACCCAACCACTACACCATCAACTATAACCAGGCTGCAATACGTGCAATACGGTGATGCAACGTGTCACGTGGACACTGCGCGCTCCGCATGAAGGTCACGGACAAGCAGTCGTGCTACACCGTCCCTAAGGAGAAGGCCTCCAACTTCTTGGACAAGGCGACGTACCTTCTTGGATCACCGGTGGCTTTTGAGTCCTTTAGTGCGTCCTTCATGCCCGAAAGGTCGTGAAGGAGAAGTGGATCGACGTGAGGACCAAGAGAGCGGCTTGGACTCTTCGGAGGTCTGGTACCTCAGAATATGAGCAAAATGTAATAGGAACACGGAACGGAGACCATAATTTAGAGAGCTGTCCATCTGCTTCTTTCAGACTTTCCATGTGGAGTATGCTATATATCGCTATATATATATATACATATACACTACTATATCTGTTATATATTAATAATAATACTAAGAAGAATAATAATGGGAAAATGAGGTGTCTTCCGGCTTCTGTTTTGTCGGAACATCCTCGGACTCGACTTCGGTTTTGTGTGGCGCGTGTCGTGGTCCAGGGTGTTCGGGTGGCAGTCAAGCATGCAGGATGTTGAGGTTTCTGTGGGCTTTGGGGGGGGGGGGTGGCTCAATGTAGGGTGAAAGGCCCCTCTGAACAGGCCCCAAGTCCCCAAGTTTCCGCCTGCTCCTGAACGGAGACTCGGCGGGTATCTTCGTGTTCCCACAGCCAAGGAGATGCCTGGCCCGGGCACATACAAGACATTTGACAGCGAAGCGATTGACAAGCCAGGGCCCCAGAGCTGCCCTCTTGGCCCCAAAGGCCCCTTGGCTGGGCCCTCAAGGGTGCGCTTCGCGCCTCCGCCTCGGCCACATGCATTCCAGCAATAACAAAGTCATGCGAGCGGGCTCAGACCGATGTCAAGATTTCTCCTAATCCTTTTGCCCGGGTACTGCTTGGAACCACGGCAGAGCAGTGGTTGAGGTGGCATCAGGTCGTGCACACTTGTGCAATAGAGCATGTTCACAGCAACCGTGCGTTTCTCGGCATATGGCGAGACGTTTGCACGTAGTAAAACATTCCGATACATTGGAGTACGACACCTACGGCCCTCCTGTGCCCAATACGCCAAGACCTTGCTCGATCTCCCTTGATTTCAGGTTTGGGGTTCAGGGTCCAGGGCCCCTTAGTTCAGGGCCCCTTAGAGCCCTTCGAGCTCAATTCCTTGCAGAAGCTTAGGAAGAACACCGGGGTTGCATACCAACACCACTTGAAGACCGCCGGGTATTTCGTTGTCACAACCCCACAGCATGCAACAGCTTCGACTGGTAGTAGTATTTCAGCTTGCAGCGTTTGAATTAGACAGCTTTCAACCAGACAATCACCGATGAAGACACGGAAGCAAGTCCATTCAGAGCGCATTGCAAGCATGCTGCATAACAACTATCTCCACTTGCTCCGCATGACGCAAGTACTCAGCCAAAGACAAACACCTTGGCAGCACGCGTACCTACTTGAAACTCACGACAGGATTACTGAGTTTTGGCTGATGCCGAGTCTGGAAAAGCCTGGTGCAGTTGCCGGGCGTATGAATCAAAATTAAGTGGCGCAGACTGCCTTCACTCTCGCTAAGTGCCATCATGACAAAGCTGTGCAGAGTTGGACGCGGGTATACCCCACGTCAAAGCTTGAAACGGATGTCAGAAGCCGGGGATCCTTGAAGACAGATGCTCTGCTGGACACCCATGGAACTTGTTTGAGAAGAACGATGCTTTCGTGCTCTGAAACCCGAAAGCCAGAGCGCAGCGCAAGGGCCTATCGGGAGCAAGGACCCCGAAATAGTACTGACGTGAACGGTTGAACTCCCCTGGACATCGGTGATGTGGCTGCCGGATGGCGAGTGGGGGATATTCGGTATTTCAAGACACGTGTCAATCAACGCTGTGCGTGCTTATAGAACTTGAGCATCCAGGGTTCAAGAACATGTGCAGGAACCAACTCTCAGACTCCTCACCTCTTCGCTCTTTTCTTGAATGCTTTCGAGGACAACAAGAGGGACATACCAACTACAACTTCGAACTCTCAGCCGGAATGCCACAAGCTCAGTTGGATGAAGGTGCCAGCCATGGTCGAAAGCAGACATGTCATGCCCTGCTCCCGAGGCAACAACCGGCTTCTTCTGAAGCACAGCTCAGCTTTGCCAATGTACATCATGCGCGTGCAAAGTACGCTGTGTGGTCTCTGGAGCTGGCAGCTTCGTTGTTAGGGGCCTCTGGCCGCCTGTTCCAAGCGATCCTGAAGTTCAGTTTCACGGGTAGGCATCGCGGCATCGCGGCATCGCGGCATCGCGAAGGATGCAATGGAAACGGGACGCTCTCGTTTGCCTTCGGGCATGAAACCCTCCAGAACTACGGCTTCACAGCCTCTACTGAAAGTTACGATTGTACACACATCCACTACCAAAGCTACAGTGTCATTATGCTTATTGTGCATGTTCGTCGTGTAGAAGGGTTTGGGTCGGACCTGCCTTGTGATTGTTTTTTGGGAAATGAGAAGCGTGTGGACCATGTTGCGAGGGCTCCACCCAAGCCCAACCAAGTGCTCACCCGAAGCACCTTGCACATAGCCCTACTGAAGAAGAGCTGGCAGAGTCAGCTGCATCCATTCAGGACGGTTGCCAAGTGTCAGGATGGCTTCGAAAGTCGCGTTGCATCTCTCTTCTCTCTTCTCTCTTCTCTCTCCTCTCTCTCTGGCCTAACCAGCCAGCTTCAATTTCATCATGGGATGTTGAGCTCGTCGAGACGACTGAAGCTCAGGTGCGGCAGCGCGAGAGCCGGCAGATCAACACGAGCCAGGATGCTCAGCGTCCGTGCCGCGTGCAGCCGTGATTTCGAGTCTACCAATGGGTGCCAACACTTGGAGAGCTTTGTGCCGCACAGTTGCAAGAGGTCTCTTGACACTTGGACTGGTCATCAAGCGCCTCTCTTCGCAGGCTTGTGGTGACTGACAAGAATGAAATGAGGGCAATCCATGCATTTACACAGTGGCGAGTAGTGTGGCCAGGATCAAGTGGGCATGCGCCCCAGCCAGTGTGGTACCTTCATGTTTGTACGCGCGGCCAGCATCTCCACATCTGCAAGCCTCTTTTCGAGCATGGACTTCACAAACTTTTTGTGGAGATTTAGGTCATATTCCCTGCAGGACGGGCAGAGCTTGGCTGATTGCAGGGGGCGTCAAGTTCTGTACTGCATGTGCTGCCATCCGTCAGGAACAGCAAGCTCACGCACTTGCTGTCTGACTCCTTGACCGGAAACTGCAGGATGCCATTGTCATGATGCGTCCTTCGTGCCTTTTAATGCTCTTGGTGGGGACACCAGACATGCAGGACGGTGATGGTGGCGTGCGTCTCGCCCGCTTCGTCAGCTGTGGTTGATACCTCGGAGCTTCTTCGCTCCACTTGTGCAGAGTACTTGCAGAGCACTTGCAGAGGGAGACAAACACATGTAGATGACCATGGATGCATGGAGCCATTTCCGATATCGAACCGACCAAACCAAACGGACCAGATTCACTGGAATCTTTGAACTACCCTCAGCAACCTTTTCCAGCATCTAACCGCAATCTAGCCAACCTAGCCAGTGAAGATACGCAGTAGCCCACAGCAAGTTCTGTTCGTAAGTTCCGCTAGGCCGATCGCTCACATCCGCTTGGTGCGTGTCGCAATGTGCTAGTACGGAGTGCCCGTAGGAAATGGAACCTGGCCCCGGCCCTGCAGAGCAGCTGGTCACAGGGGAGCCAGCCATAAGTTATGGCACCATCGACCAGGCGGATGCGAATGCCGCGAGTGCCTCCAAAGACAGATCATTCTCCCTCGCTCCATACATGGCCGAGTTTGTTGGAACCTGCATCCTCGTGTTTACTTTCGGATGCGTCGCAGTGTCGCCGACACCATCCCTCTTCAAGCCGAGCGCTGCAGCATGTATTGTGACAGTCATGGTATACTCGACTGCAACGGTCTCTGGCGGCCACCTAAACCCCGCTGTATCATTGACCCTGAACGTTTTGGGCATGATGCCTTGGCAGAGAACGCTAGGGTTCTGTTTGGTACAGGTGGCTGGAGGCGTGGCTGGAGCAACAGCTTTGAGGGCTCTTTTTGGCAGGGACATGGGTCTTGCTTACACGTGGCCTGCTGCTCCTGCTTCTCCAAGCTTGGGCGCTGCAGTGTCTGCAGAGTTGCTCTACACAGCCTTGCTCTGCTTCCTGGTCAGCTGTCTGATCGTTTCCAAACGAAACAACCCGAAGCGTGACCAGAGCCAGTCGTTTGGGCTCGCCATTGGCCTCTTCTACGTGGCAGGAGTGCTGACTTAGTTGGGCATAGTTGGGCTGTCCATGGCTGTCGTCTCTTGTGACTCGGTAGGGGTTCGTAGCAATGCCTTGGGCAGGCCAACCTTGAGGTAGAGCGCCTTGTTGATACATGGGGGCATCTTTACACAGTCAGGTCGCATGCTGCCTTGTTCCTGAGGGCATCTTGGCTCGAGACAAATTTGACCAATGCACGCCTTTGAAGTGTCTACGATGATGTCTTTTTCTGTGGATAGCACCCAGAGCCTCGCGCACAATCGCATTGACATTTTGAACCGCAGGTGGGCAGCAGCAATGCTGTGCCTGGGTTCTGTCTGTGGCTTGACATCCCTTGCTTTAGCAACGCTGGCTGGCAATTTTAATTCCATCAGTGGCTTCGAGATGAAGTACGCCTGCTTTCCACACAACAAGTGCCCTTCTGGACGCAGCTACCACGCTGAGACCGTGAGTGAGATGGTGTCAAAGCCAGACTACCCCGCAGCAAAACTGTTCTTTAGCTTCACGTTGATCGGCTCCATCAGCCTGCTTCTGTCCCGGTACCCCTGGGAGCTGAAGAATGTCTACACCGGTGGAAGCCCCACACGCCGATTGCTTACTGCTGCTCGAGCAGTGCTTCCCCCTTGCGGGATGCTCATCGTAGCCACCATTCCCGTCGTCCCCCGGGTCGCTCGCCAGAGCACCGCCATTAAGCTCGCCTGTAGTGTGCACTCCTTCGGAGCTACGCTCTATGTTGCTGGCTACAATGCCATGGAAAGTTGCACACTGTGGATTTTATGGGAGAAGCTTGACAAAACGGAGCGCGTCCTTCGTGCGACCTGTGTGGTTTTTGGCGTGCTCAGCACCATCAGCTTTTTCATGTGTGGCACGGTGTACTCCTACGCAAAAGAGCTTGGCATGTGCTGTGTGGACGAATGGGAGAAGACTGAAGCGGCATTCGAGGCACTCTATCACATGGGTAATCAGTCTGCCACCGCGAAGGTTGTAGAGCTGCTGATTCCAAAAGTCTATGGGCCTTTTGTTTTGACAGACTCAGCCTCCGGCATTGCGCTGCTCATCAAAAAGTTCGAATTCTGGCTGGAAGAATTTGCCGGGTTCTTCGTAATTGTGAGTCACTTGCTCATATGGAAGTTTTGCAAAGTGCAACATTTGGAAGTTCCAGAACTGTTAGATATCCGCAGCGGACATGAGGTTCGGGACGTTCCGCAAGTAGCGCAAACTTATTGAGTGGCGTTTTCACAGTCTCTGGCCTGTGCACCTGTGAATCGCTGGATGAACAGACGTGGCAGTGCAACTATGGGACTTTGGGAGATTGCAAGCTCGCCAAAGCGCAGCGAGTTCAGTCCGTTCCGTTTCACAAGACAACAAAATTGCTTAAAAGGCTCAACGTCGCTCAAAAGATCTCAAGAGAGGAGTGGATCCCAGAGTTCGGTAGGAGATTGTCACCCCACTCTTCGCTCACGCAGGAGGTCATGCTTTGGCACCCATATCAGGCAGTGCTGGGGTTGGGTAAGCGGCGCCAGTAGGGCTGTGATGTTGTCATCACGGTGTATCATCAGAGAGACAAAGACTCTTCTTGCTTTTCTTGAACTTCGACTCCGTTGGCCTGTAAGAGGCGGAGCGATGTTGAATCCGGCCATTGCGCTGGGCCTTCCATTCATCAGCCACGAGTCGAACGTAATGTTCCTTGAGTGCCCGGACTGGTCTGGAGAATCTCCCCGCTTTGTGTTTGCGAACCCCTAAACCCCCTAAACCCCCTAAAACCCCCTAAAACCCCCTAAAACACCCTAAAACCCCCTAAAACCCCCTAAAACCCCCTAAAACCCCCTAAAACCCCCTAAAACCCCCTAAAACCCCCTAAAACCCCCTAAACCCCCTAAACAACCTTAAACCCTAAACTCCCTGGAGCCCCCAAAACTGCGTTTCTCGGGAGGTACGGCATCGCCTACGCCTTGGCCGAGCTGCTTGGCGCCTTTCTCGGCACGCAGCTCTTCACCATCCTTAGAGCCGGCTCAGAGGCGCAAGAGTCTACAGCTAACAAAAGATCAGAGTATGAACTTGAACACAGCTTATTTGTGGTACATATGGCATTGTAGATCATATTATATAGAAAGCATCATATAATTATATAAAGAGAATATAAAGAGATACAATGTTGCATAATGCTATACATATATATATATATATGTATGCATATAGACACGTACTGCAGTGTAGCCCGAACCTCGCACTTTTGCGCAGGACTGTTGCTGCAACGTTGAGGAGCACTTGGAGATCTGCATGCCGCGGATATCGGCCCGACTTCTCGGCGAAGGGTGTCTTGACCAGCAAGAGTTCAGGATGAGTCATGTGTTCCCCTACAACCCCCCCCCTCTATACTACCCTTCTAGGTTCCTAACCGGGGGAACCTAGGGGGGGTAGTAAAGAGGGGGGTAGTAGGGAAACCCATGAATCAGCGTCACCGAACTCATCGCAGTTTCCTGTCTCTCTGGCCTCTCGGGACCCGCCAGGTTGGGCACGTTCGCTGTGGCCGATCCCTCGGCAGATGTGCGTTCCGGGACATCCCAGCACAGTTTGTTGCACAACTCTCGCATTTGAAGTCCTTTCTGACCACTAGGAAATCCATTTATGAGGTTCTCACTTTCGGGCTGAACGTGATCGGGAACTCGGAAGCTGGCGGCCGAGCTTGCTTCGTCGTCACATTCAGGTTCTCGTGTGCTCCCTTTGCTTCGTTCCCTTTCCTGAACGAGCAACTCAGGCAACAGCATGGTCAACAGCAGCTGCTTTGACAAGCATGATCTATGCTCTTGGTGCTTTGGCTTGAGTGATGAGCTGGTCGATGATTTGCCGGTGTTGAGCCTATTTGAGCCTGAGTTGTGGTGGCCACATGAACTCCAAGGGAAGATCTCTGGGGGCTATTTCAATCCTGCTGTGACGCTCGCGGTTGTCTTGAGCGGCCGTGGCTTGGTGGAGAGTAGAATGTGTCGCGGAGCGTGAGCGCATGCTGCGCTAGCCCTGCAAACCATGGAACTGTTTGATTTTGATTTTGCAGTTTCATCCCCCAACCAAGACCCAACCATCATTCATTCAAAGCGAAGCGCCGCTTATGTACCGGTTCACCCCTTGCTTGTGCCTGTGCATTCGGCCTCGCTTGTGCCTGCACATGGCATAGCCAGAACACAGAGTCTGAAACCCAAGACCGAAAGCCGAACTCTCTCGAGGCCTTTCCCGATCCACGAAGCCCTGAATGCCATGCTTAAAGCCTAAAGACCTCAAGCCTTTAATTTTTAAGGCCCTCCCACAAACAAGTCCCTCCCCAACCCAAAACGCCAAAAGGCCCTGAAGCCCAAAACCCGAAAGGCTCTAGACTCTAAACCTTAAAGTCTTAAAGGCTCTCCGTACCCTCCTTGTTCCGATTTTACCTATACCCTAAGGGTCGTAAACCCCAAAGCCCTGAACCCGAAACCGTGAAGGTTTGGATCTCGACTTCTGATCCTCCCCCTACCGCTGGGCCATTTTGCGAGGGGTCGTGTGGGCACAAGCAAGGCCCAATTCCAGGGCACAAGGCCCCTCTTTTGTCTCCCCTTCGTTGAACGTGAAGTGCTGCTTTCGTGCCGAATGGTCCCCCACGTTAGCTTTCGTTGGCTTGGCGGCGCGTGCTCGCAGAATGATAGCGTGGTTCTTTATTATACTCGTGTCATGCAATGCGTGCACAAGCTGTCCACGTAGCATCACAACTTCTGGACCACACGTGCTAGCTGCTAGCTTTGATTTATCTCGTTTCCATCTGGACGCTCTCCAAGGCAGCAAATGCTCCGTGGTCGACGGCTGTGCCTACTGCGGAGTTCAGGCGGACGCGCCATCGCCCTGAACGTAGAGTACGTCCCGAGACCCTTGCTAATATGAAGGGATAGGTCTTGACGGGGTAGGTCTTCTACATGGCTCTTGGGAGTGCAGGCAGTTTGTGAGGACTTCAGGGCCCTTTGCAGTTCAGTTTTTAGAGTCGAGTAGGGCTCCCCTGCATGAGGCTGCTGGAGCAGTTGTCGCCGCTATCATCGTTGCAGCACCCAAGCTTGTCTATGATGAGCGGTATGTTGTGGTGTTCCGAGACAGTGGTGTTCAGTACTCAGATGCAGTAGAACTGCCCCGCCGAGTTTTACCGCTTTGCGGCGCCCAATCTCTGGCAACCCTTGACCTTGCCGTCGTGGCTGCGGCCCCAGTGACGAGTTGAAAGGGAAGCATGTCGAGATAGGTTAAGAACCACTTGTTGCTGAAAGAGTGCAGGCAAGAGTACGGGGTGGCGACGGCAAGCTCCCAAGTATGTGAGACCAGGGGCAGAGTGCTTCAAGTAGGTCTTTCAGCCGGAATCAGGTTGGCATCTCCGAAGGTGTTTTCACCTTTGTGACGCTTGCTTGCAGCAGCCGCATCCATTGGGTCATTGAATTCATTGAATCATATTGAATCATTGCCCGGCTGATGCAAAGCCGTTACTGACCACGTATACAGATTCTGGCTATCGACAATCGAGGTTGGCTTACGTGGTCCTTGCTTGCTCCACCGTGACCGTCCTGCCTGCTGGAAAGACGCGCCAGGCATGCAACACTAGTGCAAGGTTATGCGCAGCATTGCGGTTGAACTATGCCTCTCTTTTTTTTGCTTCTTCCGTGTCAGAACTTCTACTTCGGCCTGGCTGTGGGCTTCTGTGTCATGACTGGCGGATTCACTGTTGGCCCCGTGACGGGTGGGATGCTGAATCCGGCGGTCTCCGCAGGGGCCTGACAGAGAGCTTGCACCCTCTTGCACCGGCATCGGCATGTCTGGTAAGAGCCTGTATGTAAGTGAGCCGACTGCAAAAAGGTTGGTGTGGTGACGCTCGGCCTGTTCGAAGAGCAGATTATGCAGGCTTCCCCGTTAGCATGGTTGCAGAGCTTCGAGGCAGCTGATAGCCCGACTGAGCTGTCAGCACAGTGCCGCTTCTCGCAGGCGCGACGGCTCCTGCTGGCCGTGGCCGTGTGCCTCAAGCTGACCGCATTTCAATGTACGGGAGGCCTGGAAGCCGAGAGACTTCCGTGGCCAGCCTTGGAAATTTGCCAAAAGCCGCCTACAGTACGAATGTATCCCAAAACAGAAGAACATCTCAGCTAACAGCATCTCAGCTACCATCTTTGTCTGCGCAGCGCAGCATTGTTACTTAACTCGGTTTGATCGTTTGATGTGCAGATCTACACCCCAGTTTGATAATTCAAAGCAAGCCGGTTTGCGCTTGGATGTGATACATACATTGTGACATACTGCATCGTGAGCATTCTTTGGAATGAGCGCAAGGTCTTATGGCAGCTGTGGTCTTCCGCATCACGCACCCGAGCGAATACAGCAAGGACAGCCCTGCAAACTTGGGCAGACTGCTGTGTCTTCAGTAGCAACCTTTGTCGACATAGGCAGAAGATGAGTAAGACCGGTCCACTGGTGGAATGTAGAATGTCTTGTCAGAAGATTGGATGGGCAACTAGCTGGCAGGCTTGAATCCACGGCCATGGGCTACTTAAGTGCACTACGCAGACACCTCTGTGCTCGGAAACCATCGGCAGCAAAGGTCACTTGTGGAGTGCAAAGCCCCTGTGGGTCGCATAGGGCCCTCGACAGCTTGACCTCATTCTCACATGTTGAACCAGCAAAGCACCGGAGTGCAAACTACCACAACATTGGCACATTCTGCATGGATGCTCTCCGAAGCGTGGCTTCAATGGTGGTAGCTGTGGGACGGTTACCGCATCCTCACTCGAATCCCGAGCGCATCAATGCACAACATAATCGTCAGATATCGTTAGCTCCATCGGTTCCGCGGTCTCCTCCACAGATGCCCATCACCTCCCGAACCGATTGAATTCTTTCGGGGTATTGTCGGGACTGGAGCTTTCTCAGTAATGGCCAAAAGGGCTTCCATTCTTTGGAAATCGTAAAAGAAGGTTTGTGTGATGCGCTGGTGCACTGCAGGCTCCGCTCCTCGGGCAGTGAGATCGGCGTGTGTCTCACGGCTGTTGAGCGCTGTTGGAGCTGCGCAGCAAAAGATGTCTTGGCTTCCGAAAGAGAGCAGTCTCAGCCTGCAGTACGCCTAAAAGCAGTCTTTCCATGGTATGTCTTCGATCGAGATTGATGCTCCGAGGCCTCAACAGTGTCTTGGCAAAGGTTGACAATTGATGTGATGTGTATGTTGAAGCGCTTGGCTACTGTATTTTCAGGAAGAGGCGAGATTTTGGCTTTCTGCTTGTGTCCGCAATTGCTGGGGCCATGCGACCAAGTGCTACCAAGTGATAAATCAAGGAGTCTGCCCTCCGCTTTGCTTCAACATGCCGCAGAGTCGGTGCCCTTAACACAGCGAAGCCTGAAGGGTTTTGTTTTGTTGTGCTTTTTGAAAAGACCCGATTGCTCTCAGGTCTTCACACATCCCGCGCGAAACGAGGCCTGGGCACTTGGGTGAGTCTTTGGGCCCTTTCATGGAAGGCGTAAGTGGCTGCAAGGGAGTACACATGTGAACGCGAATGAGTGGCCAATGAGTGGCCTATGTGGGTCCATGTGGCCCTCGCCCTGAACAGATGAGCAGCTTCATGCCTTCACCGAGTTGGTGAAGCTAAGATGCCCCCCCCCCCCCCAACCACAACTCCTGTATTGACCACTGCACATTCAACCGGGCCGTTCAAGGCTGCTGAGGATTTGGAGGCTTGAACAGCCGATTTTTCCGGCAGAATCCACGATGGGCGTTTCAGAGGCCTTCATAAACTGGTTCCACTGGCTTGCCCACAGGAAATCAGTGTGCTCTATACCTCATGGCACATCTAGGCCATTTTTCAGGTCGCAAAACATGCATTGCGCTGGTCTGGCCAATCTCAGACTCAAGCCTCCACAGTTTTTCTATTGGGGCCTCGGAAGGTTTGAATTGGGCTTTCACAGGGCCTTCACAGCGCCTCCATCGCCCGACAACAGGAGCCATTTCTTTCAGACCTAGTCCGTGTCGGAACGTGTCGAGCACCCACCGCTCCCCCGATCGGTCTTGTTTTTGCCCTGTCACTTCTTGAGAAGACAAGTCCGAGGCTGTCATGGGCCTCTCACCACGGTTGCCCCCGATGCTCTCTTCATGCTGTCCAGCCCAGCTGCCCTGGTCTCAAGTCGCAACTCTGGGAACTTCTTAGTAGTTTATAGGATTCTTAAGGGAGTAGTGGGGAGTATTAGGGAACCTTGGGTTACATACCTCCCTTGACCCCCACCCCCCTTAAGAACCCTATAAACTTGTGAAGGAGAGCAAGGACGAGATGGCTACGGCACTGCGCGTAGAGCTGGACGAGCCATCGACTGAGCTCTGCAGCTTGCGATGGTGTCCTGACAGCCTCTTACAGTGTGTCACTAGAGTTATTATGAGTTACTTTGAGGTACTACGAGTTAAATCTGAGTCACTATGAGTTAACTACGACTTACGGAGTTGCATTGTCGCTCACAGGCTCGGGAGAGAACTCGGAGCTGCTCAAAGCCCGGAAGGAAGGCTCCACGATGGACCCATGAGTGACGCTTATTCGGCTTCCGGTTGCGCGCCCTCGCCACTTCTGACTTGTGCCAGGCGTGAGCTTGCAGATCGCTTCGCCACCGCAAAGCTGCTTGTGGACCAATACACGCAAAGCCGCAGCCCTGGAACTTGCCCAGAAAGACCAGAATGCTGTCTCCCCTGTGTGGGTTTTTGGTTTTCGGTGGCATTTTGTGGCATGTCGTGGCATTTTGTGGCATGTCGTGGCAGTCTTCGGAGTGCTTGAAACATCATCCGCGGAGTCGTGGAGTCTCCAGGTTGGGAGGAGCAGGAGGCGAGCTCCAAAGCCCTGGATTTCGAGAGACGCCAGCTGCTTTCCAGTGGCAGCCTCAGCTCAGCCACGGGTTTGCCTCAGTGTGCTGATGAAGGTGCTTTCCAGGCGCTGTCACTACCATCTTGATGCGGCCTGAGGTCTTGGCCTTGCCTTGAAAGGTGGCACGCAGCTCAGGGCACCTCAGGGATTTTTGGGGGCATTGGGTTTTCAATCGGATTTCCGAGTAATCTTGGCGCCCGAGGAGCGAAAGCATCCGCCAAGCCGAAGCAACGGCCGATGACACACAGAGGCCATGAGGGAACATGGGGAAGAATGGGGCAGCATGAGGAGTGCCTCCAGCCTCTTGGAAACGACATGAACGACATGTGAGCTGCAGCAGGTGTGCAGACACCGGCGTCTGCCCGGCAGTTAGACAACTCGACAGGCGCGCCAGTGGGAGCTTTGAGAGCGAGGTATGCCCTCAACATATCTCAACATGCAAAGTATGCAAAAGAGGGCACTGCCATTCTGGTATCGTTTTCAGTGTGAAAGCTGCATACCAGCTGTCGTTTGGCCCAAGCTGGACAAGTTTACCATTCCAGAAGGCGCCTTCTGCAACAGTGCTTCAGCCAGCATCCAGGGAAACGGCAGGCCAGGGTGGCAGGGGAAAGGCAATTGTATACAGCCACGCTCAAGGTCTGCGATGCCGGAGTACGAGCTCTTCTACTGGCCCATCACTGGCCTCGGCGAACCAATCAGGCTCCCGTGGTTCAAAGACAGCATGGCTTCACACTGTCTGTTCCGAATTTGTCAGCATTTCCCGTCTTTTCCGGTCGCTTTTGCATCGGGTCTCCTTGTCTTAGAGCCTCGGATTTCGTTTCACGCCGACCTGAGACTACGCCAATCTGGGCGCATCAGGGGCACCTTCCCTGGCCTTCATGCCCCGCAGAACAAGAAGAACACATGAGACAGGGACTGCATTCCCGGTCATGTCAAACGAGGGAAGCAGAATCTGGGTGCGTCGTCTACTGGGGGGGGGGGTGGAGGTACTCCCGTACATTGTGGTGCGGCGTGCTCCCCAACATCCTTTTCGTCTAATGCCGACTTCCGAACAGGACTCGAGCGTGCTTGCGTGTGTGGGTCAGGGTTCTCTTCCCTGGCCCCCAAGCCCTGCAGAAGAAGAAAAAGAAGAAGAAGAAGAAGAAGAAGAAGAAGAAGAAGAAGAAGAAGAAGAAGAAGAAGAAGAAGAAGAAGAAGAAGAAGAAGAAGAAGAAGAAAGAAGCAGAAGAAGAAGAAGAAGAAGAAGAAAAGAAGAAGAAGAAGAAGAAGAATAAGAAGAAGAAGAAGAAGAAGAAGAAGAAGAAGAAGAAGAAAAGAAGAAGAAGAAGAAGAAGAAGAAGAAGAAGAAGAAGAAGAAGAAGAAGAAGAAGAAGAAGAAGAAGAAGAAGAAGAAGAAGAAGAAGAAGCGAAGAAGAAGAAGAAGAAGAAGAAGAAGCAGAAGAAGGAAGAAGCAGAAGCAGAAGCAGAAGCAGAAGAAGAAGAAGAAGAAGAAGAAGAAGAAGAAGAAGAAGAAGAAGAAGAAGAAGAAGAAGAAGAAGAAGAAGAAGAAGAAGAAGAAGAAGAAGAAGAAGAAGAAGAAGAAGAAGAAGAAGAAGAAGAAGAAGAAAGAAGAAGAAGAAGAAGAAGAAGAAGAAGAAGAAGAAGAAGAAGAAGAAGAAGAAGAAGAAGAAGAAGAAGAAGAAGAAGAAGAAGAAGAAGAAGAAGAAGAAGAAGAAGAAGAAGAAGAAGAAGAAGCAGAAGAAGAGGCGTCCGAAAAAATGTGTCCGATGTCGAGGCTGACCTTCATTGCAGGCGGCATTCCTTTCAAGGACAGGCCGTCGCGGGTGTCTTTGGCATTCTCTGCCTTGCACGACGTCTGGGGTGACATGGTGCCGCATTTGGGCGTCTCTGAGCCTGAGGATACGACGCCCAAGACGGATGAGACATTCAAGGAGAGGACCGCGGCGTTGCATCCGCTGCTCGGTTGGCTTGGCATACGGATGATTTTGAAGGGTGACGGCCCTTCTCAGACACTCTCAGTGTAAGGTACGCGCCGGATGCCTCAGGATTGCCCATCCTGACCGTGGCTGCTTGGTCCGATGCCGATACTGGTGCTTTTGGTCCCACGAAGGTTGAGTTTCAAGCGCAAGATCCAGCCTAGGATGGCAAAGCCTACGCCCAAAGCCGTGCCATTCTACGCTATGTCGGCCGCATCGCCCTCCCGCTCAGATGTTGAATGCCCCTGAACATGCAGCATGCATATTGCTAGCCATATGGGGGTTTACGACAACAAGGGACCCCTAATTTAGACACCCAAATTGTAGGATCCCCTTACAATAGGACCCCAATAAGGCACCCTTTGATATCGCAAGCCCCCATATCGAGCAGAGAGATGGACACTTCACCCTGCATTTGCAGTGCCGGCGCCGTCTCAGGCGCAGTACGAAGGTTCGGCTCTGCCGCGGCCCTGGAAGTAGGAACGCGTCTGTTGTTCAACAGCCTTTGAGAACTGTATTAGTATTTCTCGCAACGCAGTCATTTTGCAGGTATCCGACAGATCCCATGGTGACTTGTCTTCATTGCCAGGCCAAGCTGTCAACTCGCTAAGCTGCCTGATATGGGCGTAAGGAACAGCTGGAGTGCGATGACTACATTGAGTTGGGCGAGGAGACTCGAGCATGGCTCCAGCACAAACCCAGCCTTGGATTATTCTGTACTATACTGAAGGTATGGGCATAGGCCTCAACCCCGACCCCGAGCCCCGAATGTGCAGAAGCACATGGTGCAGGACCTGCGGGGGCCCATCCTTGCCACGTTCCGCTTCCAAGACCAGGCGGAGAAAGAGGCGGGTTGGAGCTATGGAAAGTTCATGAGTCAAGGTTAGAGCCAAGAAATGCATGGCTGTCATTCGGGTGTTCCTTCTTCTCTTCAGCGCTTGCAGGCGGCACGCGCCGCGCTGGTGGCCCCCGATGGAGGCGTTACCAAGTTCTTAAAGGCCAGACTCAGGGTTGAGGGGTTTAGGGTTCAGGGTGGGTTCATCCTGTTGGTATGGCGCGCCTTCCCTTGAGTGCCCCTGCATGAACACTTGAGGTGCTCGACAAGAAGCTGGGTGCTACTTGTCATCATTGTCATCGGTTGCGTGAAAAGCATGTGTGTGTATACATGTATGCACAAACAGTACGTACATACATAAATGCATACATACCCACAAGCATTTTGCTACCCTCCCCCCTTCACCTACCATTTCTGGTGTTGGAATCTCATCCTTTTTGACTCAGCATAAGAACCCAAGAGCAAGCGCGCTTGGCGAATGTATGATAGCACCTGCTGCCGAGCCTTCCTGCCTAGCCTTCTTCGCACACGAAAATACCGTCTTTGCCAGCCTTGTTTTCGAGCAATCGTTTTCTTTTTAATTGTTTCGTGGTTAACATAAATGCTGATATGACATGGCATGCTAGACTCCTCAGCTCCTTGCACGCGTGGGCCGCGCTCATCGCGCGCTCCGCCCCCTCGCCCTCACAAGGCTCACGCCCGTCCACGGCTTCTGCAGGGCTTAGGGTTTTTGGGTTTAGGGCTGTAGGGTCTGTTTCAGGGATGGAGTTTAGGGTTTCAGGTTTCTGGTTTAGGTTTCGAGGGTTGAGGCTTATAGGATTTAGGGATGAGGGTTTACGCGCTGTTTGGCGGAGAGTGGGGGTGTAATGACTTCAGGAAAAGGAAGGACAGGGAACGAAATTCGACAGTTCCAGTAACTTGCAGTATTTGGCCAAGGTAGTTTTGACCTGTGATAGATCATTTTTCTGTGCACCAGGGCCAAATGGATAAGAATGCCAGGCAAAGCTGTTGGTGGAGTTGTGCAGGTCACCTGCGCGCTCCAAGCAAAGAAGGGTGCAGTGGCTGGCCCTTTGGGAGCACACCTTCGCTAATTTGGTGGCTCTTGGCTACCAAGACAAAGTGGTCCTGTTGGCAGAAGGTGTATCATGCCATTCCTTGTCAAGTCAAGCTGGCAAACTGCCTGATCAAGAGCTGGAGGTTTCCATGGAAATCAAAGCCCCAGGCAGTACACGTTGCCTTCTTGTCGAGGGAAGGACCTTCTGGAACAATGTGAGCTCCCCCTGTGGTGCCCTGTGGTGGGGGACGGGGTTTAGGATTTAGGGTTTAGGCCTTTTCGCGGTTGGGTTTACGTGGCGTTTACGCTAGGTTTTGCGTTCTTTTTCTCTCCTAGGGTCTGTACGGGTTGCATAGGGCTGCAGGTTTTAGGGTTTAGGCTTTTTGGGTTTCAAGGCGTAGGTTTTTTTTAAAGTTAAGGGTGTAGGGCCATGCGTTCAGGGTGTCTTTGATGATTACAAGTCCAATCCTTATGTTTTCCATGAGAAAGTCCATGCCAAGACAGCCGGCCGTCCAACAGCAGCTCTGGAGCTACGCAATATCAAGCTTCAGGCCGTAAAATTCTATCTCATGAGCCCTGAGCCGTAGGGCGCCTATCTTCAACAAGCAAATACGTAGTCTTGGGTCATGCTCAAGACTCGCAGGTCAATAATCATAGAGCCAGCCTTCCCGGCGATTCCATTAAGTTATATGTTGGATGCACATGGGAAAAATACGTTCAACAAGCAACATGGCCAGAGCCAGGCCTCTCCAAAGTAAGAGTCACAAAGGCCTGGAGTAAGTTTACGTGTGTAGAAATGGCATTTCCTAAAGCGAGCCAACTTATCTTTCATTAGCCCAGCCCTTCCGTGCGATGATGTCGAGTTATTCTCAAGAATCTTAAGATGCTTCAGGATCCGAGCATTTATTCCAAATTTGAATAGCAATGAAAAACGCGAATAAGGGCCGAGATCCCCAGTGAATTTCCCAGGCGTCTTGAATCTTGAATCTTGGACGCGGGCCTTGTTCAAAGTTTGCAACAAGCTGCATGGGGGTGTAGGGTTTTGGCATTGAAGTTTTAGGGCTTGGGGCTTAAGGTTAAAGTTCAGGGCCTAAGGTTTGGGAGTGCGCCGCGCTTTTGACCGGTGTGTTTCGATAGAAAACGTTCAGAGCCTTCAGAGGTTTTATCAATCCTTCTTTTGAATCCCCAGGAAATCGAAGATTGAAATGCAAGACGCTCACGTTAGTCTCACGTTCATGCCTGCTGCTCTACACTAATGTAGAAATTGCAAAAAACCATGTTGATTTTTTTATTTTTTTGGGGGGGGGGGCGGTGGTGGTGGTGGTGGTGGGGTTACGACATACATGTATGCCTATATGCATACTTACTCACACGTAAAGACAGACATCAGATGCCCTAAGGCCTAACCTTCCAACCTTCGCGCTTTCAAGTCAAGACGTTTTCCGGATGTTCACACAGCCCAGGACAATTTCCCAACAAAGCTGACCATCGGACGTCTCTTGGTTTGCGAGTGGATAGCACGTGCCCTGCTGGTTTTCTGAAGTCCTCACTTGTGATGCTCGTCGTGTTCGCTGCATTTCGCCCGCCAAGCTTTGTACGTCTGGTGCATGACCACCATCTTCCGCCAGCCGACCTTTCTGGATGGTATCCCTGCTGATGCCCTGGCTCCGTATGCAAACATCACCAAGCTGCATCAGTGATTCGGCTGCACGAGGATTCACTTCCTCGACAATGGTTGGGTCCCTTCAGCCTATTTCCTTTTGTGCACAAAAAGGTGGCGCCCACTAAGGTGGATTTCCAACATCCCACCCATCAAGGCTCACTACGAGAAGGCCGAGGGCCGAAGCTCGGCACGAATTTTGATTTCCATATGATTCCCATGCATGCATTGGTGCTTGCAAGCTGCCGCGTGTGCACAGCATCGTGAGAGTCGTGATTCTTCGCTTCCCCAAGGCGACAGCATGAAGCCTCTTTGATTCCTGGATTAGTTGAGTATCAACGAGTCAGTCGCGTTACTAGACAAACTTGGTTTCTGCGCCTGGCGAGTTGTCGGCTGTCTCGACACAGCAAACAATCTGCAGACATTGTCGCGGAGCAAAACATCATGTGAGGTGAGTTTGCTGGGCTCAATGACTTGCAAATGCAGGGTTCCTGGCAAGATTTTGCGGCGTGTTAGTGGCTAGTCATGCCAGGTGGCGTAGCGCCCGAGGACCGCTCCAGACATGCTGCCAATGCCAGCTGAAAGTCCATCTGTTGAGGTGTGATGTCTTGGGGCGCAAGCTTCCATGCTGGGAGCGGTAAGCATCTGACAACCCTTCTGGCAGGGTCTGTGCTATTTAACATATTGTCCTGGTTCCACAAAGAGGATGCAACTCTTCAGACCCACTTTCTCACGTCTGTGGAAGGAGCCTTGTCTGATCAACGTGTGCGATGATCCGCTACTCTCAGGTAGGAAGCTTTGTCAGCGATGGTTCTCTGTCCATCACTCTGTCCGATGCTGCCCATGTCCAGAAATTGGCACGGTGTGTCATGTCTTCGCTGTCTGTTCGCTTTCCGCCCCGCCTGCCAAGTGACTCTTGACTTTGGACAGCCTTGCCCCAGGCTGCTTGCGATACGTACTGCCAGCGAATCAAAGCGTGCCGGCCTCATTCGGACACACAGCCGATTCTCGGCGGTTGAGAAGGTCCTCAAGGCATGTCGAAGCTCAGGTTTGCATCGGGAGCGGCGCGCGTGGAAGCCAAGCCATGACTGGACAGACTTTTTTTGATGGCAACAAAGCCAGCTGCACGAAATCGACGAGATTTGATGAGTCTGAGGTCCTGCCAAGTACGCCTGGATGGTCTGGGCATTCGTGAGGCAGCCAATGCGGCGTTGTTGGCATGGCCTCACTGCAAGAGTTTTGATGTAGTTGACAAAAGGTTTCCTTGTGTCAGTGTATGCACACACGTGGCCCTGCAAGCCCTCAAGCTCACAAAACTCAGACACACAGCCGACCTGCAATCTCTGAAGCTTTCAGTTCGATTGGGACGAGCCGCTGCTGACCTTTAGCACGATGGACTCCGTCAGGCGATGTGCCAGGTTTCCTGGCAGCCTGGGCACGATGTCGAGATTCAGGTGCCATGGGAAGCCTGCATAGGGACTGAAATGGGCTGACACTGAAAACGTTGAAAACGTGCTCTTGACGCAGGTGGATTTTGGAGATGACAGCGAACAGTTTCAGAGGCTTAATCATCCGACAGCCGATGACGCTAAAGCCATGGTTCTGTGTCACGGATTGTTGCCAGGAAGGGATCTTTGTACAAGGGCGGGCCTCCAAAGGCCTTGAAGAAAATAGAAGCAGTTGCATGAATCGGCAGCACGCAAGTCACTTCAACCTTAGGGTGCTTTTGGTAGGTGTGCATCAACAACCGGCGAATTAAAGACACGGCAACACTTCAGCCAGTCACCCAAGATGGCTTGCCGGAGTCTTCCGATGCTCATGAAGCGTCGTGACCTAGGCCAGGGGACATGCTGCAGGTTGGACACGGCCACGCGTCAGTGCCGTAGCATTGTTGCCGCCAGCTTTGAGTTTTTTTCATCTTCTGCGGTCGCCTCCAAGATGTGCTACGAAGGTTTCGCCTCTACGGTCCGGTGACGAGGTCATGTCTTGGGAGTCATATTTACTTTTTTTCCCCTGCCGCATTCTTGCCACGTATTCGGGAGGCAGAACCGTACCTTGCGAAGGTCCAGCAGCAAGACAGGAAGCGCTGCCCTTCTCTCCCAAAAATAGAACCAGGTGAGTATCGCCATGCGACAAGTTAGATGCCTTCCCGAACAGGCCTCCCACGACCGAAGAAGCCAAGTGGAGTGCCGGATTCACTCATTGAAGAGCTGGAGGCAGATCATGCTCTCGTCGCCGACTGCAATGCTGTGTGGAAGTGCCATGAAGTGCCATGAAGTGCCTGAAGAGGCAGAGCTCGGAATTGAGCGGGCTTCGGCGGTGGCCGCTCGGCTGCCTTCGCATTCCCTTCGCATTCCAGCATGTTTTCAACCTGTTCAGCTGGGTTGAGATTTGCCTTCAGACTTTAGAAGTCTTAGGAGGCTCCAGGGATGTTTCCATGATGCCAGAGAAAAAATGTGTTCTGCGCAGTGCTGCGGGCAGGTTGCCTTCCTCCAGGCCCGGGATGGGGCAAGTCCAAGCTTCCCTGAGTGGGAGGTTTCACAACAGGGGTTTCATACAAAGGGGTTTCATTTTTGGGGTTCATATATGGGGTTTCATATGGGGTTTCGTGAGTTTTTCTGGGGGTTTTCTTGCCCCAATTTTCATGGTGCCTGGAGGAGCTTCAGCCGATGCTGGAGGAGGCCACGGACCTGACGCAGGAGCTGCGGGGCAAGCGCTTGGTCTCCCTCTCAGCCTCTCAGCTCTCGGCCTAAACGGGCCACGGGTGGGGTACGGGAGGGGTACGGGAGGGGTACGGGAGAGTGTTCCAGCTTCGCAGGCATTTCATGCAGAAGTCCTGCATGACGGGCATGGGGCGGCGTCTGGCCAAGCAAGCAGGCCGGAAAGAGATGAGTTCTCGGAATTCGACAAGCTTGAGAGTTCTTCTGTAGCAAGGGACATGAACACGTAGTGACTGCAGCGTCGGGACATGAGGTGCCCAGACCCGGAGGTTGTCATCGCACTGCGCGAAGGTGGGGGGAAGGGGCGGGTGGGCATCTGGAGCTCGATGGATTCACGGTTGTCGTCACTTCCGTCACATTCCGTCACATCTTGCATCGCACGGACAGGGAACATGTCGGACCAGGATGCAGGTCTCAGCCTCATAGGCTGGATTGCGGTTGCTGTTTTGAGGAGTCAGAATCAAAGTAGAGTCAAGTTTTGACCTGAATTGCACTGCGCAGAGGCGACACCGAAGGAGCCCTTTTGTCAGCATGTCGCTCAGAATTCTTACTCGAATGCTCGAGCAGGAACCAGCCTTTGTGCGCTCATTTAATTCTTTTTACGCGCACCCCTATAATATAAAGTGAAGAGAGTAAGTGAAATAGAATTATAAGTGAACGCGTGAAACAAGTGAGCGCATGAATTCATTTCACGCACGAACGAAACACACGAACGAAACAAGTTGTCCTTTGCCTGGCGGTGAGATTAGAAGAAAGATGTGAGGAAAGGGGAATGTTGGACGTACCTTGACTGGCGGTTGAACTCAGAGAATGATTCGCGAGTACACGGTCAACCTTGGTTTTTACTATTCTCTTCGTACTTTATTCATTCGCTTTTTCACTCACTCCGCTATCTTCACACACCATAAATAGCCCAACTGTAGTGGGAATGTTACGGGAGCCAGGGCAGACCGGGTCCACCTGCCCCTCACAGAAACACCCAGCGCTAGCAGCTCGCTCCCAAAATCGAGTGAATCCTCTGTCACATACAGCGACTGCTGGAACCTGGCTCTGCCCACATGGGTCTGTTTACAGGTGATCGCTGCTCACGTTTGGAGTGTGCCCTCATGCCTCAAGAGTTGACACGTAAAGGTTTCTGAGTTGAGGGCTGGTTCTCGCAATCCCCATCTCCTTGGTTTCGGTTACATACTGGCTGGTACCTGCAGCGCTACGTAGTATCTCGGTTGATGGTGCACGCCACACCCAATGTGAATGGCTTCTTGGATGGCTGTTTTCTCGTCGAATGGCGCTGTTGGTTAGGTCTGGTCCGTTGACAAGTTCCAGCAAAGGCTCGAGGCTGTGAGACTGCAACACTCTGCAACCATTGCGTCTGTGACCTGCAGCTCGACAGTGCATGTAGACGTTGGCAGACCGTCAGCATGCGCATCAGTCTGGCTTGAAATTCGCTCGCCTTCTTTGCTTGATCTCCTGTGTGAGCGTTTTAAATCAAACTCAAACGTGACAAAAAAGACAAAAACTCCCGCAGGGAACAAGCCTGAGAACGGCTACCCGGCTACTCCTTACTCAGTTCTGCCACAGAGCTTTCCCGTTTCCCTGTGACTCACACATCAACTCAGAAAAAAAGCACCTCTTAATGTTGCGCGATATCGCGCACAGTTCCTCAGCGCTCCAAACCGCAGACCCCACAAACTCAACCTTCAGACTTGAAGCCAACGAAGCCAACGAAGCCAACAGCCTTCTGCATCTCCGCCATGGCAGCCGCCAGCTCTCCAGGTCCACCAGGTCCCGGGAGTCTGAGCTTGCCCGGCGGGACGCCCCGGGAGAATGACAGGGTTTCCCCGGAACCCTTGGCACGCCGGCCGGGCCCCAGCGCGGGCTCGGCTTCGGGTCCTGTCACGCCAGCGCCTGGCAGCCCGTGGCAGTACCAGCTCAACCCCCGCATCCGCGGCCGTGGTGTTGAGAGTCCCAGCCCTGCGGGTGTGCGGGCGCTCAGCGGCACCCGAACTGTTGTGAATGCCGCGGCGCGGGCCTCCTACGAGAGTGCTGTCTTGGCAGCCGTGCGCAGACAGATAGAAGCCTTCGAAGAGAAGGTGGAAAAACAAATCAGCAAATTGCAAGTTCAAGGAGACAAAGGCAAGGATGCAAGCCTAACTCGGCTAGAGGAGAAGGTCTCCGCAGCGGAGGGTCTCCAGCCCCGGGTTGAGAGGAGGCTTGCCGAGCTCAGTGGCAACTTCAAAGGGTTGTCAGACGAGATGCAGGCCCAGATCCGTCGCGTGGACCTGCTCGACGATCGGCGGTGGGAGTGGAGGCATCAGGTGGAGGAGGAGATGCAGAAGAAGTGCCAAGGCTTGTGGCTGTTCTCCGTAATTTTTCCTCCGTCTCTCTTGCTCTCTCTGTTTTTCTTCTTTCTTTGTTTCTTTCTTGCTTTCTTTCTTTCGTTCTTTCTTTGTTGCTTTCTTTATGTCCTTCTCTCTCTCTCTCTCTCTTCTCCTCCGAGCCAGCTGCGTGCACCAAGCAGCTGTCAGTTTAAGTGGGTGGCGCCGGAGGCTACGAGCAGCAGGTGCAGGCCATGGCTTCAAAGCTCCGCGGCCAGCTGGCGCTGGAGGACTACAGAAGGGCCTTCTTTCCTGAATAAACAGAAGATGGAATTAGAGATGGAATAGGAAGTCAAGTACTTTGCTCTTGAGGACACGCTAAAACAGCACCACCAACGCTTGCAGAGGCCCATGCAAGGACATGCTGGTGAAAGGGTCCAGGCAAGCCCGACTGATAAGCGAGGCTGGAGTCCGAGCTCATCCAGCGAAGCTCCATGCACGAGGACACTCCTGGGCAGTTACTGCGGACCGCGTCGCTTGCCGCAATGTGCTGCACTGCAGAATGTGGTTCAGGAGGTTCGCGAGGGCTTTGCCAACGTTTGCGGACGTCTTGAAATACTGGAAGCCCGACCAGAGGACCTCTCGCCATGAATTGCAAGTGAGTACGCTGCAATATGTTGCAGCTCCATGTGCCATCATGTACCTGATATCCAGAGGATGCCTTGGTGGACAAAGCAACAGCTGCAAGAGTCTCAGTTTTCACATTTCTTTGGATGCAGCTTGAAGTGCATGGCGCATCGTGGCGCCCCATCCTCTCAGGATGCTCTCTTCGAGCGCAGCTCAGCCGCCAAGAGACGTGGACTCAGAACCAGAGCCAAGTCCTTCAGTCCTTCAGAAGTGTTTCTCAATGTGTTTTTGAAAGACTTTAACAAAAAGATCGTCGAATCGTCGAACCAGAGTCGGGCCGAGTGGCTGTGTGACCTGAGTCCTTGAGATCTGTTCAGGTGATGACTTCGCCTGGCTCTTGATTGGGCACACTGAGTGATGGTGATACTCGTATCCGGTGATGCCCTGGTACTCTGCAAGGTGGCCAACTCGATCTACGAAGTGCTCTCAAAGCGCTTAGAGGACTGGCAGCTGTGCCGCACTGGGCGAGACAGCAGGCTTGTGAAGTGACCACTGGGGGCGTCCTTTTGTTGTCAGCCGAGTTCAGTGGAGTCTTCGTAACTTAGTACAGCCTTGACTTGGAATGCAATGTGTGGCAGGACCTGGGAGGAAGGATTGAGGAAGCCCTCCAGGACCCGGTGCTGCCTCGCACTTGCAGTGGGCTAGTTGGAAATTTCTGTCAGTGGAAAGGGGGCTACTAGTAGGGGTGTCATGGCGTTTACCTGGGTCTATCAAGATTTTCCCGTCACTAGTAGTCATGTGCCGGCCAGTGCTTTTGTCGCAAGTGGTCAATCTCCAACATCCGCAGAGCCATTTTCGGCCCCAGCTGCAGCCAAGACCGGAGCCAGCAAGGCGGGGCAGCCGTCAAGGGCAGGATCGTGTAGATCGGGGTAATGAGCATGAAATTCCAGCCAATTTATGCTCTGGAGGCTTAAAGCCATGGCTCTTCGTGCGGTGGGTCTGCTGGCAGAGTCTCGACAGAGAAGCTACTCATGGGGCTTTTTGGAAGCCTGGAAAACGGAACCAGAAAGTGCTATACGCGACTCTGCACCTCGGAGCTTCGCGCAAGGGCTCATCTTCCCCAGATACGGCTTCATGAGCCCCACAGGCCCAAAATCAGAGGCCCATGCACTCCCTGGATCTCCCTGGTTCCTTATATTTCCTTATGAATCAGCTCCAAGATAGCTGGGATCAGCTGGGCCCCTCCACAAGCAAACGAGCATCATGAGCCAATTGTCCTCAAGGACACGCTGGCAAGCATCATGAGCATCGGTTGGGATCAGCTGGCCCTTGTCGCAGTAGCCAACTTTGCCCGAAGGACAAGCAGACGAGCATCATAAGCATCAGCTGGGAGCAGCTGGCCCCTTGTCGGGGTAGCCAACTGCCCTCGCTCCCCCCACACCCCCTACCTTATGTTGTCTTGTTGTGTCCTACTGTAGTCTTTGGGTCTGACTCTGTGTTCTGAATCCCTGCTGGGCTTTTGGGCTGGGGGATGTTGCTCGAGACCGGGCATGTGCAGGGTCTCCGGACACGCCATACCGAATTATTTGGTTTTGCTTTTCTCGTCTCGGATCTCAATATGAGAGCGACCATGAGTCGCCGGGCATACGCCCGTCCTAAAACCGCTACGTGTGTTCTCACATCGCGTGTCAAAGTCAAAAGTCAAAAGTAGCCAACTGCCCCCCCGAAGCACGCGCTGGCGAGCATCATGAGCATCAGCTGGGATCAGCTGGGCCTGTGTCGCTGTAGCCGACTGTGCCCGAAGGACAAGCAGAGGAGCATCATGAGCATCAGCTGGGATCAGCTGGGCCCCTGTCGGCGTATCCCCAAGGACATGCAGGCAAGCATCATGAGCATCAGCTGGAATCAGCTGGCCCGCAGTAGTCAACTGTCCCCGAAGCACAAGCTGGCAAGCACCATGAGCTTCAGCTGGAGCTGGGGCCTAGCCAACTGTGCCCGTACCCAGAAGCTAAGCTGGCAAGCATCATGAGCATCAGCTCGTTCTCCAACCTCTAAAGGCAACACGTGATGAAAAAACTTGTTCAACGAACATTTGGCGTCCCAGCAAACTTTCAGGTGGCCAGCATCGCCTTGATTGGTCTGCATCGTGCTTTTGTCGCGAACAGCATTCAGGCTCGGGGCATGCTTTTGCTGCAGAACTGTACTGCGTTTGCTGCATTGCTTTCTGGACTTGCCTAATGTGTCGAGGCCAGCAGGCAAACCACGCCTTCCACGAATTCTCCCTTGGAGCGTCTGGCTGGAAGCGGAAGCGCAGCCACAGAAGAGGCTTCTTGCCATCTGCAGGGTTTGCCCATGGCCGTGGAAAAAGGCCACTCCGCAGCACTGTGCATCGGCAGGTGCCAGCAGTGACCACAGCCTTCGACGGGCTGCTGCGCTTCGCGGCTGGGGCCATGCTGGGCCTGGCCTTGGTTGCCGGCACCGCGGGTCCTGCCAGGGCCGATGTCGAGGCACCGAGTCAGCACCCGGATGCACGCGGCATGGTTGTGCAATGTTGTCCAGCTCATGCTGCCAGCTGCAGGATGTGGTGATTCCTGTTGATGACAAGGGCAAGACCACCACTTTGACCAAGGCCTTGCATGTCCTGGGACTCTTCTCTGTGCAGGCTCTTATGCCTTTGATACCTGCTGGGTGCTTCAGGAGCAGCTCGTCCGCGGCAAGCGTCTGTTCAACGCAGCCTGCGCCTCCTGCCACGTCGGAGGTGGTACCCGCACCAACCAGCACCATGGCACGGTTTGGATCAGTCTCGGATTAGAGATCATCAGCGCATGGCGAGCAGGGCTGTCACACACGCTGCCAATGGCCCTGAGTCAGGAACGTGGGCCTGGCCATCGAGGAGCTTAGTGGTGCGCAGCCCAACCGCGCCTCCGTGGAAGGCACAGGAATATGGATCTTGAGTTGCAGGTGACGTTCCCTGGCGCATGCCGTTTTCCGTTTCTCTCGTCGCATGTGCGTTGTAGTCTTTGCAGGCCTGGTGGACTACCTGAACAACCCCACCACGTACGATGGCCACGGACTCAGCGCATCCAAGCGCGGGGGTTCCGGTTTGGAGTCCGCCTTTGCTGCTTCGTGCAATCTCTTGCTGAACAGGTCTCAAGGACATCTCGGAGGTTCACCCATCCATCAAGGGCGGCGACATCTGGCCCAAGATGCGCTCCATGAAGCAGCAGGACACCTGCTTCTGCACAATGTCCACCTGCAAGAGAGCCAGGGTTTCCATAAGTTCTCAAGAACATCTTCGAGACGGCTGCAGTTGCTTTCTTAAATAGCTGCGTGCCCGAAAGGACCTGCCCAGACCTCAGGATCCATCATGGACCAGTCGCCTTGCTCTCAGAACTGCTGGCTCGGAAGCTTAGCCGCTAGGTATGACATGTCTGCCTACATCCTCTACCAGAACCAGACCATTCCGGAGAAGTGGGGCAGCCGTCTCAGCTTCTGCTGAAATGCCATGGAATGCCAGTTTCGTGTGCAATCTGACCAAGTGTCCAAACACGGAGGTGGCGGCAAGACCTACTACTAGGCGGCTGGCAGTGGTTCAGGGCCAATCTCGAAGTGCCAGTACTGGTGGCAAGGTTAGACAATGCTAAACGTGTCTGAATTTTGATGATTAGTGTTAAGCGCACCTGATCTCAGTCATTTTGTGAGACAGCGTGTCTAGGCTATCTGCTTCTTCTGTGCCAGTACGAATAGGTGAGTGCATGCGAGTGCACCTTCCGAGTAATTCAGGGTGTGCAGCTAGCACATCAGGGGCCGCGCGGAATGAGCAGCAGCACCACCACCGCCGCCACAACAAACAACAATTCTGCATGCATGATAATTAACCTCAAGAGAGAGGGAGGGACACCACAGCCAACGCCCCATCTGTGAATAGGCCACTTGCAGTAACATCTCGTCAGAGGGGCGAGGCATTGCACAAGCCACCCCTCCCGTACAGGTGGGCGCCGATGGCTCTTCATTTTTGACAGCGGCTCGCATCCGCAAAACATGGGTTGATAGGCTTGTCCAGCTTCCATCGGGTCTTGCATGCTGCACTGCTCCTTGAGGTTTCGGTTCGCATTGGCTCCGGCGTACTCAAGTTGTCCATGTGGCGGGGACAGTCGGGCTGGGTTGAGGGACCCAGGGTGCTGGGGCGCGTCTTAAAGGGGGGGTAAGTTTTGGGTTTAGGTGCGCCCTATGCTATACATCCCGAGCTCGAATCCCCAAGGCCACATACCCTTTAGCACCAATCCATTGCAGCCGTCTTTGGCCCAGCAGCCGGACCACCTGTGAAGAAGCAGGCAGCTCCATGATGCGTTCGGCAGTGTTGCTGGCGGCTTTGCTCTCAGTGGACTGGACACCCTTCGTGAAACGAGGTCTCTGAGCCCATATGTCACAAAAGGCTTGTGATTCAGGTTGCCGGCTTCGGCCTCCTCGGCTTGCGGGGCGCGTTTGTGGCGCAAAGTGCCACCCAGGCTGGAGTGACACAGGCAAACTCAGCTCAGGCTGCAGGGTGTGCTGCAGAGGCGAAGTCCGATGGACGCCTGATGGGACATGGCGACAGCAGCTCTTGGGTTGGTGCGGCGGCCGAAGAGGCAGGGCTTCAAGGGTGTCGTTCTCATCAAAACCACAGACGTTGCCGACACTTCGGTGGTGGCGTTCAAAGCCTAGGTGACTACATCGCCGGTCTCTCTCGACGGGCTGCTGCGCTTCGCGGCTGGGGCCATGCTGGGCCTGGCCTTGGTTGCCGGCACCGCGGGTCCTGCCAGGGCCGATGTCGAGGCACTGAGTCAGCACCCGGATGCACGCGGCATGGTTGTCCAATGTTGTCCAGCTCATGCTGCCAGCTGCAGGATGTGGTGATTCCTGTTGATGACAAGGGCAAGACCACCACTTTGACCAAGGCCTTGCATGTCCTGGGACTCTTCTCTGTGCAGGCTCTTATGCCTTTGATACCTGCTGGGTGTTTCAGGAGCAGCTCGTCCGCGGCAAGCGTCTGTTCAACGCAGCCTGCGCCTCCTGCCACGTCGGAGGTGGTACCCGCACCAACCAGCAACATGGCACGGTTTGGATCAGTCTCGGATTAGAGATCATCAGCGCATGGCGAGCAGGGCTGTCACACACGCTGCCAATGGCCCTGAGTCAGGAACGTGGGCCTGGCTATCGAGGAGCTTAGTGGTGCGCAGCCCAACCGCGCCTCCGTGGAAGGCACAGGAATATGGATCTTGAGTTGCAGGTAACGTTCCCTGGCGCATGCCGTTTTCCGTTTCTCTCGTCGCATGTGCGTTGTAGTCTTTTGCAGGCCTGGTGGACTACCTGAACAACCCCACCACGTACGATGGCCACGGACTCAGCGCATCCAAGCGCGGGGATTCCGGTTTGGAGTCCGCCTTTGCTGCTTCGAGCAATCTCTTGCTGAACAGGTCTCAAGGACATCTCGGAGGTTCACCCATCCATCAAGGGCGGCGACATCTGGCCCAAGATGCGCTCCATGAAGCAGCAGGACACCGGCTTCTGCACAATGTCCACCTGCAAGAGAGCCAGGGTTTCCATAAGTTCTCAAGAACTTTTTCGAGACGGCTGCAGTTGTTTTCTTAAATAGCTGCGTGCCCGAAAGGACCTGCCCAGACCTCAGGATCCATCATGGACCATTCGCCTTGCTCTCAGAACTGCCAGCTCGGAAGCTTAGCCGCTAGGTATGACATGTCTGCCTACATCCTCTACCAGAACCAGACCATTCCGGAGAAGTGGGGCAGCCACCTTGGATCGAGCACTGATCAGACTGTCAGACGCGGTTGAATCTTTGAACCACCAAGACCCGTGCACCCCGGCCCCGACACCTCAGTCAATACAGTGCGATTGTAGAAATATTTTTCAGGACCCTCATGTAGGCATGTCATACACCCTTCCGCCACTCACAGTTGTAGCTCGTCAGGGCCTAAGCCTTATAGGCCAGCAGCGACGGGACGTACTCGAGTAGGGAGTAGGGGTCAGTAGGGTGCCCGTGATTCATGCCCCGCAGTCGAGCGCAAGAATCCTTGGGCGTGCCTGAGAACGGCTTCAAGTGCCTTGTGCTGCCGAGGTGGCGGCAAAACGTACTACTGAGCTGAAACTACTTCAGTTTTGATCGCTAATGATTCAGGGATTGTCGTTGCTGTGGTCTGCCAGCCAGAATGTTGAGCGTGATCGATGATGTTTCGAGCTGCTGGCATGTGGAGAGTACATTTTCCGAAGGGGAGGCGGACACATACCCCGTGATGAGCAACCGCTGCAGCGCGCAGCTGTTCAGGGACAGTTCCTTTTTAGGAGGCCCGCGTAGGCTGTAAATGAGTGAGCGGCAGCTTGCTGAGCTTCTGCTTTGCCAGTGCACGCCAGTGGTCTTGCGGATTGAAGGTAGTGCCAGGAGCATGGCTTTGTCGACGTGACGTGTGCAGTGTGCGGTGTGCACGCGCAGCCGTCCTGGCCCCCTCAGCTGCACCTCCCCCTGTAGAGCGCGGGCAGTGTGAGTTAGCAATGTCGCTGCGCGCTGCAGCCGTTTTGGCAGTTCCGGCCTCAGCTTGAGCTTGGCTCTGTGTACCGAAGAGGCTTTCGAGCACGAGCCTGACTTGAGGTGGCCGGCTTTGGCCTCCTGAGTCTGCAGAGAGTTTTTGTCACCCAGGGCAGCGCTGAGGCTGGACCGACAGTGCCAGCGGTTGCCTTGGAGAAGACATGCACCTGCACCAGTTTTGTGAGGTGACCTCCAGCCATCCTCAGCATGGACATGGATCCAGCTCTTGGATGGACATGCAGACCCAAGAGGCGCGTTGTGCCGCTCTGCCACATTCCGCCACGTTCTGCCGCGTTTTAGGGTTTAGGGTTTAAGGGTTAGGGCAAAAGTTTAGGGTTTAGGGTTGAGGGGTCAAAGAGAGGCGTCGACCACGACCACAGCCTTCGACGGGCTGCTGCGCTTCGCGGCTGGGGCCATGCTGGGCCTGGCCTTGGTTGCCGGCACCGCGGGTCCTGCCAGGGCCGATGTCGAGGCACTGAGTCAGCACCCGGATGCACACGGCATGGTTGTGCAATGTTGTCCAGCTCATGCTGCCAGCTGCAGGATGTGGTGATTCCCGTTGATGACAAGGGCAAGACCACCACTTTGACCAAGGCCTTGCATGTCCTGGGACTCTTCTCTGTGCAGGCTCTTATGCCTTTGATACCTGCTGGGTGCTTCAGGAGCAGCTCGTCCGCGGCAAGCGTCTGTTCAACGCAGCCTGCGCCTCCTGCCACGTCGGAGGTGGTACCCGCACCAACCAGCACCATGGCACGGTTTGGATCAGTCTCGGATTAGAGATCATCAGCGCATGGCGTGCAGGGTCCCCTCGCCCCGAATCAGGAACGTTGGCCTGGCCATCGAAGAGCTTAGTGGTGCGCAGCCCAACCGCGCCTCCGTCGAAGGCACAGGAAATTTGGATCTTGAGTTGCAGGTGACGTTCCCTGGCGCATGCCGTTTCACTCCTCTCGTCGCATGTGCGTTGTAGTCTTTGCAGGCCTGGTGGACTACCTGAACAACCCCACCACGTACGATGGCCACGGACTCAGCGCATCCAAGCGCAGGGGTTCCGGTTTGGAGTCCGCCTTTGCTGCTTCGTGCAATCTCTTGCTGAACAGGTCTCAAGGACATCTCGGAGGTTCACCCATCCATCAAGGGCGGCGACATCTGGCCCAAGATGCGCTCCATGAAGCAGCAGGACACCGGCTTCTGCACAATGTCCACCTGCAAGAGAGCCGCAGATTTTCAGACGTTCTCAAGAACTTTTTCGAGACGGCTGCAGTTGTTTTCTTAAGTAGCTGCGTGCCCGAAAGGACCTGCCCAGACCTCAGGATCCATCATGGACCAGTCGCCTTGCTCTCAGAACTGCTGGCTCGGAAGCTTAGCCGCTAGGTATGACATGTCTGCCTACATCCTCTACCAGAACCAGACCATTCCGGAGAAGTGGGGTGGCGGCCTCTGCAAGTGCACAGCGAGCACAAGAAGCCTTAGGTTTCTCGCCAGTGCAGTGAGATGGCATGTACAGCCAAGGCGGAGGCAAGACCTACTACTGAGAAGATGTCAGCCTGTAGCGGTGTAGCGAGCCGCGAAGGGGATGGCTGTAGTCAACAGGTCGGACTCTCTTATTTGAAGCGGGGCGCTCTGCTGTTGGCTTCTTAGCCAACCTTGCCGGCTGCGACATGGCGCTCTCGAAGTCTAGAAGACAAGCAACGCTGCAGCAATGCGCAATGCGGCTGCGGTGGTAGTGGTCGCAACAGCTCCTAGTGTCAGTGCTGCGAGATATTTGCTAAATGATGATGCACGATGCCCGCGCAGCCGTCCTGGCCCCCTCAGCTGCACCTCCCCCTGTAGAGCGCGGGCAGTGTGAGTTAGCAATGTCGCTGCGCGCTGCAGCCGTTTTGGCAGTTCCGGCCTCAGCTTGAGCTTGGCTCTGTGTACCGAAGAGGCTTTCGAGCACGAGCCTGACTTGAGGTGGCCGGCTTTGGCCTCCTGAGTCTGCAGAGAGTTTTTGTCACCCAGGGCAGCGCTGAGGCTGGACCGACAGTGCCAGCGGTTGCCTTGGAGAAGACATGCACCTGCACCAGTTTTGTGAGGTGACCTCCAGCCATCCTCAGCATGGACATGGATCCAGCTCTTGGATGGACATGCAGACCCAAGAGGCGCGTTGTGCCGCTCTGCCACATTCCGCCACGTTCTGCCGCGTTTTAGGGTTTAGGGTTTAAGGTTTAGGGGAAAGGTTTAGGGTTTAGGGTTGAGGGGTCAAAGAGAGGCGTCGACCACGACCACAGCCTTCGACGGGCTGCTGCGCTTCGCGGCTGGGGCCATGCTGGGCCTGGCCTTGGTTGCCGGCACCGCGGGTCCTGCCAGGGCCGATGTCGAGGCACTGAGTCAGCACCCGGATGCACACGGCATGGTTGTGCAATGTTGTCCAGCTCATGCTGCCAGCTGCAGGATGTGGTGATTCCTGTTGATGACAAGGGCAAGACCACCACTTTGACCAAGGCCCTGCATATCCTGGGACTCTTCTCTGTGCAGGCTCTTATGCCTTTGATACCTGCTGGGTGCTTCAGGAGCAGCTCGTCCGCGGCAAGCGTCTGTTCAACGCAGCCTGCGCCTCCTGCCACGTCGGAGGTGGTACCCGCACCAACCAGCACCATGGCACGGTTTGGATCAGTCTCGGATTAGAGATCATCAGCGCATGGCGAGCAGGGCTGTCACACACGCTGCCAATTGCCGAATTGCCGACTGAGGAACGTTGGCCTGGCCATCGAAGAGCTTAGTGGTGCGCAGCCCAACCGCGCCTCCGTGGAAGGCACAGGAATATGGATCTTGAGTTGCAGGTGACGTTCCCTGGCGCATGCCGTTTTCCGTTTCTCTCGTCGCATGTGCGTTGTAGTCTTTGCAGGCCTGGTGGACTACCTGAACAACCCCACCACGTACGATGGCCACGGACTCAGCGCATCCAAGCGCGGAGGTTCCGGTTTGGAGTCCGCCTTTGCTGCCTCGTGCAATCTCTTGTCTCTTGGCTGAACAGGTCTCAAGGACATCTCGGAGGTTCACCCATCCATCAAGGGCGGCGACATCTGGCCCAAGATGCGCTCCATGAAGCAGCAGGACACCGGCTTCTGCACAATGTCCACCTGCAAGAGAGCCAGGGTTTCCATAAGTTCTCAAGAACATTTTCGAGACGGCTGCAGTTGCTTTCTTAAATAGCTGCGTGCCCGAAAGGACCTGCCCAGACCTCAGGATCCATCATGGACCATTCGCCTTGCTCTCAGAACTGCTGGCTCGGAAGCTTAGCCGCTAGGTATGACATGTCTGCCTACATCCTCTACCAGAACCAGACCATTCCGGAGAAGTGGGGCAGCCACCTTGGATCGAACAGTGATCAGACTGTCAGACGCGGTTGAATCTTTGAACCACCAAGACCCGTGCACCCCGACACCTCAGTCAATACAGTGCGATTGTAGAAATGTTTTACAGGACCCTCATGTAGGTAGGAGTGTCTTCCGCACCTCACGGTTGTCGCTCGTCAGGGCCTATGGGTAGGGTACTCGAGTAGGGAGGGTGCCTGTGATTCATGCCCCGCAGTGGAGTGCAAGAGTCCTTGGGCGTGCCTGAGAACGGCTTCAAGTGCCTTGCGCTGCCGAGGTGGCGGCAAAACGTACTACTGAGCAGAAACTACTTCAGTTTTGATCGCTAATGATTCAGGGATTGTCGCTGCTGTGGTCTGCCAGCCAGAATGTTGAGCGTGACCGATGATGTTTCGAGCTGCTGGCATGTGGAGAGTACATTTTCCGAAGGGGAGGCGAATACATACCTCGTGATGAGCAACCGCTGCAGCGCGCAGCTGTTCAGGGACATTTCCTTTTTAGGAGGCCCGCGTAGGCTGTAAATGAGTGAGCGGCAGCTTGCTGAGCCTCTGCTTTGCCAGTGCACGCCAATGATCTTGCTGATTGAAGGTAGTGCCAGGAGCATGGCTTTGTCGACGTGACGTGTGCAGTGTGCGGTGTGCACGCGCAGCCGTCCTGGCCCCCTCAGCTGCACCTCCCCCTGTAGAGCGCGGGCAGTGTGAGTTAGCAATGTCGCTGCGCGCTGCAGCCGTTTTGGCAGTTCCGGCCTCAGCTTGAGCTTGGCTCTGTGTACCGAAGAGGCTTTCGAGCACGAGCCTGACTTGAGGTGGCCGGCTTTGGCCTCCTGAGTCTGCAGAGAGTTTTTGTCACCCAGGGCAGCGCTGAGGCTGGACCGACAGTGCCAGCGGTTGCCTTGGAGAAGACATGCACCTGCACCAGTTTTGTGAGGTGACCTCCAGCCATCCTCAGCATGGACATGGATCCAGCTCTTGGATGGACATGCAGACCCAAGAGGCGCGTTGTGCCGCTCTGCCACATTCCGCCACGTTCTGCCGCGTTTTAGGGTTTAGGGTTTAAGGTTTAGGGGAAAGGTTTAGGGTTTAGGGTTGAGGGGTCAAAGAGAGGCGTCGACCACGACCACAGCCTTCGACGGGCTGCTGCGCTTCGCGGCTGGGGCCATGCTGGGCCTGGCCTTGGTTGCCGGCACCGCGGGTCCTGCCAGGGCCGATGTCGAGGCACTGAGTCAGCACCCGGATGCACGCGGCATGGTTGTCCAATGTTGTCCAGCTCATGCTGCCAGCTGCAGGATGTGGTGATTCCTGTTGATGACAAGGGCAAGACCACCACCTTGACCAAGGCCTTGCATGTCCTGGGACTCTTCTCTGTGCAGGCTCTTATGCCTTTGATACCTGCTGGGTGCTTCAGGAGCAGCTCGTCCGCGGCAAGCGTCTGTTCAACGCAGCCTGCGCCTCCTGCCACGTCGGAGGTGGTACCCGCACCAACCAGCACCATGGCACGGTTTGGATCAGTCTCGGATTAGAGATCATCAGCGCATGGCGAGCAGGGCTGTCACACACGCTGCCAATGGCCCTGAGTCAGGAACGTGGGCCTGGCCATCGAGGAGCTTAGTGGTGCGCAGCCCAACCGCGCCTCCGTGGAAGGCACAGGAATATGGATCTTGAGTTGCAGGTGACGTTCCCTGGCGCATGCCGTTTTCCGTTTCTCTCGTCGCATGTGCGTTGTAGTCTTTGCAGGCCTGGTGGACTACCTGAACAACCCCACCACGTACGATGGCCACGGACTCAGCGCATCCAAGCGCGGGGGTTCCGGTTTGGAGTCCGCCTTTGCTGCTTCGTGCAATCTCTTGCTGAACAGGTCTCAAGGACATCTCGGAGGTTCACCCATCCATCAAGGGCGGCGACATCTGGCCCAAGATGCGCTCCATGAAGCAGCAGGACACCTGCTTCTGCACAATGTCCACCTGCAAGAGAGCCAGGGTTTCCATAAGTTCTCAAGAACATCTTCGAGACGGCTGCAGTTGCTTTCTTAAATAGCTGCGTGCCCGAAAGGACCTGCCCAGACCTCAGGATCCATCATGGACCAGTCGCCTTGCTCTCAGAACTGCTGGCTCGGAAGCTTAGCCGCTAGGTATGACATGTCTGCCTACATCCTCTACCAGAACCAGACCATTCCGGAGAAGTGGGGCAGCCGTCTCAGCTTCTGCTGAAATGCCATGGAATGCCAGTTTCGTGTGCAATCTGACCAAGTGTCCAAACACGGAGGTGGCGGCAAGACCTACTACTAGGCGGCTGGCAGTGGTTCAGGGCCAATCTCGAAGTGCCAGTACTGGTGGCAAGGTTAGACAATGCTAAACGTGTCTGAATTTTGATGATTAGTGTTAAGCGCACCTGATCTCAGTCATTTTGTGAGACAGCGTGTCTAGGCTATCTGCTTCTTCTGTGCCAGTACGAATAGGTGAGTGCATGCGAGTGCACCTTCCGAGTAATTCAGGGTGTGCAGCTAGCACATCAGGGGCCGCGCGGAATGAGCAGCAGCACCACCACCGCCGCCACAACAAACAACAATTCTGCATGCATGATAATTAACCTCAAGAGAGAGGGAGGGACACCACAGCCAACGCCCCATCTGTGAATAGGCCACTTGCAGTAACATCTCGTCAGAGGGGCGAGGCATTGCACAAGCCACCCCTCCCGTACAGGTGGGCGCCGATGGCTCTTCATTTTTGACAGCGGCTCGCATCCGCAAAACATGGGTTGATAGGCTTGTCCAGCTTCCATCGGGTCTTGCATGCTGCACTGCTCCTTGAGGTTTCGGTTCGCATTGGCTCCGGCGTACTCAAGTTGTCCATGTGGCGGGGACAGTCGGGCTGGGTTGAGGGACCCAGGGTGCTGGGGCGCGTCTTAAAGGGGGGGTAAGTTTTGGGTTTAGGTGCGCCCTATGCTATACATCCCGAGCTCGAATCCCCAAGGCCACATACCCTTTAGCACCAATCCATTGCAGCCGTCTTTGGCCCAGCAGCCGGACCACCTGTGAAGAAGCAGGCAGCTCCATGATGCGTTCGGCAGTGTTGCTGGCGGCTTTGCTCTCAGTGGACTGGACACCCTTCGTGAAACGAGGTCTCTGAGCCCATATGTCACAAAAGGCTTGTGATTCAGGTTGCCGGCTTCGGCCTCCTCGGCTTGCGGGGCGCGTTTGTGGCGCAAAGTGCCACCCAGGCTGGAGTGACACAGGCAAACTCAGCTCAGGCTGCAGGGTGTGCTGCAGAGGCGAAGTCCGATGGACGCCTGATGGGACATGGCGACAGCAGCTCTTGGGTTGGTGCGGCGGCCGAAGAGGCAGGGCTTCAAGGGTGTCGTTCTCATCAAAACCACAGACGTTGCCGACACTTCGGTGGTGGCGTTCAAAGCCTAGGTGACTACATCGCCGGTCTCTCTCGACGGGCTGCTGCGCTTCGCGGCTGGGGCCATGCTGGGCCTGGCCTTGGTTGCCGGCACCGCGGGTCCTGCCAGGGCCGATGTCGAGGCACTGAGTCAGCACCCGGATGCACGCGGTATGGTTGTCCAATGTTGTCCAGCTCATGCTGCCAGCTGCAGGATGTGGTGATTCCTGTTGATGACAAGGGCAAGACCACCACTTTGACCAAGGCCTTGCATGTCCTGGGACTCTTCTCTGTGCAGGCTCTTATGCCTTTGATACCTGCTGGGTGTTTCAGGAGCAGCTCGTCCGAGGCAAGCGTCTGTTCAACGCAGCCTGCGCCTCCTGCCACGTCGGAGGTGGTACCCGCACCAACCAGCAACATGGCACGGTTTGGATCAGTCTCGGAAGATGATAAGCGCCTAAACCCTGAACCCGAAACCCTAAGCCCAAAGCCTGAAGCCCTAAACCCTAAATCTAAACCCTGAACCCTAAAGCCTAAACCGGACAGAGGCCCATACTGCCAACTGCCCCGAGTCAGGAACGTGGGCCTGGCCATCGAAGAGCTTAGCGGCGCGCAGCCCAACCGCGCGTCTGTGGAAGGCACAGGAATATTAATGTGGATCTTGAGTTGCAGGTGACGTTCCCTGGCGCATGCCGTTTTTCGTTTCTCTCGTCGCATGTGCGCTCTGGTCTTGCAGGCCTGGTGGACTACCTGAACAACCCCACCACGTACGATGGCCACGGACTCAGCGCATCCAAGCGCGGGGGTTCCGGTTTGGAGTCCGCCTTTGCTGCTTCGTGCAGTCTCTTGCTGAACAGGTCTCAAGGACATCTCGGAGGTTCACCCATCCATCAAGGGCGGCGACATCTGGCCCAAGATGCGCTCCATGAAGCAGCAGGACTCCTTATCGATGTTTACAGGTGCCACGTTTCTCAGAAGTCTTCAAGAGCATTTTCAAGATGGCCGCAGTCTTTTCCGTTATAGTTGTGTGCCCGCAAGGACCTGCCGAGACCTCAGGGACCATTACGGACCATTCGCCATGCCACTGCTTGCCTGGAAGCTTAGCCGCACAGAGGTACGACATGTCTGCCTACATCCTCTACCAGAACCAGACCATTCCGGAGAAGTGGGGTGGCGGCCTCTGGAAGAGCACAGCGAGTCGTTACATGCTGCGGGATCTGCACGTTGTTGAGGTGGTGGCAAGACCTACTACTGAGCTGCCAGGCCTCTTTGTTCCGGCACCCGTTGATGACACTTTGGGATACTGCCCAATTGCACTCTGTGAGGCAGTCGGGAAAATGCCCGAGGAGCGCAGCAGGTGAGGCAGGAGCTTTTTTCCCAGGCTTGCATCGCAGGCTGGAAAAAAGGTCCGCTTTTCTGCTGTGCTGGGCGCCATTTGCAAACCACGAGCAGTCTGCCCATGCAGCCTCGACGTTGTTCATGCGGTTTCACTCGTGCCCCTGGCGAGGACAACCGCGACGTTCATAGCCGCGTTGCATCTCAGGAGGACTGATTATGGCGATGTGAAGTCAGCCCATGGATCAGGTTGTGCATATCTGCAGCAATCTCAGGCAGAGGCACCGTAGCTAGTGAGAACTAGACGCCACGATGGGGATCCGGCAGTCGCTTGCGAACCCAAGTTCGCCAAGTGCACCGAGTGCCATGCGTGCACCTGACCCTGAAATTCTGATCTGTGGCGCGGGTATCTCGGGTTTGGCCTTGGCCAAAAGGCTGGAGCAATTGGGCTTCAAGTCGATTCGGATATTTGAAGCTGACGAGAGCCTTCAGAGTCGCCCTCAGGGATACAGCCTAACCATTCAGCAGCCTGGTCGACAGGCCTTGAAGACTCTTGGGCTCCTGGATGCTGCCAAAAGCTGTTCTAGATGGGGTGGCGGAGGGCAGCATTTTGTGAATGCGCTGAACGGTTCAGTCATCCGATCAGTGGGAGTCCAGGAAGTCCATGAAGACCCCGCTCGGCCAAAGGCAAAGCCCGGCAGGCGGTCCAACTTCTACATCCCTCGCCAAAAGCTGCGCGCCCTCTTGGCAGAATCATTGGAGGCAACATCGATAGTGTTTTCTGAGAAGATTGAGTCGTACCAGGAGTCAGGCGATGCGGTGACACTCACAACCAGCAGCGGTCGCAAGGTGTCGGCTGCCCTATTGGTGGGGTGCGATGGTGTCAACTCAGCGGTGAGGAAGCACAAGCTCACGGATAGCCTGTCCTTCCTTGGTGTGGGAATGATCAATGGGCTTGTCCACTCGAGCGCAGCGAGCGCCGCCTTGAGCGAAGTGTGTGGTGCGGGCAGCTTGCACCTGCTCGACGGCACTCGCCGCTTGTTCATGAAGCCATTCGAAGTCGAGGGCCAGGCCATGTGGCAATTGACGTTCCCCGCAGATCTTGGGCAGATTGACGCCATCCGAGCCTTGCCGAAGCAGGAGTTGCATGCGTGGGCCATGTCCGAGACTTCGTCTTGGTGCCCTGAGTACCAGTCCATACTGCAAGGGACCAGTCCATCGACTTTAAGAGCAGGTGGCCTTTATGACCGGGATCCGCTCCATTGCGCGAGGCACAGTGGTGCCCGCACTGCTGTAATTGGCGACGCGGCCCATCCAATGACCCCATTTATAGGCCAGGGGGCCAACCAAGCCTTGACTGACTCCATCCAGCTCGCCGAATCTTTGAGTCGCTGCAGGTGCCATGTTTCAGAGAGAGAGAGAGAGATGATGCCAATGCTGATGTCCTCTGTTACTGTATGTGCTGGTAATCCATAATCCCAGTATGTGTGATGAAGCATCAGACCTCCACCATGAGCCCCTGCAGGGATGAGTTTGGGAGATTGGACACCTCCTCAGTTTCGGACTCGAATGGAATCGTCAGCCCACAAGCAACAGCAACAGCAACGGGCACTTTGAATCAGACGCCTCCCCCTCCCCGCCCCTCTTGCCCCCCGCCCGTTCTCCTTCAATAGTGACGCTTTGAATTCAACGCCCCTGCCTTCAAGGCTCGCAAGAATTGAGGCAAGGCAGTTAACCCAGCCCTGCCTTTCAGGGGTGCTGATGGGGCCCTTTGTGACTTGATTGGCGAAGCCTTCCGTATGCTTACTTGAGACTCCCCCAGATTTGGGTGCAACTCCTGGGTGCTTAGATCAAGTTATCTGACTATCACGCGTGGCTTGGACTGTGCCGGAGACATGTTTGGCCATTTGAAGGGCGGAATGTGTGGCGCGTCACCCCGCTCGCCCCACTAACCCCCTCCCCACCAAGGCTTGGCAGTACTTAAGTCACACTCCCGAACACTCCCAATGCAGCTGTCTCGGTGCCGACCACTCAGCCGTGTTATGCTTAACACCGGCCAGGACGATTACAAGGATCTCCCGGGTACATAGAGCCCCCCAAAAAGCCATCTTAAGCATAACGGGGCTTCATTGCAAGACTTAGGACTCAGGTCTCGAATTCACCCGGGCACTGAGATGAGACATGACATGATGCAACCCAGCATGTGTATGGTTGAACCCCGGCAATTCACATACTTCACCTACAGCGGTGGCTGCATCTTCAGACATAGGTTTCTTTCTGGCACCAACATTATGCAGGTGCCCTTGCAAGCTCCGTTCAAGTCTGCGGAAGTCAGCACCATATACCGTGCACGCTGCAACACTTTTGAACCCATAGTGCAAACAGCTAAATACATGAAGTCTTCACATATGTAAATATTTGCTTCCCAGCCTTACCCATCCCATCTCGCGCGCAGCACCTGTCAGTTTCTTGACCACGGCACTTTAAACGCAACTCCTCAACCTAACAGCGCTATCTGCAAGCATGTCCTCCAGGCGCAGTGTCAGCTGGCTTTCGTAGCCCTCTTCTCAAGTTCTAGGCCCAAACCCTAAACCCTAAACCCTAAACCAGTTACATCTCGCACATTGGCACGTCATGCATGGGGGGCCATCCTAAGGATGCTTCGCTTCTTGGTGTGGCGATGACTTCATTCCACGAAAGTATGGCCAGCAGAGTGACTCCTCACGCGTCCCGGCCAAACAAAGTGGCCAGCATTCTTGGATTGGTGATTTGCGTTGTTTCTGGTCTGCAGATTTGATACTTCCGTGGTGTGATTTCTTTCGGCTTGTGTCTGAGAACTCCGAAAATTCGCTCGTGACACTTGTCGATTTCGAGGTCAAAGACGAAAACGCGCGTGCGCGCGCGCTGTGTGCAGAACAAAGCCAGAACATGCCATAGCCTACCTCAGGCCACAAGACAGCAAAGACAAATCCCGTCCGCAACTGACGCGGTATTATAGGCGAACCCCAACTCATGCTCTTATAAATTACGGTGCCCAAGCTCCACCGAAGCAGAAGGGAGAGTGTTTCCAGGCCGCAGGCCCTCAAAACCACGGGAGCCGCGGCGTAGTCGAGGCTCTAGACTGGACCATGCTCAGTATGTCTGCGCATCCAGGAGAGCAGTGCTCTGTGCCTTCCTGGAACAGTGGAACCGCTCAGACCCTAAACCCTAAATCCTAAACCCTAAACCCTAAACCCTAAACCCTAAACCCCTTCCACCTTACTAAACCAGGTCCTGGAATCGCGTCGGCGGGCACACGTCTCCCACACGCCTGGTGCTCTGGGCAAGAAGAGCACCGTCACAAGTGCCAAGTACTAGTTTTCACCATGAGGCTTCCCTCAAGTGAGTCGGTAGGATGCCGCAGGCGAATACTTGTACAGTGTACAGCTTTGTTCGCCAAGCTGCTGTGCAGGCACACTGCATAAAACAGAATGCGTGTAGCTGCTCTAATTGAGCGTTGCGAGTATCATGACATTTGGTTTCAGCAGAAAGGCCCCTGAAGTCTGATTGTTTCATCTTTCCCTTTAAACTGAACTCCCCCCGCTCAAGACTGAGCCCTCATTGCGTGCACGAGTGTTTCCACCCAAAACCCAAAAAATTCCATCAGTTGAGTTGATCGTAGTTGAACGCATACGCTTCCGGAACCCTCCACCCAAGAAGGCTAGTGCCAAGGCTGATGTGCAAAGCTTGCCAATGAGTTTGTGTAGCCGGATGATAGGATATTTCCATCCCTCATCTTGCAAGGAGCAAATCAGAGCTCTTCGCACTCTCTTTGAGACGCGTGAGGCTGCCGAAACGAGCATCACCCAACGCTATCCAAGTTATCGGGAACCTGCGCATATCAAATGTTTAACTGTCATACTCATGCGCCGTTTGCAGAAGGAGCACTTACGCCTCCTGGCAGAGCGCGTAGAGCGAAGCGACTGGGACGTCAAGCTTGAGCATATCCGGCAGGCCTGACGAGATTTAAGTTCTGGCATCCATTCCGACAAGATGCATGTCAGGCATTGCAGGAGAGCAACAAGCAGCGAACAGCAGAAGTCGAGAAGCTTGAGCTGCTCTCAAAGAAGCCGGGCCCTCAGGATTTCTGAGGCAGACTGGGGTCCCAGACCCCTCTGATGCTCACGGCGTCCCACGTTTTGGGTTATGTCTGCCGTCGCCGAGTTTCTTCCTGTACGCCACTGTGTCTCATTGTGCACGGATGTCCACGGACTATGCTACCGCTACTGGCGCGCATTGAGCAGCTGAGTGTTTTTTTCATGCCAGGGTGGAGGACCAAGAGCAGGTTCATGAAGACCTTCAACGGGCGGAGGGCTCTGGAACTCTGGGCGTGCACCATTCTTCACCCCTGTGATAGTAAGCCTGTCACATCATGCGCCGCTAAGTCCATGGACCAACTTGCATCACATGCCAGCGGCAAGCAGGTCGGCTTACCTGTGTGTGTCAAACGGGCAGTGGGTGTTTGGACAAGTCGGGTTTCCCGTCCGTCGGAAAGGATGCAAGCAGAAAACGATTGGTTTTGCCACTAGGAGACCGATGTCGTGACAGCGGCCGTCGCAGGGCTGGAGGCATGCTGCTTCGAATCAGCACCTTGGTGCATGTAACCTGTCATCGAAGCGGCTGCCTTGGGCCTGGCAGGATCAAGTCAAAGCACTTGGCCTGGAACTGCAGGACCAGTGCTTTACCATGATTTAGAATAGGATCTTGTTACTAGTAATATGTTAAGCAGGGTTCCCTTGCCGAGTGTTCGAAGGCTCCATCTTACATGTCGAAAAAGAAACTGGACTAGCCAGACGAGAAAGATCCCAGTTCATAGAGATCCCTCACAAAGAGAGCCCAGGGGTTGCACCTGTTGTGCAAAATTCGGGGGCTTTCTGGCCCCACACTGTCCAGGTCCTTGTCCCACTCCACGTCAACGCATGTTGCTGTGTCGTTTCCTTATCAGCGGGAAGATAAGCTTTCTTCCCCCAAGCAATCGGGGCACACCTCGCTGGATTGCTGTTGTTGTCGGTGTAGCCGTTTGCAGAAGTTTTACATCCAACAAGACACGGCTTGCCAGAGGGCCCTGACACAAAGCTGCAGCACAATGGGGCGCAGCGCTAGGTGAGCTAAGTGCAAGGAGCTGCGGGATCATGGCGACCTTGGCTCTCGAGTGGCTGACCTCCTGTCCCAACTTCGGGACCGACCTCTTGTTGACTGGTCTGACTAGGATGCAAAGGTGTTCAAGAGAATGCTGGTTTAGGTTGTTTTCATCTGTTTCGATTCCCGCCTTTTGTCCGCACATGGGCTTCTGTCGGTCAGGAGATTGCTCCTAAAGCGGGGAGCTCAGCAGTGCATCGCCTGTGCAAAGCTTGCGGCGCGGCAGCTGTACCCGGCAGGTGATAGAGCAGGAGCAGTCCATCAGGCGGGAACTGGACAGCTTGAACAAACTGCAAATTCCGTTCCTTATGTACCTCGAGGAAGCTGCAAACTTCATCGAGCGAGCCTTTGCAGAAAGAGATTCGTTCGATGCAGGAGGAGGCCGGGCACCAAGCATCAGTCACGAACGGACGGACAATCTTCTTCAGCACATGGTGGCGGACAAATATGTTTTTTTCTGCAACTCTGCTGCCCTTTCAGGTCGGCGCTCTGCGATCGAGCATCACATCCAAGACCTCATCCAGCTGCTTGAAAGAAGTTGTGGCTGTGTGCGAGCTTGCCCCTTCGTGCTCACAGTTCACAGCTCAGGCTTAGAGTCAATGTCCGAAAAGATCAAGCAGGATGGGATGAAACCGTGCAGTTCCTACTTCGCAGATGATTACTGAGCGCACACCAGGACCTGACAAAGCGCCATGGGGAACTGCACGAGCAGATGCTCGCATCTGCGCAGGTGGGCCGAACTTGTTCGCCCCAACTTCGCAAGACAAACCAGCGACCGAGTTGCAGTTTGTCGTGCCCCAATTCAATTGAGGTCTTGCAACCACATCTCTGACAGGCGACTGCGCAGCTCCGCCAGCTTCAAGAAACGACAGCCACAGACCTTAGACAGCAAGTCGGTGAGCCTGATGCTAAGCTTCGCTGCTTCCAGCGTGCATTTGCCGCTTCACTGCTCTTTGCCAGTTCCTTCAAAGGTTGAAGAACAGCTGTGAGAAGGCTTTGGAGAAGGTGCAGACGGAGTGGAAGGACCACTTGACAGGCCAAGCTAGCGGAGAGGCTCTACGCTGTCCACCAAGCAACTCGGCATCAGCAGGTCTGGAAAAGAGCTTCAAGCAATTCAAAGCTGAAGCTCTCACCCAAGAGGCCGGAACACAGGATATCCGCGCTCCGCAGAGTCCGCGCTTTGTGCAGTGCAAGCTGTGGCAGGAAAGACTCCACAGCCTCAAGTCGCAGCTTGTGCCCCTTGGGGTACGGCTCTCGAGAAACCTTGTTGACAGGTTGCCATTGAGCTCTCTTGTGGCCTCAGGCGGAGGACCCTGATGAAAGAATGCTTCAGCTCCGACAGGACGACAAGCCGATGGCAGAATTGTTTCCCATCACTGCCCGAACAAACCTGAAAGCCTTAAAAACGCCCAAGTACCGGAACACCCTCAGAACACCCTCAGAACCTTCAAAGTCTCAGTTCAAGTTGACCAGGACGTGTCTGGGGAGCTCCAGGAGCACCGGCATAGAGCTGAGGAGAGCCAGAAGGACCAGCGACAGCATTGTGAATGACATTTTCTAGCGTTGATTCATGAAATGGCGCATGATGATCTGAAATCTGTTAACTCTGTTAATGAGTTTTCTCATGAGTTATGAGTTCAGCTCATGAACAAGTTCACGCTGCGCTATGGCGAGCTGTTGTGCTTATATGCCCTTCCCAGGATCTGGCATCCGAGTTGAAGCAGCTTGTGGATCAGAGCAGGTCAGAAGTCAGCGCAGAACTCGCCAAAACCTTAAAGGCCAGTATGCGGCGATGGCCGGCGCATGCATGCGTGCGAGTGCGTGGAGTACGTCGACTCGGCGCTTGAGTGAGAGCCTGGCCAGGCCGTCCAAGGGCCTCTGGAGCTGCAGGAGATGCTGGCAACAGCGCGGCAAGAGCTGAAGGACGAGCTGGAAACTCTGCAGGCGGGGCGGTGCAAGACTTGACCACTACAGCGTCAGGCGTAAGCCCAGCAGCCCAGTGCAAGCTTGCACTTCTCTTGTGAGCATGCAGCTCCTTCTTTGAAGGAGCTCCGCCGCAAGATTGAGGCAGCGGCTGCTGAGGACAGCAAGGCCAGACTCCAAGATTCGGTGTGCCCGTTTGCTCGCTGCTTTCTGAAGGCCGCTGGAGATCAGGCGACAGAGCTTCGAGGCATCTTCGAGCAGCACACAGCCCAGCTGGAGTCCTTGCAGGCCCACACTTTCGAGGCACCCGCAAAGCGAGTTGCCTCTGACAAGTGGCGCAGGCTCAGCTGGAGTGCCACAAGGCTCTGAAGGAAGAGCTAGACTCGGCCAAGGCACAGCCGATTTCAAGCACGCAGCCCAACAACAAAGCTCGCGGAAGAGTCATCCTTCTTGCCTGTGGCAGGACCAAATGGCAGCACTGCAGCAAAGCAGCATGAGTGTTGGAAGCTGAGACGACATGCCGACCACGCCCCGTGGCATTGGACCCTTGCTGGAGTGCCATGTCTCGCAGCAATGACGGCTTGCAGGCAGAGGTAGGGGCACTCAGGGCACTTGGACAACAACTCTGCGGCTAGCTGGCGAAATTCAGTAGGAGGCACCTGACATTCTTGCGCCCTCTAGCCAACATGCAGTAGCCATGGTGGAGATAACGCCCCCACTGGCCCACATGTGCGACCGATTCAGTCCCGTCAGCAGCCTGGGCGCGTGCCTGTCCACCTCTGGATTCTTGCTGCCTGCAGCCTTGAGTTTCAGGACTTTTGGGAGCGTGCTCAGGGTATGTTTTTGCTTGACATCTCAGCCATCCATTGAGGTGCTCTCAATCAAACTCGCTTTAGCTTCTCCAGGCAGTGTGGCGAGCATGCACCAGCAAGCCAACCTGCAACACATCTGCGCTCTCACAGAGTTGGCTGCAGCCTGCTGCCATTTGCACTTAGAAGGCACTAAGTACATTGTGTTTTGCGGATAGTAAGCGGGACAGTAGCGGTATAGGTTCACTCTCATTTTACAACAAATGTCAGCAACAGCGGCAGTCACAGGGCAGCAATAAGTAGCAGTAGCTGTACTTATCCTCGTCGTCGCCTTCGCCGTCGTCGTAGGAGTAGGAGTAGGAGGAGGAGGAGGAGGAGCAGGAGCAGGAGCAGGAGCAGGAGCAGGAGCAGGAGCAGGAGCAGGAGCAGGAGCAGGAGCAGGAGCAGGAGCAGGAGCAGGAGCAGGAGTAGGAGTAGGAGTAGGAGTATTATGAGTATGGTAGTAGTAGTAGTAGTAGTAGTAGTAGTAGTGTAGTAGTAGTCGTAGTCGTCGTCGTCGTCGTCGTCGTCGTCGTCGTCGTCGTCGTCGTCGTCGTCGTCGTCGTCGTCGTCGTCGTCGTCGTCGTCGTCGTCGTTGTCGTAGTAGTTGTCGTAGTAGTCGTCGTAGTCGGAGTAGGAGTAGAAGTAGGAGCAGGGGTAGTAGGAGTTGATAGAATTTGATAGGAGTAGTAGGAGTAGTAGGAGTAGTAGGAGTAGTAGGAGTAGTAGGAGTAGTAGGAGTAGTAGGAGTAGTAGGAGTAGTAGGAGTAGTAGGAGTAGTAGGAGTAGTAGGAGTAGTAGGAGTAGTAGGAGTAGGACGAGCAGTAGGAGCAGTAGGAGTAGGAGGAGCAGGAGGAGTAGGAGGAGTAGGAGGAGTAGGAGGACTAGGAGGAGCAGGAGGAGTAGGAGGAGTAGGAGGAGTAGTAGGAGTAGTAGGAGTAGTAGGAGTATCAGGAGTATCAGGAGTAGTAGGAGGCTGAGTATGCAAACGCGAGGCTGACGCGCGCTCGGCGCTTTCAAAAACAATGTTCGCAGGCGTAGATCTGCTTTCCCCTCCAACCCTTAGCCTGAAACCGTTAAAGCTCTGAAGCTTGTACGACAAAGCGCCCCACGAAACCGTAGGCCCCCCACTACCCTCCGGGTAGACCCTATCCAGAAAGCCATAGACCCCTATGCCTGGTTTTTTTAGGGTCTAGGGTTTAGGTTTAGGGGTTTTTAGGGTTTAGGGGTTTTCAGGGTTTAGGGTTTAGGGTTTTGTTAGGGTTTGGGGTATAGGGTCTTTTTGGGTTTAGGGATCTTTATGGTTTTGGCCTTAGGGGTTTTGAGGGTTTAGGGTTCTTTTGGCTTTAGGGCTTAGGTGTTTTCAGGGTTTGGGGCACAGGGGTTTTTAGGGTTTAGGGTTTTTTGGGTTTCGACTTTGGGGGTTTTTGGGTTTGGGTTTTTTTGGGTTCACGGTGGTTGTTAGGGATTGTTGGCTCAGGGGTTTGTGGGGTTTAGGGTTTAGGGGTTTTTATGGTTTAGGTCTTAGGGATTTTGAAGATTTAGGGTTTTGTAGGGTTTAGGGTTTAGGGGTTTTCAGGGTTTAGGGTTTAGGGTTTGTTAGGGTTTAGGGTTTAGGTTTAGGGGTTTTTAGGGTTTAGGCGTTTTCAGGGTTTAGGGTTTAGGGTTTTTTTCCGGGTTTCGGTTTAGGGTTTTGTTAGGGTTTAGGGTTTAGGGTCTTTTAGGCTTAGGGATTTTAAATGGTTTAGGCCTGACGGGTTTTGAGGGTTTAGGGTTGTTTTGGCTTTAGGGTTTGGGTGTTTTCAGGGTTTGGGGCGCAGGGGTTTTTAGGGTTTTTTGGGTTTAGCCTTAGGGGTTTTTGGGTTTGGGTTTTGGGGTTTTTGGGTTTGGGGTTTTCTGGGTTCAGGGCGGTTGTTAGGGATTGCTGGCTCAGGGGTTTTTCGGGTTTAGGGCTTAGGGGTTTTTATGATTTAGGGGTTTTGAGGGTTTTGAAGGTTTCTTGAGGGTTTTGACGGTTTTGAGGGTTTAGGATTTGTTAGGGTTTAGGGGTTTTCAGGGTTTAGGGTTTAGGGTTGGTTAGGGTTTAGGGTTTAGGTTTAGGGTTTTTTAGGATTTAGGCGTTTTCAGGGTTTAGGGTTTAGGGTTTTTTTCCGGGTTTAGGTTTAGGGTTTTGTTAGGGTTTAGGGTTTAGGGTCTTTTAGGCTTAGGGATGTTAATGGTTTAGGGCTTACGGGTTTTGAGGGTTCAGGTGTGGGGTTTCTGGGTTCAGTGCGGTTGTTAGGGATTGTTGGCTCAGGGGTTTTCAGGGTTTAGTGCTTAGGGGTTTTTATGGTTTAGGGCTCAGGGTTTTGAAGGTTTTCTGAGGGTCTTGAGGGTTTTGAGGGTGTTGAGGGTGTTGAGTTGAGGGTGTTGAGGGTGTTGAGGGTTTAGGGTTTTTTAGGGTTGAGGTTGTAGGTTTAAGGAGTTTCAAGGTTTAGGGTTTAGGGATTTTTATGGTTCAGGGCCCCAGGGTTTTGAGGGTTTAGGGTTTTTTAGGGTTTAGGTGTTTTTTCGGGTTTAGGGCTTGGGCCTTGTTAGGGTTTAGGCCTTAGGGTGAGGGGGCGTGGCTTCCTGCGCCGCAGAATGGGCTATGAGGAAGGGTCCGCTTCGAGCTTCCGCGGTACTGATTTGGAGCTTTCCGTGTTCTCTGTTTAAAATTTAGTCTTTTCGACGTGACCAAAGCTTTCCGCGTTTTCTGATTCCGCGTTGCCGGCACTTAAGGATCAAACTTTCAAATCTTCTTTTTCAGACAGGGGTCAACGCCGAGCTTTCCTTTTCGGATTCAAAGATGCCTTCATGCGGAATCCGCAATCGCCTTTCTTATCTTATGATTATGAACATTTGTTTGTATACTTGGCCCCGAGAAATTGGTGCCTGAAGCTCACTGCTCGCAGGCAGCACAGGTAGCGCAGCGAAGGCGGCACTGGAGGAGCAACCTCCGACGCCTTCGACAGGCCCGGGCGCAAGGACGCGAAGGAGCCCTGTTGCACGCCCAGCGCGTGATTTTTGAGAGCAGCCAGTGGCATGTGTTTATGGCCCATAAATGTATGGCAAGTTGTGGTCGGAGTATGCACTCAAGGATCACAAGCCGATGGGCTCCAAGCTGCTGGTGCTTTCGGGATCACGGATATCACGGTACGGCAAGAAATCGAAGAGCGCCTTGGTGCCTTGAGGGGCAAGATGGATGCCATCCGACAAGGTGACGAAGGAGCCATTCAAAGAAGCCACCGAAATGGCTCGGAGGCCTCGTGGCACTTCAGCACTCACTGCTGGAACGTTCACGTTCTCTTTGTGTGTGCATTTCTACAGTCTATAGTCTACAGCTTACATCAGTTTACCGTGTCAGCAGAAATTCCACAAGTGGATTCCGCTCAACCCAGGAGCTCCATGGCTCTGTCTTCTGGTGCGACTCAGATCCAGATGTGGCCGCCGGCGCTGACGTGCTGCGTGGATCTGGCCTGGCGCTGCAGACTTTCACCGAGCCGGAGGCTGCTTGGTGGTTTGTGCACGAATCCTCTGTTTGGCATGCCACATCATGCTACTGTAGGGCACTGTAGGGGTGTCCCAGAATCATCGCGGCTCAGAAGCCGAAGACCGTCAAGCTATTCCACAGCTTCGCAGCCTGCAGTGAAAACATCTGGACACCTTACATGATCTTACACAGCCTCAGACGACAAGCCCTGTCCAGCCTCGCAAAAGTCTTCGAACTTGAGTGGAGCCTTGACGGTCCGACCTCGGGCGTAGACGTCCAAAGCCTTGGAACAAGCTACTCCCAGCGCCAGTAGCGCACATACCCACTCGCTCGTTCGCTCTCTCGCACTCGGTCTCGCTCTCACCCTCACCCTCACCCTCACCCTCACCCTCACCCTCACCCTCACCCTCACCCTCACCTCACTTCTCTCTCTTCTCTCACCCTCTCAACTCTCACTCTCTCAACTCTCACTTGCCGACGCGCATTCTCGATTTCCTTCTCAGGCACAGTCTCGCCCACTCCAATATTTCAACAGGACCGGAAAAGAATGAGCATGTTGCGAGTTTTCAGGTTCTGGGCAACTCACTTCACACATCTGTTTGATGTCGGCATTGCCCATGATTGCGACACTGGTGCCACAGGCTTTGCTGCAGGCGTACGATGCCTATCCACAAGATGTGCTTTGCATCATGTCCTCCATGATGGAAGGCAATGGACGCAAGGAGAATCAACGAGTTTTGCGCCACTAGTTAATGTCAAGACAGCCGCCATCTCCCCTCAATCAACCGTAGCCGTATGTCAGCACACTCAGTCGAACCGCGACTGCCTGTGTCGAAGGAGCGCGGTGCTATGAACGCCTTGGGACTCTTCGCCTCGATTCGAAGACGAGTGGAGGTCAGTGAGGGCTTGAAGCAGCCGCTCCTGGCTGTGATCTCTTGTTCTGCAGATGAAGCGGCTGCACGGGCAGCAGGCCCGCAGGGTTTTTGTTGAAGGCTTTGAGGCAGGCCCAGCGGTCCCGTGCTGTTGCTTCAGTGTTGCTTCAACAGGTGCGGAAATCGTGGTCTTCGGCAGCCGGATCAAAGCTCAAAATCTTGTAGCACCGAGCTCAGCGCTCCGCTTTGCATGCCTTGCACCTGTTGAAGAACAGACACGAACGGGCGACAGACGGACGACAGGTCACCAAGCTTCGAAAATCCCTTGGTCTTCAAGCGGGCTACGTCGGGAAGTGAGACAGCAGGTTGCAACAGATGGATACCTTTCCCTGAAGCAGGGTGAGCGACGTCATGTTCTGCACCACTTGCTGCTGTAAAAAAGCTGCGCAGGGCAGGGCGAAGCAATCAGAGATAATCAGAGCAAAAGCGCGGAAGCGTGCCCGTAGGGGAGTAGTGGCTTCGCATGGCTTCGCACGGCTCAGCGCTTCGCACTTCGAGGCTCTGAGCATGCCCTCCGAGCGGATTGAGGCAAGCATCCTGATATGACACCGCAGCTCACCTGTTGTCAAATGCCTCAGGCCACGAGGACTTCCTTGGACACTTTGGAGCAAGACGTGGCTGGTCTGAAGGCAGTCGTAAAGGCCATGACCAATGAGCGAATGCAGCCCTTGAGCATTGCCAGACCATGCTCGCCGCCACTCCAGCATCCCAAGACTCGGTGGAGGAGTTGAAGGTTGTCGTTCAAGGATTTGAGGCTCTGTGCTGAGTGTGCTGCTCACAGCGCTTGGGAGTCCCCCCACCCCCCCCAAAGACGTCTAGAGATGAAAGCCGGCTGCTCTGGCAGGATCGCCTCCAGTCACTGGCCTCGAGAGATGAGGTTTCCATTACAGAGTGTGCATCGGCAGCCGCTTGCCACTGAACCCTTGTCAGGGTCCTCCTCCTGACTGCGAGCACTGCGGGAATACCTTTGCTCCAGACTCCAACTTCTGCAGACAGTGTTTTGGCTGAAGTTGCATGCCACCGTGATGCGCAGCAAGTGGGAAAAGTGCGAAAGGCTCCTCAGGACGCGCGCGAGAAGTCGAAGGGTGCATAAAATCGAGAACCGCAAAAACTGCCAAGGATGCGAAACGTCGAAAAGTGCAAAGAGTCGTACTCGGATGCGAAAAGTCGAAAAGCCGAAGAGCGCGAGAAAGTGCCGAAAAGTCTGGGAAAAGCGTTGAAAGCGGGAAAAGTCGACACTCAGTCCATGGTGGAGGTGGAGGGAACAAGTCCTCGTCTTTGACTGGTTGCTGCATGTTGCTGCTGGAGAGTTTTTTGCGGGGCGAGTTGGGGGTTGAAAGGTTGAAGGGGTTCACTGTGTAAGCTTAGAACTTAGAACATATTATTACCGCAAACCCCAAAAGCGTGGATCTTAAAGCAAAACACAGGGTTTAGTGACTTTAGGGTTTATGGAGTGTTGAAGGAGGATCTGAAACCTAAACAGAATGTGGGGTTGTTTTGCCTCTTCACGTCTGGGCGAAGTGCGCGGTTGTTGTGCCTATCGGTGCGTCTTGGGTGAATGTGTAGTTGTGTTGCTTGCTGGTTCAGGCTTGGGGCTTAGGGCCCCATGGGTGAGTTTAGAGCTTGGGCAGTCTTTGTTAGGTGAAAAAGGTTGAGGGTTTTTGGTAGCCAAGGGGCTCAGGGCCCTTGGTTGCGAAAAAAGTCGAAATTTCAACTTTCTGAAAAAGTCTCAAAAGTGTCGAAAATTGCCCCAAGACTCCAAGTGAGAAGTCTAAAGGTGCGAAAGAGTCCGGAAGAGCGCCGAAAGTGCCCCTGGATGCAAGAAGCCGAGAAGTGTGAAGGCGCGCAAAGCGGCACAGGATGCAAAAAGTCGAAAACCGAAGAAGTGCCTCAGGACGCGGAAAGTCGACGACTGTTTCGACGTTTTGACTTTTCGAGTTCTTCGCGCACTTCTCCGGCTAGGGGTGTTGCACAGCTGGCGAGCTAGTGCGGGTCGCTCAAGTCGAGTTGAGGTGTGGCAAGCCACGTCGTGGATCGAAGGACCTGTTCGGAGGTTACCTTAGCTAACGCAAACGGCGCAGTTCGATGTGTGCACATGTGGCTTTTGCACACCAGCTGTCACCAGCTATTCGCATGCCTGTCGCTGAGATTGTTTGAGATGTTGCAGATTTTGCAGGAGAGCTCGCCGGAGGGCCTGCAGCGCTTGCAAGCCCAGGTCTGCAGCCGAGTTGGAAAGGCACACGTCCTTCAGGCAAATGTGGCTCTTAGGGTCTTCGGGGGTTTGTAAAACTCATATGCATCATCTCAGATTTTTCAGAGCGTCTTCTTGTTGGAACTCGGGAAGAGTTGTTTACTTCCAGACCAGACCGCAACCCTAAAGCTTTGTGGAAGGTGGAGGCGGCACTCGAATGATTAGGAACGAAGGGAAGCAACATTTGAGGCCAAGGCAACAAAGCCGTTCTCCTTGCAGCAATTGCCTTCCGCAACGAGCCAGTTCTCCGAGGTCTCCATGATGGGCCCACGATACCTGAAACAATGGGCTCGACACAAGTATGTAAGGGGGGGGAACACCGTGCACCGCAACATATTGCTTCAAAAGTGGAGTGGAGTGGAGTGCGACCAGGACAGAGTCCGGTCAGAGAGCGGTATCACCTCCGGATCAAACCGTATTGCTTCAAAATTCTTCCAAGCCTTCGGAATAGACACTTGAAAAAAGGGGAGAAATAGCTAGTGTACCGGTTACACGTGAAAGGCGAGAAGGTGCAGCACAACAGGCTTTTTCGGGTGCAGCTGGACCAGCTCCAATTGCGTGTCATGCGCTTTGTGGCATGTCGTGGCTGGGTCATCCCAGTTCGGTGGCGATGGTCTGCAACCATGACACAATACCTTCTCAACTGATGACACACACACACACACACCGTTCGTCAAAGCTGACTACACTCATTGCAATTTGAGTTTGCGAATGCTAATGCTCTGCCGACCCCGAAGAAGCCGCCAGATGCCCTCGTGCAGCAGGAGGAGAGTGAGCAAGACTTTGTACAGGCAAGGGAACGGGCTCGGGATGTGCAATGTCGGGGCGAGGTGGAGGGGTTCCGACCACAGTGTGCCTGCGAGCATGCGAGCATGTAGTTCGGCTCGTGCTTTGGTGTGGCGGAAGCGAAAGGGAGGGAGGGGGGGGGCGCTTGTCGGGTTTGCGGGGACAGGGGGTTGGGTAGCCCAAATGCCCTGGCATGAGAAGCAAAGGCCCCTAAACCCTGATCCTTGTTCGCGGGCGCGCGTGTGCGATTGTTTTTCGACAAGCGCATTTTGGCAACGATAGAGAACGCTCAAAAGTGCGAGGGACATTGTCATCGTTGGCAAAGCCTCTGTATTGTTGCTGGTATAGGAACGCGTGTAGGAAGATGATTGGCAACTGTGGAACTTCGGACCCCCAAAAATGCTAAATGGATCAAAACTGCAAACAGGTCTCCTTGGCCCAAGCTTGTACACTTCGAAGCATCTCTGCTTGATGCACAGCTCGCGGTGCCACAACGTGCCACAACCTGAAGCAACACGTCTTCGCCCTCAATCCTAAATTCGAGGAAGCCCAAAGCCCTAAACCCTAAGTTCTAGCCCAAAACTGAAAATCTTCGGGTTTAGGGTTTAGGGTTTAGGGGTTTAGGGTTTAGGGTTTTAGGTTTAGGGTTTTAGGGTTTAGGGTTTAGGGGTTTAGGGTTCAGGGTTTAGCCCTAAACCCCAGCTGCATCGATGAGGTGACTGATCTCTCCGAGCGCCTCAATGCGCTCGTCGCGGCGCAAATCAAGAGATCTGGACCGGCGCTCAGCGGAATGCGGTGATACTATGTATATTATCATTCTCATTATCATTATCATTATTATTATTGTTATTATTTTTATTTTTATTTTTATGATTATGATTATGATTATTATTATATTATTATTATAGTATATACACATACATCTGTTTATATATAGAGAGAGGGCATACAGCTCGTCACAAAAGGCGGCCAAAGAGAGGAGATTCAAGATGAGTTTGTGAGCCTTGCCGCCACCTTGCAAAAGGACTTCCTGCGGGGGCTTTGGGGTAAGTCATGGGTTGGTCCTGATGAATTCTCCTTCCCTCAAACCTCTGGAGGACGAGGAAGCAGAATCTATTGCTCATACGAGGTGTACGGGCACGTGCTTGAAGCATTGTTGACTTAACCGGTGACGTGATCCTCGGTAGATTGCGTAGACGTGGGAGGCTGCTTCAGAGAATCGACGAGCTTTGTCGCAACCTGTCCAAGGCCTGCAGCTTTTGCTTTGAGTCAGCGCGTCGCACTTCCACGGTAACATTGGGCCAGGCTGCCGATGGGCCGAACGACTGGGCTCGGCACCTTAGTTCAGCGGTTGCAGCTTCTGGGGGCGCGGGGACAGTGTCGCGGAGCTTGAAGCTTGCAGTTGCAAGGCCTCGAAGTTTGCCTCCCTGGCACATCAAGTTGAGGCATGCGGAAAGCAAGTGGCAGATGCAGTATGAGCCTGAGCACATCTGAGCATGTTCACTGGGAATCCGAAGAAAGGAGATGCAGAAAGCTGAGAAGCAAATGGAGGCCGCTGCAAGAGAGCACTGTAGAGATGCAAAGATGCTGCTTTGTGAAGCATTCAGTTCATAGCTCTTAACTGTCATAGCTCATAGCATAGCAATACTCCATGAACCTGGTCTGTTGTCCTCAGAGAACTTGTTACAACACTTTGCGAAGGGTCTCTCGATGCCGGAAGATAACTTGCCAGGTGCAGCTCGCGAGTTTTGCCCGGCGCTTGGATCGTTTCTTTTTAAACTTTGCATAACATTTTGGAGTGCCAGTTTCAGGAGTTTAGGAGCTTCTCTGCGGCGCAGGTCTCGAAACTTGCTTGAGCCACCAAAGCAAAGCTGATGCGACGAACCACGTCGCCTCAAGCTCATGGCAGTTCTAAGAGCTGCTGTAATTCAGACTGGAGGGAGTCTGGAGATGACTTCTCTTTAGGTGTACCTTATCTCGCTTAGCTAGGAGACTCGTATTTCCCAAATGCGCGCCTCCAGAAGCACTGCTTTTGGTGTTTCGTTTTCTGTCAGGCAGCTCTCTGCATGTGTGGTTGGAGCATTTGTGGCTGGAAGCAGGCCATGCGAGATTTGTACTACGAGGTCAGCCATCGTGTCGGAAGCTTGGCATTGCTGAGGAAGTGGTGAGGGCCCTTGTGGTCATTTAGGAAGCAAGATTTTCACACCATTGAGCGCAGAGACTGGCAAGCGAGGCTCAGCCATGGAACGAAGAAGATGACAACCCCTGGGAGGATTTGTGCAAGTGCACGAGACGATTGAGGAGTGACCATGATGATGAATGTCAGGATGTCCCTGTGAGCGACTCGATGCATCACAGGCGGGAACGTCGTTGTCTTCATGCGCCAATCGTGATGTGAGCTGTGCTTGAGACCTCCACCATGTTAAGTTTAGTCCTGAAGAGATGTATGCCCCACCGTTGTGCCCACTATTTTTCTTTGCACATCTCGCAAGCACTCCAGGATCGACCAGGCCGGACCCTTCCGCTGCTTGTTGCTTCTTGTTGCGTGTCTCGGAAAGTTACGAACAAGTGCCGAGAGCACTTGGCGACTTGTGGCTTTCACATGCTGAGCACGCCGAGGGCACCAGCACGACCGAAGCATCGCCTTCGACAGCTCATCCTGCATCTGACGAAGATTGGCAGGACCAAACAAGGTAAAAGTGTATGCAGAGAACTTGAATGTGCCAGTGGTTGTGGCCTCACTGTTGTGGCCTCACTGTGTAGTATGCTGCAGGAGCTGAACTCCAGCAGTGTCACGCTCCTTTGTCCATCGCAAGCTCCTGTGGACCAATCTCTTGGAGATGCCAACGCTGGCTTGGCAACTGTGCCAAGTGAAGATGCTGGGGCACTGGTCGATGCGGATGCTTCACCATGTCAGGAAGACAACGCTGCATGTTGCACCGCGGAAGTTTTCGAAGCTTCCCCCAGGGCCGTTGCTACAGACACAGTGCTGCAATTCTTGCCATCATCCATCGACTATACAGGGGAGCTTCGGAAACCTTCACCTCATTGCACATGTGATTCGTGCGAGCACTCTCATGTTCTCGACGCTTTTCTGCAGGACCAGGGGACCAGCATGACCCCGGTCCTGGCTGAGAGGGCGGTCGCTGATGCTACAGTTCCTTTACGGACATCTCCGAGCACCCACAGCGCTGCTGTGCAAGCCACTATGGACTTTGCTGGGGAGATTCCCGACGGCTTGCCTAAGGACCTCTTGCCAGCACTCTTTTAACCAATGTCGTTCTCCGTCGTTCTTGTATGCTTGCATCCACGTGTTTCTCTTGCATGGTTGCACCCTGCCTGAACTTATGCAACCGTGTGCTACCATCAAGGAGTTTTGTGCGGAAGTCGATCTTGCAACGAGAGATCGGCACGCACAGACCGAGCCCGCAGGCTCCGCTCCTTCGAGTTCAAGGTTTAAGGAAAGTCTCGCTGCATCATCGTCCCGGGGCAGGTCCAAGGAAAGCTTCGAAGACCCAAAGGGACCAAGAGCCATGAGCCCAGCCCAAAGCGAGGCCGTTCTACATCGAGCTGATAACGTCTGAGTTTAACATGCGACTTTGGCCCTCAGAGGCCCCGAATGCAGCGGACGCAGCGGGCGAAGGGGATGTCCACGATGCCGGAGGTTTCGAACGTTGCGCACAGAAGGAGCGCCAGCTTTGCGGGACACAAACGGAGCCCATCCTCCCACGTTTTTGTATCTTGTTGTTTCGAATCTCGAAGCTTGCCAAAAAGAGGCAAACAAACCGCTCGGCGATGAAAGCGCGGTGGCCCAGTGTCCTGTCTCTGCTTCCTGTCAAGCCAACATGTACCATACCCTCGTGAAGGACAATGGACTGCCGACTGTATTGAAGGACTCGGGTGACTCGGGGACTTCAGGGTGTAGGGTCCCGGGCAGGCAGCTAGGGCTCTTTGGAGGACTTGGCCCAGACGTTCTCTGCGCGGCGCCACTCCAAGGACGCAGTATGGCGCTGTGTGAGCTTTTCAGAGTTTCTCGCCACTCGCCGTTAGATATGCAAGCGCATGTGAGGAGGGCCATCACAAAGATGCTTCTCAAAAGGAGTCTGTACAGAAGGATGCTGCTCAGAAGGAGGGCATCAAGGATGCCCACAAGGAGGGTGCCCAAAGCCGGCACCAGAATCCGCGGCCACAGGCGTGACCCTCAGCCAAACCCAGAGTCATTCAATTAACCACGTGACTTCTTTCGACAGGGCCCTGGTCGTGTTGCATCCGTGGACGCAAAGGACTTCTGAACAAAAACCTTGCTGATATCAAAGATAGATCGGAAGAACAGCAGCCAGGATCGTCCATTATCAGTCTTCGCCAAGCGACAAGCGGGCCAGCTCACGAAGGAAGAGGCCTTACCTGCCTTACAGATCTGTCCCTTCCATCATGCCATCAGCATGATCCATAAAGCCACCTCGGCAGGAACCCGCGAAGCCAAAATCGGCCGACCCATCATCTCGTAAGTCAGCAGACACACCATCTCGTGAGGAGACGTGTTTGAGGGCCCATGTCATGGCATGAGCCGGCGCTATCCGGCTCTTATTAAAGGAGCGATCGCCTGATCGCCGGTCTGGTCGCCCTTCACGACAGGCCTTCACCATGGTTTTCAGCTTGTGGCATACTGTACTTTTGTGCCCACCCTGCATTATCTGTAGTAGGGTCTGGGGCAGGGCGTTCAAAGATGATGCGTCTAGGACCACGCTTCCTCGGCTCCAGCGCAGCGCGGCAGACAGTCAACCTCGCCGAAGGAGCGGTGGAAGTCGGGCCAGTTCGGGCCGTGCTCCCTGCATTGTGGAAATTTGTCGAATGTAGCCTAGCTGTGCTCTGACTCTGCTCCCTTCTGCAAGGAGACCGCGGCTCGTCGGAGCCGAAGCGACGCCGACAAAAATCGCGACAAGGACATGAAGGACATGCCCGAGGCCTGAGGCTCTTTGTGAGTGCATCGAACCATGTGCTCAGCTCCTGTCTGTGCAAGCGCCTTTAAATGATCGGCACAGGTTGACTTGTTCCAGATACCCGAGCAGCTTCGAGAGGTGCACACAGAGGCAGAGGCCTGAGGTGAAGTGGTTGGGTGTTTGTCACTTTGAGGCTCGCCGCCGCACGTCCGAGCTCGAGGCCGTTTTCTGCTAAGACTTAACTTCGCTCATGTCGCCCACTCGTCTTTCACCTTCTGAAGTCATTTCATAATATTGAGCTTGTTCGATCCTGCACTCCCTCATGCACGGGCTCTCTCGCTCCTTCTGCCTCCCCCCTTCTTCGGTTCATCTCGCTTCCATTCTTGCTATCTTCCTCGCCAGTGCATCTATGTGCATTTTGTGCTTGATTCGAGGCGCAGCTGGCAGAGCTGCGGCAGCACGCCCTTCCTGCTTGGGCTGCTTTCTCAGCATGCTTGTGGAATCTTGCGATGGCCGAATAGCCGCCAGGCGCTTGCAGCAACAAGAGCATCGGGTGCTGGCCCGCTCTTCAGAATACATGTGAGGGCTGAAAAGTTTCAACTTCCACTGAATCCTGAGCCAAGCTGAGGCAGCTGCTCCATTCTTCCCACCACGGGGAGCATTGCAAACTCCACCTGCAGCTCTCACAGCCAGAGCACCTGGTGACAGACATGTACCTGTATACTCTTCAACTACAGCGCCGGTCTCTCCCTTGGCTACAGATCGACCTGCCTTCCACGGCCGACCATTCATGTCATTGCAGGTGCCACCGGGCGATGCAGAGCGCGACGTGCGTGACGTGCGGCAAGAGCCCATCGGGCCGATTGGCACCGACAAGCTTGTTTCCCCACTCAGCGCACGGAGTCGAACCCCACAGAGACAGCCTGTGATGGAGCCGTGGATGCAACGCTCACAGACTCCACCTGCCAGACCAGAGGCGCTCCCGGTGTATTATCAGGCTCCTGTCCCTTCGCGAGAGTCTGTACCAGCACCTCCCAATTCAGTCCGGATGGTATCACCCACACCAATGGTGCCAATGGCGCCCATGCCAGTCCTTGCCAGTCCACCAGCGATTGTCCAAAGGTACATGGCGCCCAGCCCGACCAGGCTTGGGGTCACAAGTCCAGTTCGTTTTGCTGGGGAGTGGCCGAGACAACCCCAAGCCATCACATTCTGGTTTCAGCCTCCGTTCGTGGCGAGACAGGCTGCACCACCTTCGGGGCAGATGCCAGGACCCGGACCCGGCGCCCTTAGCGAGCCCGTGGGACAGAGAGATCCTACCACAGGACCAGCCCCTACGACGCAGCAAGACGCTTTACTCGGCTCGAACGTGAGTGACAGGCGCTCTAGCTTTCGCGACGGCTGCTGAGTCGAAAAGAGGCTTGCCAATGTTTCTTTGGCCCTATTCACCAGAGGGTGCCAAGCCCGAGAACTAGGGTTTGAGGTTTAGGGGGCGTGCAGGGTTCTAAGAGTTTAGGACTGGTTCTTGGTGATGAAAGATGGAGGTTCCCACTACCCAAAGGCTTTACTTCGATCGTCTACTAGGATTTTTGCGACGGATTTGTTTCGATCGTGGGTGCGCTCGTCAAAGGCGTCGACGTGCAGATGCTCCAGGTGCCCGCATCTGGGTCGAACGATTTCTTTTCCGAATGGAACCGTCGCAAGATTGTCGAAGTCAATGAAACAATCGGGGCAGTCGAACAACTGCCACAAACACATCGCTTTCCATCTTTTGCAACGCTGTCTGAGTTTCCCCAAGCTGCTTTATTGCGCCCGAACTGTTGGTAGCACCTACAGCTTAATGTTGACTGTTGATAGCACCTTGTGACAGGTTGCGAGCTGCACTCAGTTATCTAGTCGGCCAAGACTTGTCCGAGGTTTACAGGCTACTCTTCCTACCAAATTTGGGGGTTTAGGATTGCTCATCGATGATCTTCCCGTGCAAAGTGGGAGCCTCTCTCGGGTGGACATTGCAATGTTTGTGTTCTTGGCAGGCCACTTGGGAACGGATTCGATTGTTGCTAGGTCCTGCGGCTGAGATCCTGCTTGGACGTTGGCTCTCCGAGCACCCCTCACCCTCACTTGCTATTGGACAGACAGCGTACCATCCTCAGCCATCGAGATCTGTCACAGGCAGCTGCGGATAAGTTAAGCTCGTTCCTTCTCGAGGGCAGCGGTCCGGGCGAAGCTGCAAGGCTGCTGGCCTGCAAAGCCAAGTGGGCCGATGGTTGGCTTGGGGTTATCCCTAGTATTTGCTCAGACACTCTTTCTCCAATGTTGCATGCAAGCTCTCGATACTTTGGGCCACCATAGCATGACCCTGGAGGCTGGCGGACTCGCATGCATTATACCTTGCGTGACGCGGTTTTTCGGGTTGCACGAGACGCGGGGGGTCTTTTGCCGAATGCCGAAGGACGCCGGCGGATGTCTTGTTACTGTCAACGCCCCTTTTGAAGCAGAATGAGTGGCAAAGACACCCCCAAACAGCCTTGGATTTCGCATTCGTGTCTCCGTACACGGCGGTCGCGACAGGACGAAAGTCCCTTGATCCGGCTAGTGCAGCGGCAGCGTGCGCTGATACCAAGCGTCAAGATTGGGGAACATTGCAGGCATGTCATGCGCAACAAATCGGCTTCGAGCCAATTGTGTTCGAGACTACCGGGCCATGTGAGCAGGGGCTGCATCGCCTCTCGAAAAGCCTTTGGCTAAGAATATGATAAATGATAGAAATCAGGGTCGGTTTCTGGGGCGCTGCCAAAATTTGTCTTGAAAGGATACATCTTAGTGGATACCCAGCGGGGCATGTTTTTCATGGTGGTCGATGTCGGGCAAGTTTCGGATCATATAGGAGGAATCGTATGCAAATTCATCGAGGAGTGCAGGAGCTGATGATCCTAGTTGGTTTTTATAGGATGATTCTCTCGCATGTAGGTTTCGTCATATGAAGCGGATCATTTGGGAACGGCCCAAAACGCCAGGATTGTAACAGGCCCCCGGGCGGGCACGGCGCGACAAAGGTTTTGTAGCAAAAACCGGTTTTTTGCGACAAGCCTTGCGCGACAAGGCTTGCGACAAGGGGCGTATATATATATATATATATATGATTCAGCCCCGGGCCCCCCCCCCCCCCCCCCCCCCCCCCCCCCCCCCCCCCCCCCCCCCCCCCCCCCCCCCCCCTACCCCCCCCCCCCCCCCCCCCCCCCCCCCCCCCCCCCCCCCCCCCCCCCCCCCCCCCCCCCCCCCCCCCCCCCCCCCCCCCCCCCCAATGGTACCCCCCCCCCCCCCTGTGGTGTGGTTGGGGGTTGGTTTTAAGGGTTTAGGGTTTAGGGTTTAGGGTTTAGGGTTCAGCACTCCGGGTCGAGCAGCTTTATGGTTAAGCTTTATTTACGGCTCGGATATAACACCCACCCACCCAGAGAATCCCACTACATTGAGAAAGCCAAAAACGGCCAAATTCAAAAACGGCCAAATTCTGAAAATAAAGCGGCCAAATTCTGAAAATAAAGCGGCCAAATTCTGAAAATAAAGCGGCCAAATTCTGAAAAAAGCGGCCAAATTCTGAAAATAAAACGGCCAAATTCTGAAAATAAAGCGGCCAAATTCTGAAAATGAAGCGGCCAAATTCTGAAAATAAAGCGGCCAAATTCTGAAACTAAAGCGGCCAAATTCTGAAAATAAAGCGGCCAAATTCTGAAGCGGCCAAATTCTGAAAATAAAGCGGCCAAATTCTGAAAATAAAACGGCCAAATTCTGAAAATAAAGCGGCCAAATTCTGAAAATAAAGCGGCCAAATTCTGAAATTCAATTAGCCTTTGGCCTGATTTTGGCTCATTCTGAAAATAAAGCGGCCAAATTCTGAAAATAAAGCGGCCAAATTCTGAAAATAAAGCGGCCAAATTCTGAAAATAAAGCGGCCAAATTTTGAAAATACAATTAAGGTTTAAATATATATGGTAGGGTTTTAGAGGGTTTAGGGTTTAGGGTTTAGGGTTTAGGGTTTAGGGTTTAGGGTTTAGGGTTTAGGGTTTAGGGTTTAGGGTTTAGGGTTTAGGGTTTTCCCCGCGGATGGGGTACTAAGATGATCCCCCCCCCCCTGTGGTGTGGTTGGGGGTTGGTTTTAGGGTTAGGGTTTAGGGTTCAGGGTTTTAGGGTTTAGGGTTTAAGGTTTAAGACTTAGGTTTAGGGTTTAGGGTTAGGTTTAGGTTTTAGGGTTAGGGTTTAGGGTTTAGGGTTTTTTAGGTTTAGGACCGTAGAGTAACTTGGGGGTGGGGGGGTTGGGGGGTGTGGGGGTGGGGGGGGGGGGGCCAGGACGCTCGACGCTGAACCATATATCCCTATAAAAGGCTACGGGCTCGACCCCTATTTTCGCTCTGCGGCCGCCCCGTCGGATGCCCCGCCTCCTCTTCCGGTCCATTTGGCTGGTTGTGAGGGCCTTGCAGGGGGATCCTGAAAATTCCGGGAATTTTAACACTTTTTGTCTAAAAATCCTGTGAATTTTTGGAATCACCCGGAGCTGAAAATTCCCGGAATTTTAGGAATTGTCCGGATTGAGGTTTGGGCTTGCCGGGTTGGATTTAAGGTTCCAGCGCAACAGTGATGACGTGGGTGCCCCTTCACCTTCAAGGAAATCTTCAAGAAAATCTCTTGGTCCAGGGTAGTTCCGATGACGGTCGCCGCCCGCCAGCTGTTCAAGGGGGTTCGGCCTCACGATCACATATCAGCAACAGCTCTCGAAAAATCCTAGGAATTTAAATTCCGGGAATTTTCGGGATCCCCCGGGTTCAGGGCTTTACGCTTTACGGTGTAGGGTTTTGGGGTTTAATAGAAATTGTATAGGGTTTGTGTCCGGAGTTTTGTCGTGTTTTGGGGGGGTTTTGTTTTTTGCTTTTGCTGTAATGGCTTGGGTTCTGTCGGGTGTGGTGGGGGGTGGGTGGTTTTGGGGTGCTGAGGGGTTGTGGCTGAATGGCTGGGGTTTTGGAGGGTTTTCCCGAATGTCCGTGGTGGTAGTCCCGTGGTGGTGGTCCGTGGTCCCGTGGTGTTCGTCGTGGTGGTCCCACAGCGTGGTGGTGGTCCCGTGGTGGTGGTGCTCCTTTGGTAGTGGTGGTCTGTCGTGGTGGTGGCGGTGTCCGTGGTGGTGGTGGTGGTGGTGGTCCCTGGTGGCCGTCGTGGTGGTCCTGTGGTGGTGGTCCCATGGAGGTGGCCGGGTGGCGGTGGTCCGTGGCGGTGGTCCGCGGTGGTGGTCTCGTGGCGGTGGTTCCGTGGTGGTGGTCCTGTGGTGGTTGTCTCGTGGTGGTAGTCCCGTGGTGGTGGTCCCGTGGTGGTGGTCCCGTGGTGGTGGTCCGTGGTGGTTGGTCCGTGGTGGTGGTCCGTGGTGGGGGTCCGTGCGGGTGGTTGTGTTGGTGGTCGTGGTGGTGGTCTCGTCGTGGTGGTCTTGTGGTGGTGGTCTCGTGGTGGTGGTCTCATGGTGGGGATCCGTGGTTTGGGATCTTCTTTTCAGGAATGCCTGGATCATTTGAA